CAACAAAAAATTGCAAATACACATGTATTAACATCTGTCGTATTTCCATTGTCATTAGATCAACTTCCCTAATTAATAATTACAATGATCAATATTTTCTGTATCTTTTATTCCAGTTAATACTGACTGACCGATCATTAATGCCAGGGGATGTCATCAGAAGGTTTGAGGAGGGTGCCAAAAGTCAGAGGGGCTTTGTCCAGGACCTGATGGGGAAGTGTCACATCCATATAAGGGGCACCAACAAATTCCTGTATAATGTCAACAGCAAAGATTTATGCAGCATGAAAGTTGAAGAGATTGCAAAAAGGGTAACATTCTTAAATCTCAAAATTAAATTAAATTTTACTGGAGCTGGGGTATCAAGAAATGAAAAAAAATAAATATTGATGATTTGTGTCCTTTTTATTTAGAAATTGATATGAATGAATTAAGATGAAGTTGTTACGCAGATTAAAAAAAAAAGGAATTGAATTCTTGACTACCAGATACATGTATTTACATCATGTAACCTGTGTTTGAAAAGAAATGTAATCCTATTTATTGTTTTATTATTAGCCCCTGAGTAACTCATTCTGTGATGTTGTGATGGACTCCTGGGTTGGTAAAGTAGAGAGAGTAAACGAGGAGCTGATTCTCAAGTTTCCAGATGGAGCTCTGTGTAAAGTACAAGACACGGATCAGCTGGATGATTTTGAACCAGTCAAAGACCATGTGAGTTTCAACACTGCTTAGAAATTCATCACATTTAACAGTGGAATAAAGTTAAAGTTAATTACCCAGGGCATTCATTAGACATGTTACTCATTAAATCAAGTTTATTATTATTTTTAGACCCTTGCCTCACTTTCACTGTTACATGTTACATTTGTTGAGATAATTTTTTAATCTTTGATGATGTATATTGTTTGTTTTGTAGTACAAGTCCCTATGTAGCAGTGATACATTCCTTTACAAAGGGCTGGTAATGAAAGGGACTATAGGAGATCTCAGTGATGCTGTCTGGTTATCCACCACTCATAAACACGGACCAAAGGCTATAAAAAAATCACCAAATCATACGGTCACTGTACGCATTGAGGAGGTGAGTTACATCTATCACTCAAAAACACGGACCAAAGGCTTCTGAAAAATCACTAAGTCATACGGTCACTCTATGCATTAGTTAGGCAATTCAGCTCTAACACCTTTCGCTGAAAGCAACTTCAAGAACCACGCAAAATGTCTTGCACATGTAGATATAAAAGTAAATGTGCTAAATTATATCTTTGTTATTTTGTTCCAAAATCAATTTCCACCAAATATCATACACACTAAATATAATACATTTAAAATATTTTAGGCATATAAAGAAATTTTATTTCCTCCATTTGACATAAAAATAAAAAAGATAGGAATAAAACTACCTCTGATATTCATTTCTTTTATGCTCCCTTTTGACAATGTTTATAAAACTTGTACAATCAAACTCATTCACTCTGAAATTTGAGAAATACAGTCAAACTTGTCATAGCGGTCACCTCTATCCAGCGGTCACTTGTCCTATGTGGTCATTTTATTTCCTCCCAATGAAATTTCCTATATAAAGTAACTCTATTTAGCGGTCATCTGCGTAACGCGGTCAGCAGTCACCTAATTTAAATCGAAATCGCCAGTTTTCCCTGTCTGTAGCAGCCATTTTGTCCAATCACGTGACCTGATCTGGAGTCAGCTGATTCACAATTTTTGTTACCAATGTAAATAATCAGTCAAGTGTTGTGGGATCGTGAACAAAAATTAATAAATGGACCAGTTATTTTGCTTAATAAGCATTTTCAAGAATCATTTTACAAACTAACTGCTTCTATATTTTACAAAACTCGAACAACTATGCTTATGACGAAAAAAGTTAACAGAAAAAAAACAAATACTGGTTAGTATTATCGATAACTGATTATCAGAGTCTTATAACTTCTGGATTTTCAATCAAGTTTTAAAAAAGAACAACCTATGAACTATATTAATCTATTAATGAATATGATATTTTTGTTTACCATTTACAGTGTCGATATAGCGCCCAAACTCTGCATGATCTGAGAGTTGTAAATGTATTACGCTTGATTGATATTTTAATTTTCACATCTAGGAAACTTGCTTCATTTGTTGAAGCCATAATTACAGGTTATATACACAGTGTGGCTTGGGGGTTTGTTCCTGTTTTGCACACATTTAATTACAGGTAATTAAAAAATGTGTGAAAAACGGGAATTTGACCAGGTGAGATGATTACTTAATTGCTATAGTCTATACTATACTTAGCTTAGTAAGTATGTGAAAGATGAACTTATAGTGAAAAAATAAGACTGAGAATAAATACAAAGTAAATGTATTTGATTATCTGATTATCTCATTATAACATCTTTTCAAATTAATTTTTATTCACTATTTTCTTTATTATGTGTTATATCTTTAATTCATTTAGAATTATATCAAGATTGAAAAGTACATATTCTTTTTTTCAAGAAATTGGACTTAATAATAAATAATATGAAACAAATATTAATCATTTATTTAATAAAATCAGATATTTTCCCATAAATATATATAGAATTTTAATAAAATGCTTATAAAATTGTATTAAACCTCTTATGAATACATAAAGCTAAGTCAGGTATTCACAGGTAAATCCAGGTAAATCCAAACCAGAAATCAGACTATAATTGCTATCAAAACACACTTCACACCTGTTGTTCTATACTAATTACCAAATGTGTGCAAAACGGGAACACACCGGCTTGGGTATGTTGTGAATTTCACAAAGGAAAACGACCGTTAGGGATTAGAAATGCTTCATTGCTCAGGACACGTGTGCACCTGTTGATCAACTGAGACTACGTCTGAGAGTTTATTACATAACAAATCTTGTATAGTTGTGTACATGTTTTTAAAAAAAATACATGTATGGAGGTTAATTTTATGAGTCAAGTTTAGATAAAATAATTATTTTATAATAAGATTCAGTATACAGGTATTTTATTAATTTATTGGATTCATTAAATTTAGTTTGAGTTCATCCATAAAAGTAATGCATCTCATGAATTAAAAAATTATAATTTAAGTGAAATCACTAATGTCCTATACCTAACTTTCTTGTATATTTTGTAGTGAAATGCATAATATAAACACAAAACTGAGCTATCAAATTTGTAAATAAATTCTTTTCAAAAAAGATGAACCTTTATCCAAAGGTCACCTCTCTATAAAGGTCACTTTTGATGGATCCCGTAGGTGACTGCTTAATACAAGTTTCACTGTATTTCAAATTAAATAATGTTCAGTTGTTGTGCCATAAGTTGCATGTATAAAGTAGATATGGTAGAAAAATGACTTGATACAACATTCATGCAGAATTTTTTTATCTTTCATAATATGATATGCAATGTATAAGTAAGATCTCTTTATTTTTAGAAGTCTGTAAACTTGACTTCCTAATTTTTACATTCAGTGACTTAATCACAACAGCATGTTTGCGATTAGTAAACCTCAGGATCATTTCTTATTAAGGGAATTTTTCAATGTAACTATTGTCAATCTTTACAAGTGTTTTGAACAAACAATGATTTCATTGTAAGTTAGTGTAATTTTGTCCCACGTAAGTTTTAATATGTTCTATTTCTGGTAAAACATAAGCCAGTTACTAAAGTAATTTTTAACTGTTGTTATAGGCAAGGCTAAAGTCAGTGGAGGTGTACTGGATGTGTAGAGGATTTACCAAGTCAGATAACCCCCTCCTGAGAATGACACCTCCTCCCTCCCTAGTTCAGGAGCCAGACCTCCAAAGGTATTCATAGACACCAAGTCGTATATATCAAAATTGTCTTCAAATTGACTTACTGATGTATATTGCAGGAAGTGAAAAGTGACTCGTTTGAGCATTGTTAATCTTGACCCTATTGTTAATCTGTTATACCTTACAAATGGCTTAAAATTTAATGAGACCAAATAGTTTTAATTTACAAATGATTTTTTTACTTATTAGGTTACAGATTTTAGATTGGTTTTCACACTGCAGTCTGCAGATTGGTGATTTTGCTCAGTATGTCATTAAACCTAGTGATGATCTCTCTGACATTCCACCCAAACTAAGCTTTATACCAGATATTTTACTAAACAATCCAGTAGCTCAAAATGAATTGGCAGAAAGTCAGGTACATGGAACTAAAGATTACACTCCTGATGTAAAGACAGAGGCCAAGGCTTTGGTCAATGGAGAGGTTCCTAATGAAGCAGCAGGAGCGGAGGATGATGAATACGAAGATGTTGAAACGACAGAGTCGGAAACCGAGGAAGAACAAGTTCAGAAAAAACACTCGTCAACCCGCAATAGGCATAAAGGAAGAAAGGGACGTAAATCTGGGGGAAAGAAAGGAGCCAAAAGAGCGAAGCAGACTGTGAAGTTTGAACCAGAAATCCCCAAGTGTTTACCCGGGGAGAAGGTGGCTGTAGGGGTGTGTTATACCTTCTCCTTGGCAACTGTCATGTGGCAGGTATGTTTGTCTGTATTGTAAAGATGCTGCCCACATCAATTTTGCATCTTTAGCTAAATTAGTTAGAAAAGTACTTAATAATATTTGCATAAAGATTAAGGATACATTGTTTCTGTTGATTTATTCACGAGAGTATTGCAACAAAATTTTACTTTGAAAGACAGGCGTAGTTCGCAAGAGTGCAAAAATATTTCTAGGTTATTTTGAAGTCCTGCTAGGATCAAGCATTAAATGTACTGTACTCTATTACAGGACGGCACTATGGAATCAGACATTCCCTCCCCTGTTCTCTTCCCCATACACTACCTTGATGAGCTGGAATTCTTCCCTGGAGATTATGTTGTAGATGCCAAGGGTAGGTTAACAAAATGATAAAGATTTTAACTCATGACCAAAGACAATGATAGACATGTTTATAAAGGGTTTTGATCTAGTAATGTCTGGCAATCTCTGGCAATCATATTCATCAAATGTTAAAGAAGTACATTTCTTTTTTTTTTTCAGAAGTTGCATTGAAGAACTGTGACTATGGTGTAGTTGTGAGCTGTAATCACAAAGAGAGGACATGTTTTGTCAAATGGATCAAGACGGTGGATATATACAAAGGAGAAAGGTGATAATCAGCATATCAGTACAGATCAATAGAAAGTTGTGTATAACTAAATCATAAATTAGAATCAGGAATAATTGTCAAAAGGCTGTATCATATTTGTATAATATTGATACATATTTCTTGAGGACTGTACTTTTTGCATTTTTTTTATTTTAACAACATTATGTGAATTTAAATTTGTCAAACTGAGGATGTTTAATTTATGTCTATTTTATCCCAGATGTAGAGGGGTGTACTTGCAGTTTCAGTTTTGTGTTTGTAAGGCATACATAAAACATGTCAAGTCACTTAAGTGTTTATTGTCTGGCAAGTTGTAATTGTTTATAACACTGATTATTTCAGGCCGGAGGAGAATGTTGAGCCAGTAGAGGTTAGTGCATATGACCTCAAAGATCACCCAGATTTCAAATTCAGACCCGCCCAAACAGTGATCAGAGTCATAGATATACAGGTAGACTACCATATTTTACTCTACAGATAGGGTACCCTATTTTACTTGGATATATGGTTATTTTACACATATATTCAGTGTTTTGATTTTAAGATGCTTTACTGAATGTTTCATTAGGGCCCCGCAAGGATTTGCGGGTGCCCTATAGTAATCACTCTGTCTGTCCGTCTGTCCGTCTGTCTTTCTTCTGTCCACAAATTTCCTGTTTTTTCCTAATAACTTTTTTATGGTTGCCCAATTAAGATCAAATTTGGTATGGTAGTTCAATAGGTAGAAAGACATATTTTGATGCTAAGTTTGTTTCTCTATGACCCTTGGTTTGGAGATGGGGTGGTGGGGTATATTCCTTAACTTTATATAAGAATGCTTTAGCAAAGAGAGATAACTGCTGAAGATGTTTCCATTGTAAACTGAATGCTGCTATGAGTCCCTTGGGATTAATTAGCTTTCCTCCTGAAGAAAATCCAAAGCATTATCTTTATCTGTCACATTGAGATTAATTACCACCTCTGTCTGCAAATGAAGTTTGTTTTGAAGTTCAGTCAATTTGGAATGCTATGAACACTCTGAAATGTGGATTTAGATATAAATGTTTATACTTTATTTTGGTTAAAATACCTACACAATGAGTTATGATTTCATTGAATTCTAAAAACAAGAAATAGATTAAAGAAGACATATCTTTTATTTTTACTTTTTTCCCTTTATGTAAATTCAAGAATGATAATAATTTTTAAGGTAGTTGGATTAAGCCATTCTAATATTAATACTGAAAAAGTTCTTATTGTAACTTTAGAAGAAAATGATGAGAGAGGTACAATTAATCCCTCAGGATTAATTATCTAGCCCGCTGAAGAAAAGTTAGTAGGCCTATCTTTATCTGTCATTTTAAGATTAATGAAAAACTTTGTCTGCAACTGCTGTTTGTTTTGAAGTTAAGGTCAAGTCTTCATGATACATGTATTTGCATTTTTTGAAGACTGGCATTTTATATAACACAAACAAACTTCATTATTGTTTATATATACATTCAATGTTAGGTTGTTCTTTACTGCCAGTGCCTAATGTAAATATACAAGGATATTATTTACAGGTTTTTGGATATTCAGGAATTATGTTGAAAATTTTAAGAATACATTTGCTGTTGCTTATTTCTTCATATATTTTTTAATCATTCCATAAGCTGCATCCTTATAATTCCACCCCATGGCGGGGCCCTTGCTGACTGGTCAGTTTTCTAGTATTGTAACTGTATTATATACATGTATTTCTTTAACTTATTAGGAGGAGGGCAAGGAAGCAGTGGGGCAGATCCACAGTTTGGACCCTCAGGGTGCTATTTATGTCCGTTGGCCCTCAGGAGAGATCACAAGATGTTACCCTCAGGAACTTTATATTGTTGGGGATGAGGTAAGGCAAAAGTTTTGAAAGAGCTGGCCATTGTTTGGCAGCTCGAGTTTGATTTGTAGATGAGTGAGTTTGACAGCTTGAGTTATTTTGTAGATGAGTGAGTTTGACAGCTCAAGTTATTTTGTAGATAAGTGAGTTTGACAGCTCGAGTTCTTTTTTAGATGAGTGAGTTTGACAGCTTGAGGAGTTTGACAGCTTGAGTTCTTTTGTAGATAAGCGAGTTTAACAGCTCAACTTATTTTGTAGATGTGTTTTTACTTCTTGGGTTATTTGGTTTGACAGGTCAAGTTATTTTGTAGAAGAGTGAGTTTGACAGCTCGAGTTATTTTGTAGATGAGTGAGTTTGACAGCTCGAGTTCTCATGTAGATGAGCAAGTTTGAGATGAGTGAGTTTGACAGCTTGAGTTAATTTGTAGATGAGTGAGTTTGACAGCTTGAGTTCTTTTGTAGATGAGCGAGTTTGACAGCTCGAGCTGGTCCACAGAGGAGGAGGAAGAGACAGAAGAGGATGATGACTCCAACATGAGCTGGGAAACTGAGGATGAGGAAGCTGTGAGCTCTGATGAAATGTAAGAAATGGTTGGAATCAGATCTGGAAGAATACTAATGCCACCTGTATGAACAATATTTAATAAGCTTTGTTTATCAAATTCGTAATGTACTTGTTTTCTTGATTTTATGATTAGTAATATTTATTACCCACAATATTTTCTTTATTTTCAGAGCTGATGGAGGCATTTCTCTGATGTTTATAACAAAGGAAAAGAAAGAGGAGCTGGATGCACTAATGTCAAGAGCTCAGACAGCCCTGGAGAACTTACAGAAAATATTTTTTACATACACTGGAAAGATCACTATTACCTATAGATATCTAAGGGACATAATTGCTGTTTATAAACGCTGTCAGGATCTGGAAAAAATCCTCAAATCTCACTTCTTTGAGGATGTGGAGCTTACAAATTTGCTGGAGGAAATTCGATCCTTGATGTATGACGAGAAGAGAAATGAACTGAATGATCGTTTGTTGAAAATATACGAAAAACGAAAAGGAGGAGGAAGCATGGAGTCCCCCAGTAAGGAGGATTCATCTGTTTCACAAACTCTAGAAGATTACCCCTCTCATGTGTTCCTAGAGACCAGCAAACCCAGTAGTCCTGACACAGAGCTGACACAGCTGGCTAATGCTATAGTGCAGTCAGTGATGAAAACTTTCACAGCCTCACAAGTGCAAAACCAAGAAGCCAGGGTGGAGGAAAATGCAAATTTACCAAATGGAGATATAGACAATCCTTGTCTTGGTGCAACTTCAGCAGATTTTATACCTAAAACAGTGAACACTAGCGAGGAAACAGCTTCAAATACAACATCTAATGGTGAACCGGAAAAGTGGCAGGTGCACCAGGAAGGCTTGAATGTATCAAATGAAACAAAAGAGTTGAATGTGAGTCAGGAGTCAGGACTGGAAGTCAGTGACTGTGATTCAGGTCTAGGGGAATCCAAGGGGAGTGGGGCCTCCTTAGATAGGGATAACTGGGTGTCAAAACAGAAGAAGAAGGAGGAGGTCTGTAAGAGGTTCTGTCAGCTGATGCTGGTCCAGATGGTCAAGATACGAGGAGAGATCGGGGAAAGATGGGAAAAAACCAAGGAGTGGATGGGCAAGGAATGTGATAAATGTGAACAGAACAGACGGACAGACAAACCAGAGAATGAAGAATCTCCAGGAGCCAGGCTGGTAGAAGGTAAAAGTTCAAAGAAAAAAATAATACCTAAAGTAGATTAGGTGCAGATTTATACTGTATAACGTGGTTTCTCAGCAGATGTAAAATTAGACATTTTGCTTACTCAACAGTATCGCAAAAAAATTTGCGAAATTTTTTTTTTGACAAACACAGTGTTCAATATATTGTTGCAAACCAGTAATATTATTTTGTGCTGTTGAACAGGGATATGGTCAAAGTACCTAAGATATGTTTGGAAAAGACACAGATGAATTTAAAATCATTTGATCAAAAATCTAAGTAAAATGTCACTTTATAAAAAGAATAATGATGATGAATAACAGAAATTATATAAGATTTTATTTCAATGTTTCAGAGCTTGATTTGGCATTTAATCCAGAGTCAAATTGTGTGGAGTGTGATCAGGCGGAGACTCAGGAAGAGACAGCAGACATATCAGACCATAGAGAGGAGGTGGAGACCTATAAACAAGCCACTTCTGTCACACAGGGTAAGGTCATATAACACATACAAACAACATCACACCTTAGAAAGGAGGTGGAGGCCTTTAAACAGGTCACCTCTGTCACACAGGGTAAGGTCATATAACAAACAAACAGCAACACACCTTAGAAAGGAGATGGAGACCTATAAACAAGTCACTTTTGTCACACAGGGTAAGGTCATATAACACACAAGCAACAACACACCATAGAGAGGAGGTTGAGACCTATAAACAGGTCATCTCTGTCACACATGGTAGGGTCACATAACACGCAAACAACAACACACCTTAGAGAGGAGGTGGAGACCTATAAACAGGTCATCTCTGTCACACATGGTAGGGTCACATAACACACAAACAACAACACACCTTAGAGAGGAGGTGGAGACCTATAAACAGGTCACCTCTGTCAAACAGGGGGGTAAGGTCATATAACACACAAACAACAACACACCATAGAGAGAAGGTGGAGACCTATAAACAGGCCACCTCTGTCACCCAGGGTAAGGTCACATAACATGCAAACAATTCATACAAAAACCTTTTATCTGTCCTCAGAACCCATAATTCATTTGATGGTTATAGAATTTGAAAAGTTCAAGTGCTTATTGCATAATTGCAAATAAGAGAGAAATGTGTCTATCCACTGTTATTTATTGTAATTTATTGTAGGCTTTCAGATGTGTGAGACAGCACCATCTACACATAATTTTGCAAGTAAAGTGTACTCCCCACAGGATCCCAAGTCTTTCCTAAGAGCTGTCAGAAAAGAGGTAAAATAAAGGACTTTTAGTGAAGAGAGTGAGAAATTGGTATTGAATTCAATGTTTAGGCATGAGGGTCTGATTATAAATAATGTTCCAATTTTAGTACCAGCTACTCCAAAGTAACCTACCAAATGGAATTATAGTGAAAGGATTTGAAGACAGAATGGTGCGTTATAACAAATGTATTTGAGTTCAATACATGTATCTGCCACTTTAATTTCATCAAAAATACAATGTAATGTTAAAAAAAATCTTTGATCATAAATAGAGATATGTAACTGCAAATACATTTCACTAATAGCCTACTATTTTCTGTAGGATTTGTTTTTGGTGATTATGTATTTACCTATCAGCCTACTATTTTCTGTAGGACCTGTTTTCTGTGATGATAATTGGGCCTCACGGTACCCCCTATGAGGATGGTCTGTTCTTTTTTGACGTCTTCCTCCCGGCTGACTATCCGACGTCACCCCCTGTGTTCCACTACATCTCGTACTGTACAGACAGACTGAATCCCAATCTGTACGAGGACGGGAAGGTCTGTGTCAGTCTGCTGGGCACCTGGGACGGAAAGGTACGTCCATCTTTATTTATAGGAGTACCTGTGTTCCAAAGCAAATTGACTGATTCATGAAGCATGTGGGTTACTGAAATAAATCCTTTATAATTCTTAGTTAATTATAAATTATATTGCCCGTAAGTTTTGTCAAGAAGATAACTGGTAAGAATCTGGATTACACATGTAGTGTTGATTACTGGGCCTCAAACTGTAAATGCATGCATCCATTGATGCAGTTCAGATTAGTTCAGTCAACATTCTTATTTCACACGGTACTTTAGTACCATGATAAATATAATTTACTTCAATCATGTGGAAATTGTAACCTCTGTATCTTCCCTTTTAAAGTGAAAATGTACAGGTGTTATGATGGAATGAATGAACAGAAATGTGTTTGTTTTTAGGGAAGTGAAATGTGGACAGCAAAATCCAATATGCTGCAAGTCCTTGTGTCAATACAAGGTAATGATGTCTTGTATAATTATAAAAACAAGTAATCTAAGGTTTGTTAGTGTAACTCAAATCAAAGGTTTGCTCATCAGTGAATTAATAATTACAATAAAACTTGTTTAGTACAAAGACGGATATTGCGAATTCACGGATGTAGACCAGTTTTTATGAAACCATCCAAGATATTTTTATCAAACTTCATATGCTGATACATACTAATGTAAAGAATTCAACTGCATCAACATTTTTGACCTTGACCTTACTTTTATCAAATTGTTTAAGTCAGTTTTGAAGAAATCATTCAAGACATTTTTATCAAACTTCATATGTTGATGTTGATACATATTGATGAGAGATATTCAACTGCATTAACATTTTTGACATTAACATATCCTTTGACCTTGACCTCACTTATCCTAAATTAGTGCCAAACTTCATATGCTGATACATATTGATGTAAGCAATTCAACTGCATCAACTATTTTGACCTTGACCTTTCATTTGACCTTGACCTCACTTTTATCAAATTGTGTTTAAGTCAGTTTTAAAGAAACCATTCTTTTCAACTTCTTATTCTGATACATACTGATTAGAGCTTTTCAACTGCATCAACATTTTTGGACCTTGGCATTTCCTTTGACCATGACCTCACTTTAAAGAAATTAGTGTCAAACTTCACATGCTGATACATACTGATGTAAGCAATTCAACTGCACCACTATTCAAGACATTCTGATCAAATTTCATACACTAATACATATTTTCATGTTGCATAACTAATATACCCTCAATGGGGCATTCATGTCCTATGGACATATTTCTAGTTTAACTGTGTAATATTTGTACTACAGGGTTAATTTTGGTAGCAGAGCCTTATTATAATGAGGCTGGATTTGAGAAACAGCGTGGATCTGTGATTGGTGATGAAAACAGCAAGATGTATAATGAAATGGCCATCATTAAACTAGTGCAAGTGAGTATGACTTTGTAATTGCTGTGTAAAGGATGACTTGAACAACTGAAACATGGTTATAAATGATCATAGTTGTTTAGATATAAAAGCTATTCCAAGGATTATTAATATTTTAGAGTTTTAAAATATGTGACAATGTAAATATTTCAGAGTTTGACACGAATGATAGAGAATCCCCCACACAGTTTTAAGGAGGAGATGATTTCACATCTCAAAGAAAATGCTGAAAGGCAAGTCGTGTAAATTTATATGTAGACAGAAGTTTGATGTTTTATGTTTTCTCTTAAAATAATTTCATCTGCATTAGTACATATTTAAGATATATGTACTTTTAAATGATATGTGTTATCTGATATACATGTATGTTATAGAATGATCCATCGATATGAGTATTGGTTGGAGTCATCCATTGTTAACAAAGATCAAGACAATGGAGTACATGTGAACTGTGACACTGCAGCTGACCCGTCCACTGGTGGTCAGTCCACAAACCAAGTGATGGACACTGCACCTCCCTCAACACACCCGCAGCTGACCAATAGTAATAAAGAGGCGGGGCACTTCAGGCCGCCAGAATTTTCTCTGTTTCCTCCCTCCAAGGGTTTCTGTATACCCATGAAAAAATACTTGGAAACTTTCAAGCAGACAGTAAAAAAGAACATCTTATCTGAGGATGCTGAGTCAACAGTTTCATCATAATGGTCAAAACATTCTCTAGTCCAAGTTTAACGGTTATTTATTTGTTAAATATTTCTGACATGTATTATGCTGTGCAGGTTCATGTATACATCTGAGGTGGTAGCATTTTATTTTTTTTTCTTTAAATTTTGATTAGCAGCTATAAAGTGATGATATTTGCAATATCCCATTCTAATTATATCATGGTCCTCAGGCAATTGAGGCATTAAACCTCTAAATTTATATAGTGATGTGTTTCATTAAAATTAAAACCTAAGTGCTAATTTTCTGCATGATTGTGTGCTAGTGCTGTATGTTATTGTTGATGTTTACTATGAACTGTATTATTTGCAATTCTTTCTACGCTCTTGACAAGCTAGAATCTTGTGTAAGAATGTTGTTATTAAATCACATAACAATTTACCTTATTTAAACTATTGTCTTGTATTTTGTTATGGTGCCAAATTTTTGTTTTGTGATAAGATTGTCATCGAGCTAGATGCTATGTGGTTTCTACTATTTGTTATGATGGCCTGCTGAGATGTTTGACCTGTATATTGCTCGTGTTTCCCCCTCCCAGACTTTTTAGAAGTTTATTCAGTACTCATGAGATTACACTTCTTGTTAAATAATTTACTTGTATGTTGATATTTGTTAGGTAGTACATATATCAGTTTATATACAGCTAAAGACCTGTAAATTAAAATAAGATATTAGTATTCATACATATACACTGTACTGTATTTATTACCAGTAGTCATGACCAAAAATTCCCATTAGTTAGAACTATCAATGAATTGCATAAAATATTTTTTGTTTTACATGTACAAGTCTTTCATTTATATTGGTATCCCCCCCTTCAAAGAAGGGAGGGCATATTGCTTTCCTGCTGTCTGTCGGTCCACTTAGTTTCTGTTCATTTTCTTAACAACCATAGCACATACTGAAACGAAATTTGGTTTACAGATTTATCAGATGAGTACTGTATCTAAGTCGAATTCTGTTTTGGGTACAATTGAGCCATTTTTGACAGAGTTAGGCCCCTTGGACTTAAGAAAAATTCTAATTATTTGCAGTTTCTGATCATTTTCTTTGAAGAGGTTGCACATACTGAAATGACATTTGGTATACAGTTTATCAGATGAATATCTAGGTCAAGTTTTGTTTTGCATATGATCGAGCAATTTGGGACAGATTTATGCCCCTTGGACTTAGAAAAATTCCAGTTATTTGGGGGAGGGGGGCATAAGTGTTTTACAAGCATCTCTTGTTAAATATAATTTAATGCAAGTACTCAAGGGATTGTCATTAATTTATAAACACATACATGTAGAAATTAGTCATTGTGATTATTCCAACCTCTGAAGTAAATCTCTCAATCTCTTTCATCATGTGTTTTATTTCAGTAGATTTATCTATAGGGATGTACAGTAAAACAAACTCGTAAAGAAGTGCCAGAGACACAATATTTCTTTGTCATAAACCTTATTTCTTTTATTTGACTTGTTCCTGATACATTTTAATGCCACGAGTGAACCTCACTTTGCTGCATGTCAATTTTTATATATTCTAAATTATACAAAAAATATTAAGCATGTTTGCTTGAAGCAGGTTTAACTGTATCCCTATCAGCTTTGTCATATATGGATAATTTGTATAAAATGGTCATATTACAATGAAGCACTTTGAAGCTTGTGGAATGCTAGTTTGTGTAACACTTATTGAGGTAGCATCCTTATAAATCCCAAACTTTATGTTGTGCTCTGTAGTCAAGCAATTGGTAACATCGACTGAGGGAGAGATACATGTCCATTTATTTCCAAGGTTGTCCCTAAGACCTGGTGGCCAGGGAATTTCATCAACTATAATGAACAAATCCCCAAATTATTCAGGAGTTCTTCCTCAACTCACTTTTATGGGAGGAGAACTAGAGCCCCTTCTACTTTTTCAATGCCCTCTAGTGTTATTCCAGTTCCTAGGGACAACCCTGATTTTGAAGTGCTAATATAACAAAGCTCTGACAACCTCTATTTTTCCAGTCTTCTATAAAATTCAGTCTTCATTCTGAAATACATGTGTATTTTTCAAATTTGATCTTTCCTTGCTCCTGATATTTGGAACAATTCTGGTCCAGTTAAAGCGATTTCATTTGAGAGGGTGGGGGTATAATTCTTTCAAAGGGAAACAAATAATAAAAATAAACATATCACTCAGTAGGACCAAACTTGCTTTCTCATAGCTTGAGGGTACTTTTGTGCAGCTTATTCAGAAATAAGGATAAATATACATCATGTGCTGGTTACATTTAATGCAATTTATGACTACACTAGTCATAAACTGATGCCTGTAGTATTTCAGCTCTTCTTGTCTTAGATCAGAACTGCACTTCAAAATTATATCTTTAAACAATACAAATTTGTAAACAGGGTATAAAACCCAATTCAATTTAATTGAATTTAGTTGAGTGTTGATTAATATACTTCCATATGGAACTTTTTTCCTCTGGAGAGAAATACAATAAAATTTGTCTAATCCAACCACCAAAATTCCAAAGAAACTGGATAAGACAGAATTCTGGATTAACCATCTAAAACAAAAGATATTGCTATAAAGGACCTTGAAGTAGATAAGATTTTGAAATACATAACATCCAGATTATATGCATTTCATTGAAATTTAGCTTTAAGTGTAAATTTTCCAATCTTTATAATGCTTTAATGAAGAGCAAGCATTGTGTCATATAGGAAAGAGCATGTGTTTTCTTTACCCGAGTTTTGGTGAAAGTCACATAGCGCTTTTTTGTTTAATGTCAAATTCTGTTGGATCTATGGATTGTTTATAAAATTTTGTTTATTGCACCCTGAAAATAAACATTTTCTAGAGTATATTTCGGTGTTCATGTATTTATTTTAAAAATAGCTTATTTCATAATTTCAAATTTTTATTTTACTAGAGGCACTGGACCAATGTGGAATTAGCAGCCTTTGTGATTTCTAAAGGATTTTATTTCACAAAATTTTCCTACACAGGAGGAACAATACTCGATACAAAAGTATTCCTTGAATCATGTAGTATAATGTAAGATAATAATAGATTAACAACAATAATATAACAATTATGAATGGTAATAAAATAGTTAAAAATATAATTCTGACTAAACAATCATATAGTTACATTCACTGTGTACAAAAATCCATTGCCTTCTTTTCTATCACAGACAATAATATATGCAAATCAGCGGTCATAATTACATTTTAGATAATTGTTTGAAGACGGGGCTGTTCTTAAGAGCCCAATAATTGTTTTCACTTGTAAGCCACGCCCCTCCATCAGCCACCACAGTGGTTCCCGTCAGTAACTCTGCAGCAGGACTCACTATGTACAACACTGTGTTACCAATATCCTCTCGCTTTCCAAGTCTCTGGACTGGAATTGACTTTACATAGGCATCAGTGATTCTTTCTCCCCCTAAAAAATATTGATAGAGAGAATATAAATTTGAATAAGCATGTCCATATGTATATCAGTCATAATTAGAGTGTACATTTGAATTGTCGAGGTGGTTAACTGCAAAGTGAGATCTTTCTTGAAGAAAACGGGAAAAAAATTGCAAGGGAATCCAATTGGATAATACCTATAAAATAATAGACCATTTAGAAGGGAGACATAGGCCATAGGGTTTTCACAGGAGGGAGCTTGCGTCCGAGGGTGACAATCCTACTCAGACCTGATAATTGGTAATGTCTCCCGTCTAAACAGTCGTAGTCCATAATAGTTTTATTATCCTAAAGAATCTAAATTATCAATTAAATAGAGTAAAAAATAGTAATCAAAACTCCTATGTTCCCTACTCGGCTCTGATTCCATACTTTAAAAATATGTCAACAGACAATTTTGATGTGAACGTTAGAATTTATCGTATACCAATCACGCATATTTAGAAATTGTACATTTATACTGTAAAATCACATGTTTTCGTGGAGTCAGATTTTCGTGGTTTGGGTAAAAACTCTTGGTTGGTAGGGATTTGACTTCATGGATGTAGAATTCTTGAGTAGATACATGTATGTATGTAAAATTTTATATTTCGTGGTGTACATGAATTTGTGGGTCTCTTCATACCTCGAAAACAACGAAAATTTAAACTCCAATGAAAAATTGTGATTTCACAGTTATTATGAATAAGAGTTATCTCCCTTAAACCACTGCAATTTCATTCAAAGGGCAACAACACAGTTGTAACTGTGCATGCTTGCTTAAGCTTTTTCATTGTCATCTGAAGGATAATAATGTTATATGTGTAACTTAGAGTATTTGTCTTTCAAAATCCAAAGTGCTATGAAACCTACAGTAATTTACAGTTGTATGTTCCCTGATTAGTACTCACCCAGTCTCCTCATTCCTTCCGTGTCCGCTATCGGTCCAGGAGCTACACACATCATTCTTACGCCATTGGCCCCCCACTCTACTGCCAAGTGTTTGGTCATTGCCTCTGAAATAAAGTAACACAATTATAAACCAGCAAGTCAAAAGTATCTTACCATGAATGTCCAGCACACTGTAATAATTTTTATCTTACCAATGGCAGCTTTGGCTGATCCAGCATGTGTTTGTAAAATCCGTCCACGGAAACTAAGTGTTGCAGTGATGTTGATAATAACTCCACCATTACTCTAAAAATCATTAATAAAAAAGTTTTAAAATGAAAAGCAAAATTAAAATTGCAACCTATCAGAGGATGCTTAATTATTGGAGATACTGCAGGAAAATCATGAAGGAAAAAACAAGGACCTGGTACATGTATCTTAATTTAAAGAAAACAATTTGAACCTATCCGTAACAGTTTCTTATCACCAGAAAAGTTCAGTATTGTTTTTTATATTGCCTTTGTATTTTTCTGGTGAATATCACATTGAAACCAAAGTAAATGGTTAAAGAGTCCATTACTAAATTATTGACATACCTTCATGTATTTGTCAAACACAGCTTTGGAGACATTAAAGGTTCCATGGGCATCAATCTCCATCACTGTTTTGAAGGCATTGAAAGAGAGGTTCTCAGCTGGACATAGAAAGTTCCCTGCTGCATCTGAAATGTCAATCATACTAGACAATGTATTTTAGTGTATAAACTATAGTATATGTAAACTATCTGCAACAGTCAAACCACATCTGTTCAATATTATTATTGACATGTGTTTAACATACTCTACATCAAGAATATTTAATGACTTTTAACGTTATAATAATTGCTTTATCATATTCATGGTTTTTCGTACACATTCCTTTTGTTCACTGATACATGTACGAGAGTCATTCAAAAAATACGTAGACAATGCTTCTCATCGTCATATGATTATTACAAGATTATAGATCAATACATTTTCGTAAACATATATATTTATTTTGTCGAAGTGTGAAGTTTCATTCCATTTGATTAAATAGAACTAATGTTAGCCAAAATTTAAAGCAACATGTTTTATTACCATGGAGCACGGTTAACCAATATTGTAACGTCAACAAGAACGTTGAGAAAGTTTGTCAAAAGTATACTCATTTTTTTTTAATTTCAAACACAGTCTGTAGTGTCTTCTCCATTCAAAACACATATCCACAACAATTAACACCTAGTTTGCTGACAATTGTACAAATATAGCTTGAATAAGAATGTTATTGTTTTCAAATTATTTAAATTACTATGCAACTCTATTATTTCTGCAACATTGAAGCACACATCACGTTCAATGACGTTCCTAACTCTTTTTACAATATTTTAATCTTTAACCTGTTTCTTTACAGACAATCCATCGTCCGATTAAAACTCGCTACCACTCAAAAATTGTATTTTTAATTTAATACAAATACACAGATTATTTTTCATACAGATCCTGGTTTAAAAGGATTTTTTAAGCTTGTAGAAGAAGTTTCCTGAATGTAAAGTCTAATTTTATTGCTACTTGCTGCTCCGTGATGTCCTCCAACGTCATGGTTTTTTGCCTTTTTCAATCAAGTCCTTATGTATTTAGAAGCTGATATCTTTTAAATGGAGCGAGATACTACATAACCTGATTTCATTTTAATTAATACAACAATACTTTATTTAAACATGTAAATTTTATTTCGTTTCAGTTCCATTTATTAGAGGTATAGCTGTAAATACTATAAAGTAAAAATTAGAAAAATACCCAATTTCGTCGGTGCTCCGTGACCCCATTTTTGCTGTTCTAAATCCTTCAAGTTGGTAATTTTAATAAATATGAAGATACATTCCAATTTTTTTACTCAAATTATTTGAATCTGTTGTTAAAATATTTGTACCAAATTTGGATATAATATGACGTTAAATAAAAAAGTTAGAACAAAAGTCTACGAACTTTTTGAATGACCCTCGTAGAACTCTGTGAGGAATAAGGACTGCATATTTGCAAAATGCTTGTGACAACTGACAGAAATACGAGGCACACAACTTTATATATTTCTTTTCAGAATAAATATTATCCAATACCAGTTTTTGTTATAAAAAAAAATTTAAATTCAAGTTCTTATGGTTATAAGCTAATACTTACTGTTGACCAGGATGTCAATATGCTTGAATTGTCCCAGAGCTTCATCGACAGCCTTTGTTATCGTCTCTGGCTTTGAATATATAAACAAATACTTAGTACTACATGTATTAAATCACTTTTTATGTGGTGACAGTTTTTCATGATATGAAAAGGAATTTGTCGGATTAGGATTGGATTTTTTGGATGAAGTGCATGATGATGTAAATTCTATTTCTTGTTTTTTATGTAGAACTAAATGATACATGTATTTTTCTTTGGGAGGATACATAAATTACTCGATCAACAACTGGTGAATATGCGAACATCTTAATGCCAATGAATGTTGCTTTTATTCAGATAAAATAAATTTTTTATGCCTGAAAATGAGTAAATATTCCACCTTTCTGACATCCATTTGTAGTGGCAGACATTTTTGACCTGTGGCTTTTGACAGTTTTTCAGCTGAACTTTTCACAACATCGAGTCTGCGGCTGGCAATAACTGTGTCACAGCCATGTCTGTAAATTATCCAATAAATGAATATCATTTTCAAAAGACTGATATGATATAGATTATAATATTACTTCTTTATTTTGCAAAAGTGGGTCAAACTCCAAGGCCAAAAAGTCAAATATGTTGATTGTCACAAGGATCGGAATACACAAGTGAAATATGAAAGTAATAGTTCCAACGATGAAAAAAAAGTAATGGGCAAGGTTAACATTTTTGCAGACAAACAGAAGAATAGGGCAAAAACTTAAATTTACACCCCTGAATTCCTTTACCTGTTTACAGGGGCATCAAAAATTATTTTTTGTAATTTTTTTTTTTTTGCCATGGGACTGAGGTTGTGATTAATTGTTATTATTTGATTGGTTTAATACACATTGATTACACTAAACACCAAATTGGAAACTTCTAGATCCGCCCCATGCAACTGAGCATTGGTGACAAAATATGTTACGTTCCAGTTAGTGCACCCTCAATATACCTTTTGATCCTATGTTGGTTGCATGAAAAGAAAATCACATACAGAAGACTTACCTCATCAATACTTCTGCTATCGTGAATCCTATTCCTGTTCCACCTCCAGTAATAAATGCCACTTTACCTCTGAAATATACAAGCGAGGCTAATTAATTAAGTAACTTACTTTCACTTTCAAAATCCGCCAAAATAAATCTTACACGATGACAAATTATCTAATTTTAAAATGGTAACCTTAATACATCTCTCTGAAAAATGTATTTGTAATCGGTTACTAGTGGTTCAGTAGACATTGTTCTCTCTTCGATATGAAATGCAGCTGCTGATCGCCGATCTGCTCAGTTTACTTTCACAACTTGTCACACGTGCAGACGCTCAAAGCTGAAATCAAAAGTAGAATATCGAACCCGATGTAAATCCGAAAATCCACTGAATCACAGACATTAGAGATAAGATAATGAAATGAAATAGATTTACACCAGCGATTCATCATTCTCCAAATTGTACAAATTTTTGTCACATTCAAATTGGTCTGTAAGGTCAGTTTCATCCTAGTAAGCTTACAGAATTTTCATGCAGCACGGTGTTTTTAAAGCTTATTATGTCCTAGCGTACTATGTAAGATTATTGTTTTAATAATTCTCGAAGTTTCAAAACTTTACAGCTATGGTGTGTTCGTAGCATTTGAACATTCCTAGAGGTAATAATGAATTTATAATTGGTTACAAGTCCAATTAGTCCAGTTTGGAGCTGCAATATTTACTGCAATAACATAAACATAGGTAATCAGAGATTACAGAGCTCACCTCAACGAATGTTGTCTTTAAGTAAGGCAAATTAAGTCACACAATTAACCAACAAAAAGTGTACATCCAAAAATGCAAAAATTTATGCAATTTTGATACCTTGGAATAGACCTATATAAAAACTTAAAACTAGTTCTTCATCATGAAAATGTAATTAAAATCCAGCATCTGAAGCAAGATTGAGAGTTTTCATCCCTTGATGCATCATTTGTGCAACTTTGGTATAGTTTCTTGGTGATAGACCTGCACCCATAACTTTTACGAGGTCTATTATCTGGAAAATGTATGTCGAATTCAGCATCTGAAGCAAGTCCAATAGTGTGCATCCTAAGATGTATCATCCATGCAAGTTTGTTCAACATAGAGCTCAAAGTTACTTGGAAATGAAACCTGTATAAACCAGAAGTCTCTGTCGAGACTGTAGCTCTACTGTTTTATACTTAAAACAAAGGAAGAGAAAAGTAGCAGTTTTGACTTGAGACTTCAAAACAGGAATCAATAGAAAAATGATCCTTGACACTCAACAAAATAAAAACTGATGCACAGAATTATGTATCTTAGTGTAGTCTACTATCTGCCAAGTTATATTAAAATCAGACCAAAACTAAAGGAGGAGTAGCATTTGAAAGAATTTCACAGAAATTTCTATTTTTAGAAACCATGGCAACACTGTTCATCAAAATCAAAAACTGATGCACAGAATTATGTATCTTAGTGTAGTCTACTTGTGTGCCACATTATGTTGAAATCAGAACAAAACTGGTGGACGAGTAGTATTTAAAATAAAATTTCACAGAAATTTCTAGTTTTAGTAACCATGGCATCACCGTTCATCGAAATCAAAAACCGATGCACAGAATTATGTATCTTAGTGTAGTCTACTTGTGTGCCAAGTTATATTGAAATCGGACCAAAACTGTAAGAGGAGTAGCATTTTGAAAGAAGTTCACAGAAATTTCTATTTTTAGTAACCATGGCAACATAGTTCATCGAAATCAAAAACCGATGCACAGAATTATGTATCTTAGTGTAGTCTACTTGTGTGCCAAGTTATATTGAAATCGGACCAAAACTGTAAGAGGAGTAGCATTTTGAAAGAAGTTCACAGAATTTTCTATTTTTAGTAACCATGGCAACACCATACATCGAAATCAAAAACCGATGCACAGAATTATGTATCTTAGTGTAGTCTACTTGTGTGCCAAGTTATATTGAAATCGGACCAAAACTGTAAGAGGAGTAGCATTTTGAAAGAAGTTCACAGAAATTTCTATTTTTAGTAACCATGGCAACACCGTTCATCGAAATCAAAAACCGATGCACAGAATTATGTATCTTAGTGTAGTCTACTTGTGTGCCAAGTTATATTGAAATCGGACCAAAACTCTAATAGGAGTAGCATTTTGAAAAATTGTTTACAGACAGACAGACAGACGGACAGACAGACAGACGGACGGACGCCGGACGCATTACTATCGCATAAGCTCTTCTGGTCTCTGACCAGTAGAGCTAAAAACTAACCTTTTCACTAATCCAGAAAATGTAGGTCAGATTCAGCTTCTGAAGTCAGCCTAGTAGAATGCACCCTTAGATGTACCATCCATGCAAGTTTGATCATTATAGGGCTCAAAGTTACTTGGAAATGAATCCTGCACCATAAATTTTAACCTGTTTACTCGTCCACAAAATGTAGGTCAGATTCAGCATCCGAAGCAAGTCTTGTAATATGCATCCTAAGATGTACCATCGATGCAAGTTTGGTCATTATATGTCTCATAGTAACTTGGAAATGAAACCTGCACCAAAAACTTTAACCTGTTCACTCAACCGGAAAATGTAGGTCAGATTCAGAATCCGAAGCAAGACTGGTAGTATGCATCCCTAAGATGTACCATCCATGCAAGTTTGGTCATTATATGTCTCATAGTAACTTGGAAATGAAACCTGCACCAAAAACTTTAACCTGTTCACTCAACCGGAAAATGTAGGTCAGATTCAGAATCCGAAGCAAGACTGGTAGTATGCATCCCTAAGATGTACCATCCATGCAAGTTTGGTCATTATATGTCTCATAGTAACTTGGAAATGAAACCTGCACCAAAAACTTTAACCTGTTCACTCAACCGGAAAATGTAGGTCAGATTCAGAATCCGAAGCAAGACTGGTAGTATGCATCCCTAAGATGTACCATCCATGCAAGTTTGGTCATTATATGTCTCATAGAAACTTGGAAATGAAACCTGCACCAAAAACTTTAACCTGTTCACTCAACCAGAAAATGTAGGTCAGATTCAGCATCCGAAGTAAGTCTAGTAGAATGCATCCTAAGATGTACCATCCATGCAAGTTTGGTCATTATAGGGCTCATAGTATCTTTGAAAAGAAACCTGCACCAAAAACTTTAACCTGTTCACTCAACCGGAAAATGTAGGTCAGATTCTGCATCCGAAGCAAGTCTGGTAGTATGCATCCTAAGATGTACCATCCATGTAAGTTTGGTCAACATAGGGCTTATAGTTACTCGGAAATGAGACCTACATCAAAAACTGCACCAAAAATGTTAACTTGCACCAAAAACATTAACCAGGTCATTCCTTTGCTGAAACTGCAGCATCTGAACCTTTGACTGGTACAATGAAACACATTAGAAACATCTTCCATGCATGTCTAATCAATATAGGACATAGAAGTACTTCAAAAGAAAACTGCTCCAAAAAACTTAACCTTAACCCGGGACGCCGACGCCGAGGGTATCACATAAGCTCCCCCCAACTTCGTTGAGGTGAGCTAAAAAGGTCAGTAAATGTAATTGATCGAGAAATTATTAACGCGGTACGTAATTACTATCTTTACTTCTCATAAGCACAATGTGGAAAATTATTTGTATCCTGTGGAGGCGTTTTAGCTTTTATACGTCAGAGAACGTATACTATAATGGTTTGAGGAATGATGCTTTTTTCACTTTTGAAATGAGAATCTCTTTATCACCTGATTTTCTTGCATTTATTTAATATTCGAATGTCATTTCATTATTCGATCATCAGTCCATTCGACTGATAGTCGAATAGTCGACTATTCATTGACATCCCTAATTTTTACTTCTGTAGGTGCTTTACAGTGTTGCATTATATTCAGGAGATTGTCAAGGCCTTTTGGCCTCTTTTGATCCCAGAAATGTGTGTGGGTGTAGACTTCTGTACCAGACAAAATGTAGTTCTATTTTTTCTGGGCTTATGTTGAAAAATAACTGACAATAACTTGGAATTATATCTGCATGTATATTTTTAACAAAATACATGTGAAAAAATTCATAATTAACAAAAATATACATTACTGATATTAAATTACAAGCACATAGCACCAATCGTTTTTCATAAAAGAATGTTTGATCTGACAATGAGAGAATTAAATTATCACAGATTATACTCACAAGTCTTTTATATACAATGATTTTAAATACCCATGCAGGTACTGTAAATTAAAATGATGGACAAACAAAAAAATTAAATACATTTTTAAAAAAATAATTTTTTACTGATATACATAAAAACTTAATATTCCTGATAATGTTGATTTACAATGAATGACAGGTAATTCAAACAAATCTTCAAAAACTAATAACAAAAGGAAAGAAAAAAAATTAATTATAATGTATGATAACTTTACACTGACAGTACATTGTAATTCCCAGTTCTCAGTAACATTATATGGAAAAAAAATTCTGATTAGAGGTTATCCGTTGATTAGAATCTAGTGGTAATCGAACACATCATTCATTTTATCCATCATCTCAGACAGTTTATAAAAATTCAAGTACACTGTGTTACATTTTAGATATCATTTGTTTGTAAATAGAGCTGTTTTTCAGAGCCCAGTAATTGTTTTGACTGGTGAGCCAATCCCCTCCGTCAGCTATCACCGTGGTTCCCGTCAGTAGCTCAGCAGCAGGACTCACTATGTACAACACTGTGTTACCAATGTCTTCTCGCTTTCCAAGTCTCTGGACTGGTATTGACTTTACATAGGCATCTGTGACTCTATCACCTCCTGAAAGTATTACAGAAATTTAAAATGAATGAGCATAAACAAGAGCTGATAGAGTGTTAGCCAGATCTCAGGATTGACAAACTGAGTCACTCATGTTACTGTATGTGTTATTTATTTGCACAATTTTTTCCGATATTTTCCATTTTGCATAAATGACTCACTTCCATGAGCACTCTCTCAAGTGCACGGAACCGAAATTTTATCATTTTAAAAATTACAAGAAGAAATTAATCTTGAATTATTTGATGCTCAATCAAATTTTCAAAACCCCTTCTTAAAGTTTACTGATAAAAAAATTACATAACAAGTCAAAAAATATTTGAAGAAATCCTTTTTCTTAATCCAAGTTAATCGAAATAACTGCCTAAAAGGGGGATAACTCTATTAACAGAAATTGAGTTTTACCCCTTTTTTGTCTGAAACTACAACTTATATCTCTACCGATCATTCCTACAAACTATATTGAATGTACGGTAAGATAATTTTAATTGTAATGATAATTTTATATGTGTCCTAATTAGTACTCACCCAGTCTCCTCATTCCTTCCGTGTCCGCTATCGGTCCAGGAGCTACACACATCATTCTCACTCCATTGGCCCCCCACTCTACTGCCAAGTGTTTGGTCATTGCCTCTGAAATAGTTATTGAAAAGGCAGTGTATATTTTCACCATGTACTTACAGAACATGTACCTTAAATTAGGACAGCTCTGCATGGTAGCATTTAAAACAAAGCAAACAACTAGATAGAGTACCAGTACATGTATTTATCCACACTTGATGTTCATTAAACATACTTAGTAAACATTTGATATTTTATGACAATTAGCACTTTTGATCATAGAAGACTTGCTTTAACATTTCCAAACATCTAAATATATAAACTGTGTCCTGATCAAAACAGCAATCTCTAAAATAATTGCAGATTTGACAGAATTATTAAGAAAATTACACTTTTATTTGAAATTCGTGTGAAAACAAAGCAAGATGAAATTTATTACAATATTTCCACTTGTATTTCACATGCAAAATACTAAATTGACATAATGACATCAAAGTAAATTTTTTTAATAAGAATACTGTAAACCAACTATTTTTCGCATCATCCTTTATTTGAAATTTGTCAGCTTTAAATCCACCTGCAGCGATTAAATTTCAAGACTAAAGAAAATATTATCTACAAATACAAAGCAAAATAAATGAGTTGAGGCATTTTATATTCATGAGTTAATTTACATGTAGATCACGAAACTTGCCAATATTTCTCGCACGTGAATAAAACTTGGTTTTACAGTATTCCATGTAAAATTAGAGTACTTCTAAGTGAAATACTTTAATTTCTTATCAGACCTATTTGGCATTAAATCTAGAGGAAATCTTCTTTTTTACCAATGGCAGCTTTGGCTGATCCAGCATGTGTTTGTAAATGCTGTCCACGAATACTTAGTGTTGCAGTGATGTTGATAATAACTCCACCATTACTCTGAAAATTTTAGTCACTTGAAATGAATGCATGTGTATCATAAAATGACCCATTCCCAATCACATATACTGTACATAGCTAAATATTTCAGTTGCACAAGGAATATTAGGCTTTGTTTAGAAAATATTGAAAAAAGTCAGTGAAAACAAAACTTACAAAGTTAAGTTTGTATAGAAATTTCAGTCATAAAATTAATTCTACAATTTTAGTAGAGGACTTAAGCTTTCATTACACTTGTAATCATGGAAAGAGTGTGTCTCTGCTAAGTACAGAAAAGGCTTTTTCAATTTACCATCCCTTGGGACCAAAATTAGCCATACTCAGGACCTGTACACCGGACCAAGGGATACAATTTTTACAATTTTAACACACTAAGTGTTACACAGTAAGTCATATCTTAGAAATAGTTTGCTCTCTAAATTATTATTATAGTATGATACATCATTTATATTGACATATTTTAAAATAAAACAAAGTGTCAGACTGTGTGCATTTCAGTATTAATGGAATAAAATGCCAGTTTATTTGTATTTAATACCTTCATGTACTTGTCAAACACAGCTTTGGAGACATTAAAGGTTCCATGGGCATCAATCTCCATCACTGTTTTGAAGGCATTGAAAGAGAGGTTCTCTGCAGGACATAGAAAGTTCCCTGCTGCATCTGAAATGACAATCACGCTACTACAGTGTGTCTTTAGATCCTGGAAAAAATAATAATCAGCAAATGTGTTCCTTTATCATTTATCAGAGATGTTCATTGAAAAATTCTTTGAGTATTTAACATTTTTATAATGTGTCTACTTAGGTTGTCTCAGATTCCTATACGATACAATGTAGGGTAGATATGTCCAAAAAATGAGTTTATCACAAACAACCTAGCTCTATATGTATCCAGAAATACAATAAATGTGGAAATTTTAGCGAGATGCAAATTTAGCAATTTGTCCTTAAAAATTGGTATTTTATTTTTGCGAGCAGTAATTTTAGCGATTTTAAAATGCTCACTAAAGAAGCTAATGAAAATAAAATGCAATAAATCTTTAGCTATCTCAGCATCCTCACTAATACATGTAATGCCAAAATTAAATCCTTGCTAAAAATTCTGCCATTTACAGTAATTCCTAATTTAAGGGTCCTCCACACCATGTGACTTGTGACATATAAAGAGAAAAAATACTTTTACTTCCGGTTTTATGTAGTTTGTGCAATGATGAATTGCCTGGCACCACTTGTAAGAGAGTCTTTCAAACGCTTTACAAATAAAGGTTTTGTCAATGGAAAAGTATGCAGTACACTGAGAGCGACACCCTAATCATAAACAATGAACACATGGCATGGTCACAGAGTGACCAATAAAAAACGATGTCCTTTTTTTCAATAAAAGAATGACAAACGACTGGGTTTATATGTTACATAATAATTCGTAAACAGCGGGTGCCGGTATGACAAGAACTTAAGGTCAGACGACACGTTCCTCAGATATATGTTTTGTATCTCTTGGTATTATGTCAAAAATTATTCATATTTGTCATTCTCTTCTGATTTATACATTGTTTTTAAAATGTTTTAAAAATTAGGAAAACAAAAATTTTGTTATAGGCCATTTAGAAGATTACTCATAAGGGTTATATAAGAAATATAAACCCATGGTATCTTGGCCAAATGCCTGGTAAGGTACCCTAATTTTTTGTGAGGAAATTTGTTTAAGTACTTATACTTCAATGACAAATTCTTAGAAAAAATTATATATTTTTGAAGAACGTGTCATGTGACCTTAAAGGTTGTTTACACTTTCAGGCTAATCAACCCACTGCCATATGACCGTCAACAGAGTCTGTGTTGAAAGTTGATATTTTTGCACACTAATCTGTGCGTTTCAATTATAATCATTGTGTGTTTATAAATATTGATAAAATAGTATGTGTTTCTAGTTTTCCTCTTTTATATCAACCCAATGCAGTAGCCAATAATGAGTAACTATTGTATGGTGATGTATGTGGAGACTTGCCAAAGTTTTTGGGTCCCAGGCAACAGGTAAGATAACTCCAAAAAGGAACTTTGATACTAAAGATTTTGAAAATATTTTTTCTACATCAGTGCATTCAATTTTAATTCATATTTTTTCAATTCTAATTCATTGATGCTTCTTTTATACAAAATGAGTTTCCTTGATTTTTCTCTAGATGTATTTTAGAGAAAATGAGTTTTATTTATTTTTTATAAATTAAATAAATTTCTCAAAAAAATATGTTGATCGATAAAATTAGGTTTTTATGGTCATTCTGTGAGCTTAAAAATATATGAAAGGATAAGACAAAATTTTTTGTGCAATGTATTAAAAAACCTTGGGAAAAATATCTTGAAACTTGTGAAATTATTTTTAAAAATCCGTATAGATTACGTTTTAAACCCTGGCCAGTTTTTAAAAGTTGATATGCTTGTTAAAAGTAATGCTCAATGATATGAGAACATAAGCTACATGTGTGTGTGGAGGACCCTTAATTCAAGTTTTATACTGGGCCTATGAGATATGCCAAAAGACAAAGGATGCATTTTCAACAACAATATTTGTACATGTTCTACAGTGCTTGCTAGGAAACCTACAAAGCTAAAAGGCAAGGACTCTGGAGAGAGTTAAGAGAATTTTATATAAAGATGCTGAATACTTACTGTTGACAAGGATGTCGATATGCTTGAATTGTCCCAGAGCTTCATCAACAGCCTTTGTTATCGTCTCTGGCTGTAAATGGTCATTAAATAAGGAATAATATAATATACATGTATATTCCTGTTCAAAATGTTATTAATATGTTATTAACTTACATGCACATTTCATTCTCTATCTCTTTTCTTTATTATTGCTTGGAAATTACTATTCCCATTAGTACACAGTAATATTAGTATTCAAAATTGTTTTTCTGAATTTTAAGATTTTTTAATCCCTCCCCCCCCCCCCCCCCCCCCCCCCCAATATTTTATGCAGTTTTCTAGAAATGCTTATAAAAAATTAAATAAACCTTTCTGACATCCATTTGAAGTGGCAGACATTTTTGACCTGTGGCCTTTGACAGTTTTTCAGCTGAACTTTTCACAACATCAAGTCTGCGGCTGGCTATAACTGTGTCACATCCATGTCTGTTAAAGAAAAGATGAAATAACTGTATTCTTTGACATGTTTAATAAACAAGAGGCCCATGGGCCACATCGCTCACCTGAGAAGCTTTGACCATTCTGTTCTTTACCAGATTTCCCCCTTGCTATACATAATGCATCCCCACCCTACCCCACTGATCATAATTTAGACATTTTGAAATCTACACTAACCCATGATCCTTCCATGGGCACATATGTTTCAGCTTTTTTGGCCCAGTGGTTCCTGAGAAGAAGATTTTCAAAGATTTTTCCTATATATTTCTATGTAAAACTTTGATTCCCTATAATGGCACCGCCCTACCCCCGGGGGTCATGATTCCTATAATTTAGAATTTACACTACCCTAGAATGCTTCTATATATATAAGCTTCACTTTTTCTGGCCCAGTGGTTCTTGAGAAGAAGATTTTCAAAGATTTTTCCTATATATTTCTATATAAAACTTTGATTCCAAATTGTGGCCCCGCCCTTCGCCCGGGGGTCATTATTTGAACAATTTAGAATCTACATTATACCAAGATGCTTCCACATAAGTTTCAGCTTTTCTGGCCCAGTGGTTCTTAAGAAGAAGATTTTCAAAGATTTTTCCTATATATTTCTATATAAAAATTTGATACCCCATTGTGGCCCCGCCCTTCCCCCGGGCGTCATGATTTGAACAATTTAGAATCTACACTACCCCAGGGTGCTTCCACATAAGTTTCAGCTTTTCTGGCCCAGTGGTTCTTGAGAAGAAGATTTTTAAAGATTTTTCCTATATATTTCTATAAAAAACTTTGATTCCCCATTGTAGCCCCACCCTTCCCCCAGGGGTCATTATTTTAACAATTTAGAATCTACATTATACCAGGATGCTTCCACATAAGTTTCAGCTTTTCTGGCCCAGTGGTTCTTGAGAAGAAGATTTTCAACGATTTTTCCAATATATATTTCTATGTAAAACTTTGATTCCCCATTGTGGCCCCGCCCTTCTCCCGGGGGTCATGATGTGAACAATTTAGAATCTACATTATACCAAGATGCTTCCACATAAGTTTCAGCTTTTCTGGCCCAGTGGTTCTTGAGAAGAAGATTTTCAAAGATTTTTCCTATATATTTCTATATAAAAATTTGATTCCCCATTGTGGCCCCGCCCTTCTCCCAGGGGTCATGATTTGAACAATTTAGAATCTACATTATACCAGGATGCTTCCACATAAGTTTCAGCTTTTCTGGCCCAGTGGTTCTTGAGAAGAAGATTTTCAAAGATTTTTCCTATATATTTCTATGTAAAACTTTGATACCCCATTGTGGCCCCGCCCTTCCCCCGGGGGTCATGATTTGTACAATTTAGAATTTACACTACCCAAGGGTGCTTCCACATAAGTTTCAGCTTTTCTGGCCCAGTGGTTCTTGAGAAGATTTTCAAAGATTTTTCCAATATATTTCTATGTAAAACTTTGATACCCCATTGTGGCCCCGCCCTTCCCCCGGGGGTCATGATTTGTACAATTTAGAATTTACACTACCCCAGGGTGCTTCCACATAAGTTTCAGCTTTTCTGGCCCAGTGGTTCTTGAGAAGAAGATTTTCAAAGATTTTTCAAATATATATTTCTATGTAAAACTTTGATTCCCCATTGTGGCCCCCCGCCCTTCCCCCGGGGGTCATGATGTGAACAATTTAGAATCTACATTATACCAAGATGCTTCCACATAAGTTTCAGCTTTTCTGGCCCAGTGGTTCTTGAGAAGAAGATTTTCAAAGATTTTTCCTATATATTTCTATGTAAAACTTTGATACCCCATTGTGGCCCCGCCCTTCCCCCGGGGGTCATGATTTGTACAATTTAGAATTTACACTACCCCAGGGTGCTTCCACATAAGTTTCAGCTTTTCTGGCCCAGTGGTTCTTGAGAAGAAGATTTTCAAAGATTTTTCCAATATATATTTCTATGTAAAACTTTGATTCCCCATTGTGGCCCCCCGCCCTTCCCCCGGGGGTCATGATGTGAACAATTTAGAATCTACATTATACCAAGATGCTTCCACATAAGTTTCAGCTTTTCTGGCCCAGTGGTTCTTGAGAAGAAGATTTTCAAAGATTTTTCCTATATATTTCTATATAAAACTTTGATTCCCCATTGTGGCCCCGCCCTTCCCCCGGGGGCCATGATTTGAACAATTTAGAATCTACATTATACCAGGATGCTTCCACATAAGTTTCAGCTTTTCTGGCCCAGTGGTTCTTGAGAAGAAGATTTTCAAAGATTTTTCCTATATATTTCTATATAAAACTTTGATTCCCCATTGTGGCCCCGCCCTTCCCCCGGGGGTCATGATTTGAACAATTTAGTATCTACACTACCCCAGGGTGCTTCCACATAAGTTTCAGCTTTTCTGGCCCAGTGGTTCTTGAGAAGAAGATTTTCAAAGATTTTTCCTATATATTTCTATATAAAACTTTGATTCCCCATTGTGGCCCCGCCCTTCCCCCGGGGGTCATGATTTGAACAATTTAGAATCTACACTACCCCAGGATGCTTCCACATAAGTTTCAGCTTTTCTGGCCCAGTGGTTCTTGAGAAGAAGATTTTTTAATGACCCAACCCTATTTTTGTCTTTTCTTGATTATCTCCCCTTGCGAGGGGATATGTCCCTTCATTTTAACAATTTAAATTCCCCTTCACCCAAGGATGCTTTGTACCAAGTTTGGTCAAAATTGGCCAAGTGGTTCTTGAGAAGAAGTCGAAAATGTGAAAAGTTTACAGACGGACAAACAGACGGACGGACAGACAGACGGACAGACGGACGGACAGACGGACGGACGACGGACAAAATGTGATCAGAAAAGCTCACTTGAGCCTTCGGCTCAGGCGAGCTAAAAACCTTCAAGGAGTCAATCACAAAGCAATCTTCAAGAGACAAAAATGATTATGCATGTTAATATTTTTAAATCATTTAATTGTTTTAAACCTTGAAAAACAAAGATATCGTGGACTTAGGTTCAAAGGGGAAAACACAGTGTAATGCAATTAACACACTACACAATTACATTTTCATATTATTCTGACAAGTGTGAAGTGTTTTTTTCCAAAATATTTTAAAGATACATGTATCATCATAAAACATTGGCTATTATTACATTAATTTGAAAATTTTGTATTGTATTTCAGTGAAAAAATTAGAACCCCATTCCTGCTTTCTGAAAGCATAGATTTCATAATCTTAAATATTCCCTACAAAAGAAATCGTATATTTGTTTGTTCTCTTGTGGCAAAGTAATCCATTAATAAATGTTTCTTTATTGAATAGTTTCATTCCACTTTCTTTTTTTTTTCAGTGTTTCTTTACACTGACTTCCATTTTTGGTGTTCAGATGAATTTGATCACTGGTGGCTCAGTTCATCAAAGCATCTGACAAATTTCAAGGGTTTTGAATCCTGATCAGGATTTTCCTCTTTATCTATTACAATTGGTGCTGTGCCCTGGAAGTTAAACATGTGAAAGAACTGCCAGGGAGGATCCTAAAATATATAGTGTATTTGGGAACCTTCAAGAGGAGAAGAATATGACAGTCATATGGATGAAATACTAATGATATACACATTGCTCAGTTGCTCCTGATAGAGCACTTGACTAGTGTAAATGGGTATCAAATTTGGTCTGGTCAGCTGCATTCTTCTTCTTGCCAGTTATTCATCACTTCCAAAAAGGACAAAATCATTCATCTTTAGATGAATTTTTCATTTCTGAAGGATGCTCGCAATTTTTTGAAATACATTTGGTTGAAACACACATATTAACTGGGCTAACACTTCTGAGGGAGAAATCAAAAATAAGAAAAGTTTATATTCTTGCTAATTTTGCCATATCTGCCAATTCTCCATATCAATCATCAAAACAAGTTAGGAAGTTTTAAATGCAGAATTTCAATATTTTCTATATTTTTTTTGTCTTACCACAGTAATACGGATATGTAAAAATAAATCTTGATGTACAGTTATGATGAATGGGTGGATTCCAATACACACATTACATAAAATACTAAAATCTGGAGGTCATTAAGTATAACGTTTTACTGTTAATTACTGTACCTCATTAGTATTTCTGCTATTGTGAATCCTATTCCAGTTCCACCCCCAGTTATGAATGCCACTTTCCCCCTACAATTAATAATCGAAAAACACATGTACATATACTGATATAGTTAGATATAGCTTACGTCCTTTCACTTTCAAAATCGACAAAATATAAAAGCGACATAATTTCAAAGTTAAACATGCAATAAATCTGAACAACCTTAAAATATCCTTTTGAAAAATGTATCTGTAATTATGTATAAGCGATTCGTCAGACATTCTGTTGTTTGAAGATTAAACTTGGGCCCACAAACTGATTTGTTTGCTCACAACCTCACACGCTTGCAGACGCCCACAGCACTGATATGAAATGGGAACATGTCGAGCCCGATGCTCAATGTGTGAAAAGTTAAAATGATTTAGTTACTGTAGAAACTCAATAGAATATTTCTTACTAACGAAGAGTTCTCTATAACTCTGAAAATAAACTATTATAGCACTCAATACTTAATCTTTTGGGAAATTTGGACATGAAAGAATATTACGTCGGGTTCGGCATCGCACAGGTCTTATGACCATGGAAGGTTGGAAAAGAAAGAGAAGATCAAGATGTATTTTGCATGTTCTTTGTAAGTATTCTTTTGCTATATGCTTCAAACAATTAGATAATTCTTAATTTGCATAAAAAATATAGACTGGGGATCTAAGAAACTGAATTACCCCGTAGATTCAATTATTCTGATTGTCAGCTGTGCCTGTACTGTAGTCTTGCACAGTGTTCGAAATTTTAGATTTATTTTCTATGGGCGCAAAGGACGGTAAGGACCCACAAATAAAGGTGGTATATGAGTCCTTCCAAGGCATTTTAGACCAAAAAAATATTAAATATTTGGGGAAATAAAACTTTTAGTGAAGATAAATTAGATTTCGGAAAGTCTCTCCTGAAGACATCAAGGCAGTGGGCAGAGCATTCCAGTCCCTGATGGTCCTAGGGTAGAAGGATTCCCTACAAACTTGGGTGTTGTTAGATGGTATCTGCAAGGAATGCCTTCCCATGTTATGACTGAGTCTTGACGGTGGCACTAATTTGTCTGCTGTTTCTTTTCTGACTCTTTCATTTTGGATCTTATAAAGAAGAATTAATCTGGCCCTCTTTCTGCACTCCTCCAGTGTTTTCCAATGCAGATGTCCAGCATATTTGTGACCAACGAGGTGTTGTGATATCGATGGGTAACGTACCTGGCTGCCCTGCATTGGACCATCTCTATCTTATATATATCCTCTATTAAGTATGGGTCCCAGGTAGTACAAGCATATTCTAGGGTAGATAGAATGTTCTATCGTTAAAATGATAAATGTCCTAGGGACCCGGTTTAAGGGTAGATAGAATGTCCTATCGTTAAAATGATAAATGTCCTACGGACCCGGTTTAACAATAGAATTCGTTCCGTGTATTCGTAATGTAGCAAAAGAAACACGGACGGTAACTCGTACTAGTACATTTACTGTACATTTACTACCAACATTGTAGAGAGTTCCGAATGTAAACATGGCAGGTAAATTTGAAGCGAGAGAAAAACGTTGAGAAAATTAATTGGGTTTTCATCCTACTGTGGATTATTTTTTGGGATAAAAGGCATATGCAACCTCAAAAAGGTTTGTTTTGATTAATTTGATAGTTATTTCCAGTGCAAATCGTTTTATATTCTTCAAAATCGTTTGGAGCGGATCCGCTCCGATTGCTACATTGCAAGTATATGGGACGTATTCTAACTGTGGTGAGGGCTTGTACCGAGACACAGTTAGATTATTCTAACTAATTCTAGGGTAGCTAGGTCTTACGAGTGACTTGTAGGCTTTCTCTTTGATGTTTGCATTTCTTATGTTCAGGTTATGTTTTAGGAAGCTGATGGTATTGTTAGCTTTCTTGCAGCATAGTGGATATAATTATGTTGGTTCCCTTTCATATCTGATGTAATTATTTAATTTTGACAACAGTTTTTACAAATTTCAGATTGATATTAATGTCTCATGTGTAATGACTGCTTATAGAAAAATACATTGTTTGGTATTTTATAAGGATAACAGATTTATGGACACAACTAAGATAATTTGTTCATTTACAATCTGTGATCTTTGTTATAACCTTTTTATATTCTGTGTCAGTGTTCATTTATAACAGTACTGTGTTCTTTTCTGTAGGCCTGTATATTCTGTGTCAGATTTCTCCTTGTCTGGCTGTGACAAGAGATGTACCAATACAATGTGTGACAGAGGAGGATAAGATGAACAATGCCAGACTGAACATTGTCTACACGTCCGGCAGTGTCCCTAATAATGACTTGTACAGCATTGTCTTGTATTACCAGACTGAAGAATGCTACAAGGTATCACTTATTTATAAATTAATACACAGTACAGTTTGTTAAGATGAAATTATTAACAATTTTACTCTATACCAGATTTGCTGGATTTTTTTTGTGAAATACTGCCTGATTACGTAGTAATTGAATGTTTTTTCTGATCACATTTTGTCTGGCGTCCGTCTGTCTGTCTGTAAACTTTTCACATTTTCGACTTCTTCTCAAGAACCACTGGGCCAATTTCAACCAAACTTGCCACAAAGCATTCTTGGGTGAAGGGGATTTGAGTTTTTTCAAATCAAGGGCCATGCCCTCATTCAAGGGGAGATAATTGGGAAGTAATGAAAATTTGGTGGTATGCTTTAAAAATCTTCTTCTCAAGAACCACTGTGCCAGGAAAGATGAAAATTATGGGAAAACATCCTCAGGTAGTGTAGATTCAAGTTTGTTCAAATCATGACCTCTGGGGGTAGGGTGGGGCCACAATGGCCGACCAAAGTTTTACATAGAAATATATAGGAAAATTCTTTAAAAATCTTCTTCTCAAGAATAGCAAAGCCATAATTGATCATATTTATATGGAAGCATCCTCATGTAGTGTAGGTGTTCAAGTTTGTTCAAATCATGACCCCCGGGGGTAGGGCAGGGCCACAATGGCCGACCAAAGTTTTACATAGAAATACATAGGAAAATTCTTTAAAAATCTTCTTCTCAAGAATAGCAAAGCCATAATTGATCATATTTATATGGAAGCATCCTCAGGTAGTGTAGATTCAAGTTTGTTCAAATCATGACCCCCAGGGGTAGGGCGGGGTCACAATGGCCGACCAAAGTGTTTTACATAGAAATACATGGAAAATTCTTTAAAAATCTTCTTCTCAAGAATAGCAAAGCCATAATTGATCATATTTATATGGAAGCATCCTCAGGTAGTGTAGATTCAAGTTTGCATGTTCAAATCATGACCCCCGGGCGTAGGGCGGGGCCACAATGGCCAACCAAATTTTTACATAGAAATATATAGGAAAATTCTTTAAAAAATCATCTTCTCGAGAATCGCAAAGTCATGATTGGTCATAGGACTACTTTTGGATTTAAACTTTTTAATAATAAACTAATTTCTACTTTTTCCTAGCCACGGTGCTCAGGTGAGCGATGTGACCCATGGGCCTCTTGTTTTTTATTATAGTTTATTAATTGAAATTTGATTTACTAAACAGTGTTGTTCTGTTTTTCAGTGCCCTCTAATGAAAAAAGTGGTTATTTCAAATAACTCTACATGTAATATTTTGATTGACTCAAGATGGAAAGCAAGAATAGAAATACGACCCAACAACACACGTTTTGTTAAACAAGACGAATCCTGCTTGTAAGTGCTTATTTTGAATTGTAGAATCTTACAATATTTACATTTGCAATTAAAGCTTTAAGGGATTAAAAATTGGAGAAAAACCTTTAATTAATGGCCTAATGGCTCAGACATATGAAGTAATATTTTTTATAAAGGATATACATTCATATATATAGAAGAAAGACATTCTGTATAATCAGGAATTAAATATTACATATACATTGTACATTGTATAGCTTCTCAAAAAAAGAAAGTGGACACACTTGAAAATCTATGATATTTAATTGAACATGTTCATCTTTGCTTTGTAGAGACTAATCTGACTTTTAAAATGTGTAGTTGTAGAGTACAGAATTAAAAAAAAAAAGTTTTGTTAAGGATAAATAACACAAACAAACTTTTTTCAGAAATCAGCATTATTTTTCATAGATTTAAATTTAAATTGACATCCTGAATAATGTTTACCAAGTAGAGTGAGAGAATTATATAAGATTTTGTCATAAGGTTAAAAAATTGTGCAAAATTTTGTATGGAATTATATAGAAAGCAAAACAAAATCTCATATCTAAGCACCAAGGAAAACCTACGATTACTTAATATTTCTGGGATTTATTATTTATGTCATTTCAAATCAAAATCAGTCATAAAATATATATCAACCCGCGTATCCATTTTTTGTTTGTGGTAAGTACCCTTAAATTGGGTCTTTTTCATACTAACGGTGTGTGTGTACCACTCATAAACTGCTTACTCACATTTTACTCAATGCATTTTAAATATTATTATTAGACCTAGTGAGTACATTAATCTTCTTTCGTTTTGGTAAAACAGGTATTTTTTAAGTTGATACTGAAGAAGAAGCTATTGTAGAAGCTTTTCAGATATCCAGATGAATGTTTATCTGGATGTTAAGGACTAAGCCTTCTGGATTAACAAAATTCTTTTTTCTGCAAGTTTTGACTTTTTTTTTTTTTTGTAGAGCTGGAAACTTAACCAGAAAGCTTCATGAGTACGGGGAATATGATCTGTATGTTGCATACAGCCCCTCCAGCATAGGAAAAGAAATTAATGGCTCAATTAAATGCAAACCCCTGGTACTGACAAACATGCCAGATGATTCCTACATTCGTAAGTTGAAATCTTTTTTATTCCAAATCCTATGGTTATAGGTTGATGATTTTAAAATGAATTAGAAACAGTTTTTTTCCCCAGTCAGATTTAGCCATTGTTGTTGTTAGTATTAATTACTGGTAAATCACTATATGCTATTTATAATATAACATTTATTTCATAATTTTTTATTTCTTAGCAATATATGTCGCCATTGGATGTTTTGCTGGTGTATCTATGATTATAGCAATTGGAAAACTTCTATACAAGAAAAGGTACAACAGACTTGGTTACAAAGCATTAGACAGAAGAGATTGTTCTCTCTTTTTATATCTCATCCCATTCTCTCTTTCATCTCTCTCTCTCTCTCCCTCTCTCTCTCTCTCTCTCTCTTGCTTGATTGAAAAAAAGGATATTTGACATGGAGTGATTTGTTAGACTGATAAATGTTCTGTCTTGAGTTGAAAACTCAATTTTTAGCTTAGACTTTTATATGAAGCTTTCTGCATCATTTATAAGACTGTTATCATGAGCTTATAAAGTGATTTTTAAATGAAATGAAGATGGTTTGCTTCGAGCTGTACATTTTTTTTTTTTATGTTTATACAATATCTTTGTAGATGGTACTGTTTGAACAGACTGTTTTTGACAACTGGAAATGAAAGCCTTATAAACCCAGTAAGAACACAATAATTATCAGACATAGTTTTCCTTTGTTGTTTTTTTCTTTTTACATTTTTGCAATGCTTGCATTTATTAAACATTATTCTCATGTACCCATTTAATATTTAACATAATTACCATTTATTCAGCATGCTTCACTTACTGCAGAAAGGCTCAGATGCATGAAAGATTTTCTGATTGAAATTTGTCTTGTCTTTAAACTTTTTTCACCAAATCATATTTATCTCAGATTTTTCAAGCTTTATATCTATGACTTCTTATATCAATGTCAGATTGACCCGCATTACTTTGGGGGTTCCAAGATCACTTTTACTTCAGGTTTATAGCTATAGTGTATACATTTAATTATCTGGGGGAAAGTTGTTTAGGAATGCATGTGTGCACATGTATTTAGGGAAAGATATTTTCAAAATGTTCTAAACATAATTTAATGGCTACAAATTGATCATATATAATTACATAAATATCCTTATCATACTATTATATAGATACCCGAATGCATGAATAATTCAGGTCTCTTAAAAGTTAAGCATCTTAATTGGCTTTGAGTGAAGCAGAAATTGGGGGCTAAAGATTAATATTGCATATACTTGTATATAAAAAAAATCTTCTCAACAACAACTTGGATACAGTTGAATTGATATGCAAGCATTCTCAAACAGTCTACATTCAAGTTTGCTTGATTTTTGAGGCGCATCGTTTTCGATGCGGCCTCCTTGCGATCACCTGGCAATTCTTTCTTATCTAAACTGCGGCGGCAAAGGACTAACAATATTGATTCTTAACACGTTATTAAAAATAGTGCTAATGTACATTGACAAGTTGGCGATATCCATTGTTAATTTTAAACAGCTAATAACATAAAATCTCACACATACATGTTTTTACTTTGAATCAACTGAGGTTACAAAAAATGAGAAAATAAACAATTAAAACAAAGAGAGAAAACAACAACAAGCGTGCCCTAGTCTCGTTCTGCGCGGAGTAAGATCTATTTGCATAACAACAGCTCGTACTATAAATTACTCGGTTTTGTATCAGGTTCATAATAAACGGTATACCACGCCCGATTGTTTATTTTAGTCCCGTATAATTTACATGAACATTTCATGTATATAACATTTGTTATATATTGTGCCATTTATATTGGAAAAAAGTTAAAAACAAAGTAGTGATATTTATAAAAGTGCACATAATGAAAGGAACTGAAATAATTCAGATATGAAATTATATAAATTTATTCAATAATCATTACTAGTAAATTAATTTCTATATTGACATTCATTATTTCATCTTCCTAATAGTAAAAGAATAAAAATAAAAAAGAATTAAAATACAATTAAAATCAATTATGATTTAATTTAAATATCAATGAATTAAAACCGATATATCAGACTATCTTTAAAAAAAAATGTTTTTCCTCTCCTGCATGTACATGATCGATTGGCTAAAACTCAAGGCCATGGCTCAATTTTTTTTAACCTCAAAGAAACTTTAGTTATTTTTTAAATTCTTATTCCTAGATTCTTTCATTCCCTTAACACTGATGTTGAATTTCTCTAAGAAAAAAAAAAGAGTTTTATACCCTCAATGCGATGCGCCTCTCAGGCCGTCAGGCCTTTGATTAAACACGTAGCAGTGTTTTTATGCGGTGAAAGTTCAAGTTTATTCAAATCATGGTCTTCAACAAAGCACAGGGAAGTGTTACACGAAGGAGGCCAAAGTCTGTCATGGAAAAATACAAAGAAATGGGGATTAATTTTGTTCAAATCATGGCACCTTGGTTGGGGAATGGTCACAATAGGTAGTAATCATAGAAATACATGGGAAAAAAGTCTTCAAAATCTTTTCCTTGAGAACAAGAACTACAATTAGACCAATGCATATTTTAATTGTATTAGTAGCTTTGTTGGCATGAGGGGAAGCACTCCTTGAATAAAATTTTAAACACTGACAGAAACGCAGCACAGTTAAGGTGCGCAATGGAAATATCAACTAAATTTTGTATTTAAAAATGTATTCGTAATCGAGATGGCGATTATTTTAAGTACATTATTTATATCAGATAATTGTAATTATGATTAATAACTACATATCGAGGACGATTATATTTTATATTTAGACTAGTCACGTGATGCGGCAGTCACGCGATTTTAGCACATTGACTTGAAGTATTGATGTTACATATAAATGTCACTAGTGCAAGGGCATAACCAAGATAAATTTCCAAGTTTAGTATATAAATATTTTCAACACGCATTATAGTTTCTTAAAAGTGCTGCGATCCTGTCTAAATTCTGCAATTTCATTGTTAAAATTATACTTGTATGACCGAATGCTATATTTTTTGCTGGTCAGCGGCATGAAATATTGATATAATTAAACTGTTTTTAAGATTTCATCAGGATCGCAGCACTTTTCAGATACCGTAATAGTTCTAGAGTTGAAATATAAAAGCTTACTTTGATCCATAGAGTGTATGCCCTTGCACTAGATCGATTTATTAAGACCCCCCACATTACCCTCCGATGTACTTGCATACAAATATACGGCAGTGTCAATTAAATACGTAATGTACAGAAAATATATTAATAAAATAGTGAAGAAGACATTAAATTCAAGTTATTGCCCCATAGAATATCTGTAAATAATATTTTATTTAATTAGAGAATGCATATTTTGTTGAGAAATATTACTTGATCTGTCTCTCACTGCATACAAACTACGTCACGTTGTAAGAAATGACGTCATATTGACAAGGGTATTGCGATCAGTGACTTGTTTATAACTTGTTATGTGGGATTTAACTAACGACAAAACAACACGCTGTAGTAAGTTTTTATGTAGTTTGATGATTTCTTACTGGTTAAATTAGCTGATAAACTCATTTTGTGGTATTTTAAAGAAATGTTGTATGACGTATATTGTGTATGATGTCATAGTCAAGTTTTCCCGTACAAATTAGGCTCCGCCTCCTTTTTGTAACCTTAACTGTGCTGCGAACTGTAGAAGATAGGTGTAGATGTATGTTAATAAAATGCTACAAACAAGAGGAAGTGAAGCAATCTGCGCTGCCATTTGTCTCCCCTTTCTTTGACAGAAAAAGTCTGAGTTAGCAGACGAGCGTCCCGTGTCCCCAATCAAACCCACCCCACGCACAAGTCTTAGGCAGCGTAAGGCCACTAAAAAGCAGACACGATCTGCTGATAAATCTGTTGGGGACTCGGTAAGTCTGTGTGAAGAAAAATGCCATCTAGTGTTCGTAACCTCGGAACTTGAATTTTTGAGAATCACAGCTTTCATAACAATGCTTTATTTTATATCATGTTTTGAACTTGTAAAAGTATGTTTATGTCCTTGTATTTTTATCTCATCTGAACCAAAGACTTGAGTGAACCTTTCTGATCAAAATTTGTCCTTTGTCTCTTGTTGTCAATGTTGTCGCTATTGACGTCAGCTCAGCATAGTAAACTTTTTACAATTTCTTCTCCTCCTGAACCACTGGGTTAAATTCCACCAAATCTAGGAAATGTATCCTTGAGTAAAGAGGCTTTATTATACCCCCCGCTTGAAAAGCGGGAGGGTATATAGTAATCGTTAATTCCGTCCGTCCGTCCGTCTGTACGTCCGTCCGTCTGAGTCCGTCCGTCCGTCCGTCTGTTACGCTTTGGGGTACCCATCTCTTATCCGCAACTCCTCTCATACCACTGAATGAAAATTGATGAAACTTTCACAGAATCTTTATTACATATTGCCATTGTGCACCTCCTATTTTACTTTTTGATCCGACACATATTTTGGGTTTCCCGGCCACAGGAAAACATGGATTTTTTCACCAGTTATAACCATATGGGAGGCGGGGGGTATCATTTAGTGAGCTCATCGCTCACAGTACCTCTAGTTTCTTAAAATTTAGATCCACATTCTCTTTCAAAGGGAGATAATTAAGAATGAGTAAAATTGGGCTGGGCCATTTAAAAATCCTTCTCAAGAACTGCTGGGCTAGAAAAAATGAAATATGAATGCCTCCCGACAGAGTGAACAATCAAATTTGTTTAAATCAAGACCCCCTAGGGTGAGGGCATTTAAGTATGAACAAAATTTTACATAGGTGTATATAGGGGAAAAATCTTTAAAAATCTTCTGTTCAAAAACAGCAAAACTATGAACAGTCATATTTATATAGAGGCATCCTCAGGTAGTGTAGAAGTTTGTTCAAATCATGACCTCAGGGGTGGGATGGAGGTACAATGGGCAATAAAGTTTTATTTACTGGTAGCTATAAATATATAGGAAGAAAAATAGGAGTCACTCAGGTGTGCATTGTGGCTTCTTGTTAAAATAACTTATCTTTTGTGGGATAAAAAAACTGTGCTTGAGTTTGCTTTGAAGTGATATTTTCATATAAGTCCTAGATCATTTCACTGTAAAGAGTTTTGACAGAAAGATGTTGATCTGACTTTACAGGGAGCCTACACATCAGAAGATCTGGGTGTGATGCAGACGACAATAAACCCAGCAGACGAACAAGACAACAGACCAAAGAAAGAAAGGCTCAAGTCACTAGATACATTCAGAGGGTAGGGCATTTCATGTCATTAGATACATTCAGAGGGTTACTGGGTAGGGCATTTCATGTCATTAGATACATTCAGAGGGTAGGGCATTTCATGTCATAGATACATTCAGAGGGTAGGGCATTTCATGTCATTAGATACATTCAGAGGGTAGGGCATTTCATGTCATTAGATACATTCAGAGGGTAAGGCATTTCATGTCATAGATACATTCAGAGGGTAGAGCATATCATGTCATAGATACATTCAGAGGGTAGGGCATTTCATGTCATTAGATACATTCAGAGGGTACGGCATTTCATGTCATTAGATACATTCAGAGGGTACGGCATTTCATTTCAGGCATTTGTATTAATCTTGATTTCAAGTACACATAACTACAATGGTTTCAAAGATCTTTACTTTATAATATGTATACATTGTTGGAATATACATTTTAAAGCAAATTAAAAAAAAAAAAACACACACACACACAGTATGATTTATTTAACAGAACTGTAATCTGGGCAAATTTAAAGTAGGGCAAAATTGTTTGCAAGTGTAAACAGGCAAACATATACAGTGTATACAGATAATACACTACATGTATATATAAATTATAAAGAATGATACATGTATATATTATACTATCCTTTTGTGTCTGTTTTCTGATTTCCCATAATGTAATAAATATATAAACTTAATAGCAATTCATGCACTTCAATTCTTGGTCTTATATAGGTAGTGTACAGGGGTTTTCTTCATATACCCTCATCAACTTTTCATCCTTTGGAAAAATTCTTGTGAACAATAAATGAACTTTTGTAGCTAATAAGAAAAAGTTCAAACAGTTACTATAGTCACACATACACTGTATTTTTTTAATATATATTTTTTTAGTAAGATAAAAGTGTTATATGTATAGAGGGAGTATACTAAGAAAATGATTCACAAACAATGGCTAAGTGCGATAGATTTTATAATCGGACAAAATTGACTTTCAGGATTAGTATAATCGTTTTGATATTTGTTGACTTTCACGATTAGTATAATCATTATGATATTTGTTAATTGACTTTCAGGATTAGTATAATCGTTATGATATTTGTTAATTACGGCGGGGGAGGATATTGGTTTTTCCGTCATAGTCGATGGAATGGTTTGACCTTTGCTGACCTCGTGTTTCCATGGTGAGACATGCATGATGCCATACTTGACTTTGGTGTTGATGTGTCTCTGTATACAGTAGCTGCTGAGTTAACAATAATCTTCAGTCTCTTCTGAACTGCTTTTACTAACATTCTGTTTGTTTTACTCTTTTCCTTGTGTATTCAAATATTTTCTACCTGCTATTAAATGAGGTGTTATGTCATTGGAAGGAATCAAGAAATATCTGTAGCAATTTACAATCTACTAAGAAAACTATTATCATCATTATGTATTTTTAGGTCACCTGAGTAAACTCAGGTGACCTATTGCTATCTGTTTTCGTCCATCATCGTGTGTTGTACGTTAACATTTGAACATTTTCAGCTTCTTCTCTGCAACCACTGAACCAATTTCAACCAAATTTGGCCTAAAGCATCTATGGGTGAAGGGGAACAAAAATTGTGAATTTCATGATCCCTGCCCCCCCTGGGGCCTTAGGGGTGCGGCCAAAACCACTAAAATTAATGCAATCTTTAAAAATCTTCTTCTTTACTCCTGGACATCAAGCAGTCAAACTGTTTGCATGATTGTAATCAGCAATGAGTCCTCTACCAAAATTGTGAAATTCATGGCCCTGGGGTCAGGGGTTCTAGTGCTAGGGTGGGGCTAAATAAGTAGGTAGTGAAAATGCATTATTTCTTTGAAAATCTTCTTCTCTGCTCCTGGGTATTAAATAAACCAACTAAGCACATAGTTATGATGAGCAAGAGTGCCACTACCAAAATTTTGAATTTTATGGCCCCAGGGTCAGGGGTTCTGGTGTAAGAGAGGGGCTCTATTGATTATATAGTGAAAATACATGGATTCTTTGAAAATCTTCTTCTCTGCTCCTGGGTATTAAATAAACTAACTAAGTGCATAGTTATGATGAGCAAGAGTGCCACTACCAAAATTGTGAATTTTATGGCCCCAAGGTCAGGGGTTCTGGTGTTAGGGCGGGGCTCTATTGATTATATATTGAAAATACATGAATTCTTTGAAAATCTTCTTCTCTGCTCCTGGGTATTAAATAAACCAACTAAGTACATAGTTATGATGAGCAAGAGTGCCTCTACCAAAATTGTGAATTTTATGGCCCCAGGGTCAGGGGTTCTATTTTTCAAAGAGTACCTGTACAGTTTGACTACCTTATCTACTTAGGGCGGGGCTCTATAGATTATATACTGAAAATACGTGAATTCTCTGAAAATCTTCTTCTCTGCTCCTGGGTATTAAATAAACTAACTAAGTGCATAGTTATGATGAGCAAGAGTGCCTCTACCAAAATTGTGAATTTGTTTAACCCCAGGGTCAGGGGTTCTGGTGTTAGGGCGGGGCTCTATTGATTATATAGTGAAAAAACATGAATTCTTTGAAAATTTCTTCTCTGCTCCAGAGTATTAAACAGATGAACTAGCTATTTAGTCATGATGAGCAAGAACCCTGATCTTCCAGAATTGTGAATTTCAAGGCCCCAGGGTCAGGGGTCATAGAAGGGGGGTCGTTTTCACTTATATACTGAAAAATGAATGAATGGTTTGAAATCTGCTCCTTGGTATTAATCAAATATCAAGGCCTAAAGGTTCATGTGTGGTAGGGGCACTACTGATTATTGCTGAATATTACTGAAAAATTGAAATGCATTTTTGTTCCCTTACCCTGCATATGGGTATTAAGTAAACAAACTTAGCAACTGCTAAGTGTATTGTTATGATGATCAGTGGTGCCTCTTTCAAAATTGTGAATGCCATAGCATCTGGCTTAAAACATGAATCAATTCAATCACTGGAAAGTTGTTGCATAATGCTCAGGTGACCTATAAGGCCCATGGGCCTCTTGTTATGTTCTTAGTATTTATTTATTATTTTTGTTTCACTCAGCACAGCTTGCTTCATTTAGTTGCTGTTTTATTCTTTATTAACTTAAAAGCCATTACACTACTATCAGTAGTACTAACAGTAAATACACGGGAAATGTTGATGTCTGCATGTGCTGCTTGTAGAATCAGTTTGACCATCATGAACTTTGTGAACTATGGGGGCGGTGGCTATTGGTTTTTTGACCACTCGGACTGGAACGGTCTGACGGTGGCTGATCTTGTGTTTCCATGGTAATCCAATCATTTAACTCATCCTCTCACTATCTTTGTATATGTGTACCTCTCACTGAGCGTCTGCTATGCTGCACATTCTGTTTAATAAAACATTATTGCTTTTGTTTGCTACTTTTATATCACATTAGCAATTTGTAGTGAAAAGACCAATTTCTTTTTTGTAATTTAAAATTTTTTTTTATTAATCCAATCAAAGACTTTAATATAAAGTTAGAAAATGTCTGCAAAAGAATGCTTCAAAATATATAATGGAATTTAGTTTTGATTTTCTATGAATAATATAACTGCATATTTCTCTCAGTAAAATAAGAATACTTTACAAAATATAGTTAAGGAACATTAAAGATTTGAAGGCGCATTTTCCCCTTGTGTAAAATTGCAGGTTTATATGGATTATGGGCACAGCAATGGTGTACTCATTTACAGGACTGTTAAGGAGGGTCACCCCAAAACACAAAATTTTCTGGAAAATATTTAAGAGGAGCTGCATTCTGTTTGTGCTGGGTTTACTGATTAACACAGGAGGATGTGAGGGTATGTGTATCAATCCTAGCGAGATGTAACTTAATTACATTGCACAGATTACTTATAAAAATATATAGTAGTAAAAAAATACATTTGTTGATAATCTATTGTAATTTTATAGTGAATACTTGCATTTCTAGTTGAATTATACAAAATTTGCATTTACATTGTACATGTATATGTGAAGTAATTCTGTCCCTCCCCAAAGAAAAAAAAGGAAAGAAGATAAATTTTAAACTAAAGAATTCATGAAAACCTTTAATATGCATATACATGTACATTTATCTATTGAATGACAATTCATAAGGTAAATACATTTAGAAATTTAAATAGGTCCTAGTAAGTATCTTCACTGTATTATTTTTTTTACAATACCTAATTTCTGTACAATGTTGTATTTATTTGACAGCTACTGCTCTTACTAAGCTGAGAATTCCCGGTGTACTACAGAGGTTTGCTGGTACATACTTTGTTGTGGCATCCATTCACATGTTTTTTGCCAAAACTGTGGATGTTAGCATGGTAGGTGTGCATTTTGTTCCCTAAAAGTTTCAAATGTACCCAAGAAAACAAATACTTGAACAAACAATATTTATTACTTTGACAATAGGATGGCTTAAATGTTAGAAAATGATTTTTTTATAGGAAAAATGTACTTTTTTGTAAAAAAAAAAAAATTAGCCATCAAACTGATATATTTGATTGCCTTTTACAGTACACTTACTGGGGTTTTATCCGAGACATTGTGGATTATTGGTTGGAGTGGATATTTTACGTTGTCTTTGTGACGGCTCACATTGTGTTTACCTTCGTGTTAGATGTACCAGGATGTCCCAAGTAAGAAAACACAGAAATGTTTTATGTTCATCATGAGATGTTTTTAAAAACCTTTCTGAGAATCAGATTTTAAACAATATTTTGAATTCAGCATGCTCATGTTATTTTTCCTTTGCTGATATTTTTGCAGATTGATGGTTTTATTTTATGATTTTTTTATCTTTCAGAGGCTATCTAGGACCTGGTGGTCTACATGAGAATGGAACATATCAGAACTGTACAGGTGGTGCTGCAGGCTACATTGACAGAAAAGTGTTTGGGGACAGTCACATCTACCAAAGCCCCACATGCAAGGTTTGAAGAACAAAGCAACTTAAGTTACATATTTCTTTGATTAGTATTGTAATATTAAGAAATTGTTTCATTTTCTGATAACAATCTGTCTTTTGATTGACAGGAGATATACAAAACCAAAGTGCCTTATGACCCAGAGGGACTTCTAGGAACTCTGAATTCCATATTTTTGTGTTTTTTAGGATTACAAGTAAGAAACAGCATAAACCTGATTTTATGTATATCAAATGATTTAAAATTTTCTAGAAAGAAAAATAAAAAATGATCCATTTTAAAAATGAAATCAATTACATGTATATTTATCTTCAAACTATGAAATTTTTGTACTGTAGGCTGGTAAAATTTTAATGACATATAAGGAGCCAGCAGCCCGAGTTAAAAGATTTATAATTTGGGGTGTAATTCTGGTAAGTTTAAATCATATTGCCTTGTAATTTTGAACTCTTAAAACAATTGCTATTTCAATTAGAGACAATAGTTATGATACCAGCACTCTCTAGTTTTGGTTGTAGGAAGTGTTCTTTAACAAATCTGTCTATCTACCTATCCAGTCCAGTGAATGACTCCATATATCAACTAGTGATAGTGTTCATCTAGAAATAAAGCCCATATGCAGCTTACAAAGCATCATTTGATAATTTTAGTGATGTGCATCCCAGATGCAGGGTCTTTTTCAGATAAAATGCAGCATCTGAAGCAAAATATGGGTTTTCTATCATAACATCCTCTCAAATCCTTTCCTATTTGTCACTGTAGGAGATATATGTACATCTTATCCTCTCTGAGAGAGGTTTCTTGCTATAACTGTAAAAGAGGAGGTGCTGCTTCTCATGACTTGCATGCATAAAGTCCTGAAATCAGATACAGGTAAATATCAGTATCTCAAACATGGGATATTTCGAATACCCCGCTTATGTTGAAGTCGATCGTCGGTCCCGGCCGTTTTCTCTATATATATGATTTAAAAAACACCTGATATCTCGAACACGGTAATCTCGAATACCCCGCTTATGTTGAAGTATATTTAATGTCCCAAGCCCTTTTTTACCTGTCTTATCTCGAAGTGCAGTGAATACTGAACACACCTGGCATCGTGACTTCACACATTCTCGCCAGTGGCTATTAATTAACACCTTCAAACTGGGGGAATCTTAATTAGTCCCAAGCTCATTTTTGGGTATCTGTGGCAAGGTAATTGGTATCACAGCTTGGGTGTTTGGTGTAGAGTACGACCGATAAAACAAACCACTTTGCAGCAATTCAGAAATTAAATACGGACAGTATTACCGATATTGCATTTAATAATATGCTCTGTATAATTTAAATCGTAAATTCATAAAATACAAAGATTTTTTACGATTAATTTAAATTAAACAGTGAAGTTGCAGTGCGTAATGAACAGTGCAGTGATCGATTACACTCATGCTTCTCTGCGTAAAATTAGATAACCTTGACCACCAGTTTCGTAAACTATATGTTCCTTAGTAGTACTTCGTAATGTAATATGTGTAAGCTATTTATAATATTCAAGTACACAGTTTAAAATACTGATTATTTTTTAGTGCTCTAAATAACGTTTTGCACTAAATTTCATCAAATAATGTTTTTGAAAAATTTGTCTTGTTCTTTTCTTACGGAGAAGGTTCTTCAACTATAACACTAATAATACATCCCGTTTGACCACGTAAGCATGGCCTAGAAAATGTAAATCGCTGTATATGCAATAAGGCATGCATATTAAATTGTTTTACAATTATACAAGATAAAGAGAACAACAACATTGTTTTTCTTAATATTTATTGTGAATATGCTCGAGTCTTTACCATAAAGACTACATGTTTGGTAATACAGGAAAGTGTTATGCATGAAGATATATACAAAACACGGGAAACTATTGATTCAACTTTGGAAGATAACTTCGGATATCTCGAGCCCCAGGATATCTCGAAGTCATGTCCAGGTCCCCTCAACTTCGAAATACTGATATTTCACTGTATTATAAATATAACATTACATTGCATTAGGAGATAGTTGTTCAAGTTGCTAATCAATAGAGGTTGAAAAAAACTTAAGCCAGTCAGTAAATCATAACTAAATACATGTTAATGATGTTTTTCAGTGTTTAATTGCCGGTGCTTTATGTGAATTTAAAAAAGATGGAGGAGCAATTCCAATCAATAAAAATTTATGGTAAGATATATAAAGGAAAGAATCGAAGTTTATAACATTGTATCACATTGCATGCAGTATAAATTACTGAGGCATATAGTATCATTTTTAAAGTTTGAAGGGGGGGGGGGTGCAGAATAATAACTGACGACAAAGAAAGGGGAAAATTTTCCAAACTTGAAATTTCTATTTTGTGAGTGGATGGAATTGGTGTACCATTTCTGAAAAGAAACTTTATGGAATACATTAACAATGGTAGATTTCACTACACAATGCAAAAAAGGGAGGGAAAGTTCCCTTTCAATATACAGTGTCAGATTAGATTATCTGTAATATATATTATGTTTTGATACTGTGTGCCCACTATTTCTGCAAATACTTTTAAAGAGTATTAGATTAAATACTGTCTATATACATATATGCTTGAGCATGAACCTAATATTTGAGAAACAAATGATGCAAACAGAGTTACATCTATACTGTACAAAATAAAGATGTCTTGATCACAATATTTATTTTTTTTAGGGGGGGGGTCAGTCCATTGTATTAATACCATCTATTTTTTTTTTTTTTTTTTACAGGTCATTGTCTTTTGTTCTGTGCATGGCAGGATTTGCCTTTTTCTTGTTAGCCTTTTGTTATCTTACAATAGATGTTTATAAAGTGTGGAGTGGTGCTCCCTTTTATTTCCCAGGTAAGATACTAAATAATTCTATGATGGTGTTGATTATAAGTTTATTTTTAAAATATGATTTATCAACAAGAGTTATGAATTGTTCCTTATTATTTTTTAAAATTATGATTTAAACATGGGAAAATTGCTTTTGTGTTTTTTTTACTAAGATTAAGTTAAAGCATTTATAAATTCAAGAGGTCAAAAAAGTGTTTATAATAAAGTGGGTAAAAAATCCAGCAGCAAGTTTTGTAGAAAAAAGGATAGATTTTTAATACATGTATAGTAGATATTTTTCACATATAAAGTCTACATTACTTTTCAGTTTTCACTCTTAAAAAATAAACTGTACATTTGCATATCACTTCTTGTTACATGAGCTATTTAAGACACAGTTTATAAACCAACATTACATGAAGAATGCACTGTGATGCTCCTTTGACAGGCATGAACTCCATATTTATGTATGTTGCCCACACTACGTATCAGAATTTTTTCCCGGTGGGTTGGAAGGTTGACGACAATCACTGGCAGCTACTGGCGCTACACTTGTGGGGCCCCGCCTTCTTTTGTCTCTTTACCTACATGATGCACCGTAAAAAGATTTACATCGCCATCTGAAAACTCATATGTGAGACTTGCAATTTAAATCTCCCTGCCAAATCCCAAACCCTACATCTTCCTTAAATCAAACCCAATTTTATATTATTAGAACCTTTCATAATAAAAGGTATTACATGTAATTACAATAAATTAAAAAAAAAACATTTAGTATAAAAATCTACAATTATCTTTTAATTAGAAGTTACTTAAAACTGTTATAAATAAACCTGTTAAGATACTGCTTTATGATCAGTAAAACACTGCTAAAGTATACACTTACAAGCATTGCTTTCCACAACACAATGCACTTTTACAATCAAAGTCTGTATGACAGGTTCACTCTTTAACATTTCTTTGTATGCAGAATTTATTCATTTATAAACAATAAACCTTTTTTCAAAAATGTAGTTTCTGCAGACTTCTTGTTACTTTCTAAAAGAACTGAAGTTCTTTTAGAACTATGGTTCATATTCTGTGGTAATGCTTCAGATTTTCAGAAGTTTGTCTTCTGAAAGTCTCTGAAAGCCCCAAAACAAAATTTGTTTACTTTTGAATTTAGAACTAAAATTCACAGCATTCATTTGCCACGTGGAAAATGGTAGTCACCAAGGTTTATAAAATTTATAAATTCTTCATAATTAAAGTGACTCAGGTGAACATTGTGTCTTATGGGCATTATACATGTATATATATATATTATATACCCTTGAATAATTAAGCCAGAAAATGATGGTCCTCACTTTATTTCACATCATTTTGATATCATGACACAGATATGCCCTGTTTTATAGAAAAAAAAAACCAACCAATGATAAAAACCTTAGCAAAATAGTGCAGCTTAAATTACACAGAATTGCTTACCTTTCACCCATTGTCCTTGTAAAGTAGAAGGCAAAACTCCTCCAAAACATCAGTTGCATAATTTTGTTAGGTATTTAATTTATGTCAAGACATTTCTATATTGATAAAGAAGTACTTTACACAAGTACATTATCGTGCACTTTTTATGTTACCGGGGGTATTTGGATAAAAAGTTTAGCAAAACGAAAATGCGTTTAAATAGGAATTTCAAAATTTTAACTTATGAAAAGTCAGAGTAAGTTTTCAAATAGGAAGATAGAGTATTAATTTATAAACCTTTTCCTTTTGAAGGTATGAACCCTATTCTGTTGTACATGGCACATGAGGTTTTACATCGTCATTTCCCTATCAGCTGGAGTGTGTCCTCCGAACATTTCCCGCTACTTTTCATGGACTTATGGGGCACAGTATTCTTTGTCCTCGTAGCAATCGTTTTGTACATGAAGAAACTGTTTTTCTCTGTTTGATGTGCATGTATTTGTCATTGCTCATTTAGGTCTACTGTTTATGCATTGCTCACATGGGAATCAGATACCATTTGTTTGTGCCAAATATGGGGGATAAAATCAGAGCTGTGTATGTATTGAAAATGCCAGAATATTTTAGCTAGGTAAACCATATACATGTATATACACGCTCTGTGAAAACAACATTAAATATGACATTTGAGAATTTGAGGCAAAACTACTAGTATTTATATCCTCTTGATTTCCTTTTAATGGAAACTTGTCCATTTTTGTTGTCATCACACTAAACTTTTCACATTTTCATCTTCTTGTCAGGAATAATTTGGCAAATTTCAATTGAACTTGGCACAGAATAACCTTGGATTTTAAGTTTTTACAAATAAAGGGCCATGCCCATTTCCAAGTGGAGATAAGTAAGAAATATTGAATATTGAGTGGGGTAATTTAATTTTTTTTTCTCAAGAATCACTGAGCCAGAAAAGTTTAAAAGTTTGTTTGCAAACTTTTTCTAACTAAAAAATAGATTCTAATTTGTTCAAATCATGTCCCCAAGGGGTAGTTTGGGGCCACAATGGGGACTCAAAGTTTTACCAAAGAATTCTTCAGAATTGCAAAGCAATAACAGTCTTGTAATATCTACTTGTATTTTAGAAGCATCCTTGTTCAAATCATGACACATGAAGGTAGGAAGGGGGTCACAATATAATCTCTTAATTTAACTTAGAAATACTTCGGGAAAATTCTGTTGATAATAAAAAAACAGAAGCACCATAGTTACACAGGTGAGTGTGGTGACCCAAGGGCTTGTTTTAAGATGAAATCAAGAAATCAATTCAATATGACAAAGCCTTTCTAGTTTGGCTTTGGAGCTGTAAATGTCTTTCTTTTACACGTACTTGCAAAGTAACTTAAATATCTAGAAAGTCCATCTTGCCAGTGTCCATGCAGAAGATAATGCGATGATATGAATAGTTTGGTTAATTTTCTAGTGTATCTTTAATCTTTAGACGCGAATAATTTACTGCAATTTTACCCAGTATTTTCATATTCACCATTTTCATATGATTTTGGAGAATGTTTCTCCTTCAGTTAAGTTTTTGAAGTAGTTATATTGATATATATACTCTAATATAGCAGCTATAATAAATGTATGAAACGAAAAAAAAAACTTTCAATTTTGTTTTATTAATCATGGGTTGTATTTATGTTAGATGAAGTATGATTTATTGTACAGTGCAATATGGAACAATAATAAAATGTTTACATGAATTCACTTCTTGTCACTATTTACATGAACACAATGCCTATCTTTATAATTAGCGATACGTTTAATTTGATATCGTCTTTTGGAAGATTGTTACAGATTAAGCCGATAGTAACACTTCAGAACACAGCTCTTTTATCTGAATGAAAAATGTTTTCCGTCAAGGACAAAATGCAGACGTTTTTCAAGGTCACTTTTAAATCAATTGGAGTACCAATTCTTTCACTATAAAAGAATTCTTTCTTTAAAGTGAATATTGAGTTAGCTTAATTAAAGAAGTCGTTGAAAAGAACTTCTTTAAGTAAACAACGATTCTTTATCAACGCTGCAGCCTTAAGCGATCTTCAGTTTACTTAAAACGTGTCATGGGTATTGAATGGTTATTGTTATGAGAACAACAAGGCAGATGGTCGTCCTGTAAAATAGGCTCTTGGATGTCTGCCTTGTGATATTTATTATTCGGGGTTTTGTCCTGGGCTAGATAGACAAGAAACGTTATGGTAGAAAATGACGTCATCACGGCGGCGGTTCCCGCCACAATTAAACACCAGGGGATAAGGACGGTAATAGCCGCGTGACTCGCCGCCACGGGGAACTGGAAAGTCGTCTTCATTTGGAGAGTGATGGTAGTTATCTTTCCAACAACTACCCAAAGCATGATGGCTGAAAAAAAGTATGGTCTTTAAGTTAAATGCTCTGATATGATGAAAATTCGAGTGTCACCCAGCAAAATAGATATAACCTACCCGATACTGCAAAACAAGCGCATGCTACAATGCCAAATCCCCGTCTTATAACTTTTGGTCTGTAGTACAGAAGAAATGATACCAATCCTATCATAAGACAAGCTATACTGATGGATGCCTCGATCTGGTACTCCAAAAGGCCACTTAATGCATTGACTGGAAAATAAAAATAGGCGTTATAAAGCATCCATAAGTCAAACAAATTAGAAATTGTATATTATCTTGTAAAGTATAAAAAGTTACTTACAGCAAAATTCTTTGAGTAATTCAAGATGTTTGACGTGAAACTTTGATAGATGCTTGTTATCATAATCAACAAATGTTTCTGTAAAACAGGCTAATTCTGTTCCGTTTTGGTACTGTCCTTCAAAACAGAAGGAGAAAAACCAAAGTCCAGCCGAGACTTCCGCCGACAGGTCCGATATAGTGGAACCGTTTGTCGCAGACGACTCCGTGACGTCATCGTAGAACTCTAAGTGGAACTTCATCCATCCCGGTGTCGCAATGGTTGTCAGCAAACATAAAAGCGACAACGCAATCAGAATCAAAAGTAAAGTGAGGTTTTCAAACAAAAAAAGTCTTATTTCACTATCGGATTTCTTTCCCATGTTTAATACTTTCTTTCAAATCCTTGTACAGAGACTCTAGCAATGAAATCGTTCATTTACACAAAATGTTTACGCAGTAACAGCAGCAAAAACAAACACCAAAGTATATTTTTTCCTAACAGTTGTCAAAAATGATGCACATAAATGTCACACTGCTTTTTGCACCATGAGTCCTAGTTTCTGGTTAAAACCAAAGTAGTTTGTCTCGATCTAGCGCACTGAGCTACCCCTAGCATACGATCCCATTCACTCAGCCCGAGAACGAAACTCGATATTTTATTTGTGCAAATAATTCTTTTTGTATATTTTATTTTTTAACCTTTTCTTCAAGGTCACGATCACACCACGCGTCCTATTTCAAAAGCATCTGATGAGTCTGTAAACATGTTACAATAATTGTCGTGTACTCATTAAATAAATTTTGAATTTAGTACATGTAATTAGTGAAGGACAATATACAACTGACAATACTTTACGGCTCATTGTATAACGTGACTGAATTACTTACATAAAGTTTGCAAAAAATCCTGCATTTTTTCCTTTATGTACCGCAAGAGATTTTGTTTCAAAAAGCACAGTTAATCATATTAATTTTTTTTTATTATCTCTTTCCTGTTCAGTATCAATGAAATAAAGAACCACCGCCTTTCCAAATTTTAGGACGTTTTAAAATAAGTGACCTACATATTTCTTTCCGTTTATGTACGCTGCCATGCGTCGTGCATTAACATTTTTAACATTTTCATTTTCTTCTACATAACCACTGAACTCATTTTATCGAATTTTTGCATATGACTTCTATTTGTAAAGGGTTTCAAAAATATTTAAATTTCATTGCCCAACCCTTTGGAGCCCTGAGTGATGGGGCTTAAACCATCAAAATTAACGCAATCTTCAAAAATCTCCTCTACCTCTGGCCATCAAGTAGTCAAACTGTTAATTGATCGTATACAGTAGCCATTAAGCCCTCTACCCAATTTGTCAAATTGTTGACCCCAGGGTCAGGGGTTCCGAATTGGAGCAAGGTTCCATTAAACATATAATAAATTGCAAACTCTTTAGAAGTCTTTTCTCTCTCTCCCCCCTCCCCCGTTTATTTAGCTGACAAAATAAGTGCATGATAATGCCGAAAGAGGATGCTTGTTCCATTATAAATTTAATTTCCCATACGTCACAGGTTCTGGTGGTAGGGCGGAGCTCTGTTGAAAATTATGGTAAGAATACATTATTTCTTTGTAAATCTATTCTTCACCCCTTTGGTATTTTGCAAACAAAGTGCATGATTTTGTATCTCCCCGAAATGTAAATTCAATGGTCCCGAAGTCAAGGATTTTTTGACGTTATATTGAGCTCTATATATTGTTGATTATAGTGATATAGGATAAATACTATAATAATTTCTGCTCCTTGGCAAACGGGTCACAAAATATAACGAGCAAGAAATACTAGTACTAATTTTATGGTTATAACCAGACAACTGGTTAACTAGGGATATAGAGGGGAAAAAAAAACTTTTGAAAATCTGAAGAATAAAAGGGCTAAGGAGGCTCATGTGAGCAATGTGACCCATATATCAAATATATTGATTTCAAGTGAAATAATATTAAATCAATTTTAACTGTGAACCGTAGATAATTTGAAATTAGAATGCGAACAATGTCAATATACACTGCGGTGCAGGTGATTGGTGACTTATAAGGGAAATTTCCAGGAAGAGTTACCTTTCTTCCTAGAGGAGAAATCCCAGTAAGAGTTATCTCTCTTATCAGAGGGGAAAATCCCAGTGAGAGTTATCTCTCTTATTAGAGGGGATAATCCCAGTGAGAGCTATCTCTTTTATCAGAGGGGATAATCCCAGTGAGAGTTACCTCTCTTATTAGAGGGGATAATCCCAGTGAGAGTTACCTCTCTTATTAGAGAGGAAAATCCCAGTGAGAGTTATCTCTCTTATCAGAGAGGATAATCCCAGTGAGAGTTATCTCTCTTATCAGAGAGGATAATCCCAGTGAGAGCTATCTCTCTTATCAGAGGGGGAAATACCAGTGAGAGTTATCTCTCTTATTAGAGAGGAAAATCCCAGTGAGAGTTATCTCTCTTATCAGAGAGGATAATCCCAGTGAGAGTTATCTCTCTTATCAGAGAGGATAATCCCAGTGAGAGTTACCTCTCTTATTAGAGGGGATAATCCCAGTGAGAGTACCTCTCTTATTAGAGGGGATAATCCCAGTGAGAGTTACCTCTCTTATCAGAGAGGATAATCCCAGTGAGAGCTATCTCTCTTATCAGAGGGGGAAATTCCAGTGAGAGTTATCTCTCTTATCAGAGGGGAAAATCCCAGTGAGAGCAATCTCTCTTATCAGAGAGGAAAATCCCAGTGAGGGTTACTTATCTTATCATGGATCAAAATTCCAGCGAGAGCTATCTCTCTTATCAGACGTTAAAATTCCATAATGGTCATCTCTCTTTTCAGAGGGGAAAATCCCAGTGAGAGCTATCTCTCTTATCAGAGCGGAAAATCCCAATGAGAGATATCTCTCTTAATAAGAGGGGGAAATCCAAATGAGAGTTATCTCCTTTAATGAGAGAGGAAAATCCCAGTGAGAGCTATCTCTCTTATCAGACGGGAAAATCCCAGTGAGAGTTATCTCTCTTATCAGAGGGGAAAATCGCAGTGAGAGTCATCTCTCTTATTAGAGGGGAAAATCCAAATGCGAGTTATCTCTCTTATCAGAGGGGAAAATCCCAGTAAGAGTTATCTCTCTTATTAGAGGGGAAAATCCCAATGCGAGTTATCTCTATTATCAGAAGGGAAAATACCAGTGAGAGGTATCTCTCTTATTAGAGGGGAAAATCCAAATGCGAGTTATCTCTCTTATCAGAGGGGAAAATCCCAGTGAGAGTTATCTCTCTTATCAGAGGGGAAAAACCCAGTAAGAGTTATCTCTCTTATCAGAGGGGAAAATTCCAGTAAGAGTTATCTCTCTTATTAGAGGGGAAAATCCCAATGCGAGTTATCTCTCTTATCAGAGGGGAAAGTCCCAGTGAGAGTTATCTCTCTTATCAGAGGGGAAAATCCCAGTGAGAGTTATCTCTCTTATCAGAGGGGAAAATCCTGGTGAAAGTCAGAAAGGATAATCAGCAGAGAAAAATGGAGGGAGATGGTGGCTCCAAGAGGCCCCGGGTGTCGCTTTTAATACTCTGATGCAAGTAATAGGGTTACAGGTCATAGTGTCTTCTTAACATAGTATGTATCAGCAGAAGAATCGATATATAATTAAGGAAATGATAATACAGGGATTGCGACTTTTTAAATTTAATGAAAAGTTATTAACAATTTAACAAAGTTTAATCCTGTAACTGTCACTAATTGATTATAGCAAACACTGACTTTCAATGAATGAATCCAAGTAAATACGTTCCTTTGAAGTATGACAACAGCCTTGTATCAGTGTCTGACTTAAATCGTAAAATGTGTTTACTTTTGGAGTTAGGCGATGGAAATCTCGCCATTTTGTTTACAATATCTGTTTATCTGTCAAATAGAGACTCAGTCATTAATTTACTTTAAACCTGAGAAATGTCGTTCATGATATCGTCTGGTCCACATGAATACTATGGTCCCCAGAAAACACAGATGTTTATTTTACTATTCAGCATGTTAAGGGCGAGTCCATAGAAATAAAATTTAATTTTGAGAGGTAGTTTATTTTTTACGGTTTAAAAACATTTAATACACAAAAAGTCATAATGTTATTAACCGGAGTCTAAGGATGTCTGTGCACTTAAAAATTACATGTTTTAATTCATGAAAATTTGTGAAGAACCTATCATTGATTCTAAATGTAAGAACTGTCAATCGGACAGAAAATAAATGGTTGAAGGAAATCAACTTGTACTCTGACCTCCATATTTATAAATTATTTTAATCTTTTTAATTTTTCGTCAGAATTTCTATTCATCTTTCTGACATGTTCATTAATGTTTGTTGACAGGTAAAAAGTTTTAGACACAATCAATTATAATACAAATATTGACTGGGGTTGAGGGCAACATTGATTATGTTAGCCCCCTAGAGACGAAATATTGCCCTCAACCCCAGTCAGTGCATTGTATATTGTGTCTTTTTTATTCGTCAATATTAACAAAGGAAGTGAGAAATCAAAATGTGACAAAAAGAAACTCGTATGAAGCCACATTCACATTATTATTATTGATGATGATTATATTTCATATTTCCATTTTCGATTATTGAGATATAGTATTTATGTACCATATGGTCCGAAATTCACCCATTCAAACAATTAGATCTTTTTAAAAAATCTTATCAAGCCATCTTTACAAAATATTGTTTAATTGCCCTCTACCGACCGACTCGAAACTTGTATTAACCTCCAGGAAGTAAGTATTTTTTTTATATGTACTCTAGAAAATATAATTTAAAAATTAGCATTGAAATTGAAATTTTCCGAGGAGAAAAAATTCTCACCTACCTGAGTCGGGAGAGGGCAAATAACCATTTTATTTTTAAAGTTGCCCTCACAAACAAGAATTGACAGTGTAGATACTGAAGTATATAATTGACACAAAATGTTACTGCCACAAATTTTTTTCTGCAGAGCAGATTGTTCTTTGTTATACCTTTAAAATTTTGTTCCTATACACATTTATACGGAAAAAAATATAACATTTCTAATGTTTTGCTGAGCGTGCATAAAAAATCGATGTTGGACCGCTGAGTGAGATGTTGGACCGCTAAGTGAGATGTTGGACCGGTCGATGATATTTTAGACCGCTTACATCACAGAATGGATGGAGCTTAATCTCATTTTCAATAGTTGGTGTTCAACAGCGAGGGACCTGATGTTACACCACGGAAGACAGAACAAAATACATATATGGTAAAAAAAAAAAATAAAATAAAAGGCACAACAAAACATTTATTGACTGTATTCTCGGGTAAAATGTATTTTGTCGACCCTCGAACCATAATTCTACTAAAAGGAGTGACATGTTATAATGAATTAATACTTCAGTAACGCCCTCTTCCCGTGGTAGGAATATAAGGCTGTGAAGACGGAAGAGAATTATTTCATTATAAACATCCCAATGTGATTTTTTTTTTGCAAGAACCTAAGAGATATACATACATGTATATATATTTTTTCTATCCATGCATATTTTTATCTTTTCTTTCAAACCAATGTAATAATCGACTTTCAAGATAAAATGCGAAAGTAAAAAACACTAAGAATAGATATTTGAATAGATATTTAGTCATTCCTTGTGTACAGTGTAACATGTTCATATATTGATTTGTGCCACTATAATTTGTGTGAAAATTTAATTGATTGTGTAAATTCTGGTGTCAGTTAAGTAATCAACAAGTTCATTTTTAGATATTGCAACAAAACATAATCTTTTATCTGGAGAGTAAATCAGCTCTTATCTCGTGTCTGGCAAATCGAATGCAAGCAGGACATTTGTCATCCGTTTAAAAACGACAGTTTCCACTGGGAAACTCTGGAAGAGGGCCCTTTGTAAAACTGAGAACATTCCGCAGAGATTAAACCAATCAAACTAAAACAAAGAGACAAAACCAGGCACAGAATATGCCAAAGTTATTCTTTACATAATCATCAAAATTTATTTTAAAAATTCTTTTTCACACAGGAACGGAAATTTTTGTTTTTGTTTAAGATATGCATGGCGATCTTACTGAAGAAGCGGTTTTTTAAAATCAAAAATACTTTCCCCTTTTTTCAGTTCGTTTTAGCGCAAAAATATTTAGCTAATGAATTTGAATATATGTATAAATTCGCCGCTTTACATCGACATCTCGATATTTTCTTTCCGTTTCTCTGCTCCGCTCTCTTAATAACGTTTAATGAAGCAAAAAAAGCCTTAACACCGGGTGAATTATCTACTTTAATATACGGACTTATCGATAACTGCATTGAATAGCTTATTGAACTTTGTTTTCACAAACAATCATCACGAATGGTTTGAATCAATAACAAGACCAAAGGTTATTTTAGAAGCACTGTATCGTAAATTAGAAACTTCAGCTCAGCAATAATGCAGTCATTTACCAAGATCATATTTAAAAATGAAATCGCAGATTGAATATTTCATGCAAGTTTGGTTATTGCTTTTAAAGGCCATAACCTGTACATTTTCACTAGTCGATCAGAAAACACATTTTGCTACTTCTAACACTCAATTTTTTTGTAATGGATACCTGTAATTAGCTAATTATTTTGAAAATCTGCCCGGAACTTTAAGCTATTTTTCATGATCAGGTGAAAGTATTGACCTCTCAATATTGCAAGGTTGATGTAACACTTGAACAGTTCACACAATTTTCAGTCTACCTAATCAAGGTGCTGTTAAAAGCTCTATTATTATGGAGAGTATTCGATACGTGAAATTTTACATATCAAACACAGACCCTGTACGGCGTTTCGACGGGTTTTAAATACCAAAGAAAAATGAATGTAAGAGGATTTGAGCAATGTAGACTTTATCGAGATGAGAACTTTATGAAAGAAAATAACTGTGTAGTTGAACAGGTTCTTTCGAAGTGAAAGGGCTGTCGGGCAGTCGTGTATACGAGGGGACTCTGGATGTTCATTGAAAGTGTATATTGAGTATGTTACACGGTGATATGGATTTCTGAAACTTTATTAATGTCTGCTCTGTCTAAGGGATTTAAAGAAGATTTATATATTCACATATCTTTAATATGGCATATTCATGTCAAATATAGTCGAAAAAGGCAAACTGTCGCCAGGGAAGACGTAGAAGAGTAACTTTATAAAGAGATACAGGCTGGACAGCATTTATCAAAATGGTTCTCAGAGAGGAAACGGTTATTGAAGTGAAATCTTTGGTGAATCAGATGGAGAGGACAGGAGATGTGAACCAAGTCAAGGAAGTGCTGGGGTCGGAGACGATAAAGAACAGGTCACAGGAAATGTCTAGAACCTCTAGCCGATCATCCAGATCTTCTGGCGTGGACAGAGTCAACGCCTGCATGGCCAATAATCTCTTCCATTCGGCAGTCAAGGGAAGATTCAGAAAAGTAAAGCTGATTCTTGATGGGGGATACAAAATTAACAGCAGGAATAATTACGGTTACAGTGTTCTTGTTGGTGCCCTTCACATAGACTGCGACGAAAAACGTAGAAAAATGTTTCGCTATCTGATATCAAAAGGAGCAGATCCCAAGCATAAAGACGGAAAACACAAAAGGTCCCTACTCTCGTGGGCTGCTATTCTAGGTCGTGGAGAACAGGTCGAGCTGTTGCTAGAGATACTGAACGGTGACCATGACCTCTCTGATAAGGATACGGAAGGAATGACTGTCCTACATCACGCCACTCAAGGTGGTCACGTCACAATAGTTAGAAGACTAGTGGAAGAATTTCGTCGTTTTCGGTTGTCTGTTGACGTTTCTGACAATTTAGGACTTACACCTTACCTTCATGCCAAAAGACTAGGATACAAAGAGATAACTGATATTCTCCTGAAGGAGGGCAGGGCCTGCCCAGGTCAGTCGGATAGTTACACCTTCAGGAGTGCTGATGAGTGGTCCGAAATCGGACAATCAATGAAGGAGAAACAATATAATATGAGACGGAAATCTAACTACGAGCGAGCTGCTATTCTAGGTAGCAGCAGGTTGCTGAGGCTACATCACAATTTTTACGAAACACCCATCATACATGTATCCGCCCCAGTGGCAGAAGCAGTCACAGAAGATGATAACAAAACAACTTATTTTGTCGTGAAAAAGGACCCACCTTTGCGCTTACAGCCGCAGCAAATAAGAGGAAATCATACTGCACCGCCATTTTCTAAATCTGAACCCACTAAAGCTTTTAGATCACACCCTCAGAGTCTACAGGAAATGCCACAAGAAACCCCCAGAATGCATCCTAATCAAACTTTATCATTGCTTTCTTTAACCCCAGGAGCAAGGATAAAAGAGCCAGAAAAGTTCCACAAAAGTCAACCCGATTTATCGAAGGTCGAAACGAAACAAACCAAACATGGTCATAACGTTACCATTGGATCTTTTATGAAAGTTCTAGCAGAGCAAAATACTTCATCATACCGACCCACTATAGTAGAAAGTCCGCAGAACTTGGAAATGCCGCGTATGCGCACGAAGAAAGATTCCACGTTTGCCAGCATATTTGGAAAGAAAAGAGGAAATGAGAAAAACCATGGAAGAAAGAAGAGATGTTCCGCAAAAACAGGAATATCCACCGGAAGCAAGAAGGCAATACGGACTTAATCACATTCACGGTGATTCACCCATTAATGGCATTCTGTAAGGACATCAAATATTGCATCCACCTTCAAGAAAATATTTTTCTCAAAATCTCCAAATTCCTTAAATACAGAATGTTTAAGCTTGTTACCTAAAATCGGATAAATATGTATTTGAACAGTTATGAATATAAATCTGTTTTGAAGTCATGTGCCTAACTAATACAATGTTTTATTTTTTATTAATGTAAATTTATTTAAAAAGTCTATTCGGTGACTTTAATGTCGATGTATCACATGATGTACATGTTTTTCAAAAATATTTTTTATTGAAATAACATTTATCATGTACCTCGAGAATGTTCAATTTTTTCTTGTGTTTTTCTTTATAGGTATTGTATTTCTTGACAAGAAACCTTGTATTTATTCTTTGGAAAGGGTAAACTTTGTCTCTTATAATGGACAACCATTATATGAAAGGTCATGGAACTTTAATGGTCACTGTTAGGTGAAGTGGGCTAATCTACATTTAATAGCTTTTTCCCATTTTAATGATAGCTGCCAAAATTTTAATCTTGCATTAATTAATCGTGTAAGTGTAAAGTTTTTAGATCACCGGGTCACTACAATGAGCTTATTTACCTATATTATACTAGCGGTTTCCAAAATTCTAAAATTTCACTGTAGTTTTTGCCACTTTATCAGCATTTCAGAAAAAATAAATCTGGGACAGATTTAAAATTTCGGTTAAAATTTTTGCAAATTTATAAACATGTTGACCAGTAAACCGTTCATATGACGAGATTTGATTGAATTTCGTCTATTTACCTAGATATAAAGTCAAACCCTTCCCTTAAGTTTGTTTGCTATGGAGAGAACCCAGTTTACCTTACAGATATCATTTTACTTTAAATGGATTTAAAGACTTTGCGTACCTATCAGAGGTCTTTCTAAATACGTGGGCGTCTAACACCTCGCTTGATTATTTGTATTGAGTTTTATTTTCGGTAGTTATTTTAAACTGGTTCTTTAATATTCCTACCCTTGTCATGAGAATCAAATTCATCAAATCACATTTCATTAATAACTTTAACTTAATCAATGTAGAAATTGCACTCCATCCTGTTTGATATTCATTGAATAATTTTATTATTGTTTTATGGAAATCACCATTGGTAAAACCAGATATAAGATTGAATAATCCTTTCAGATAGATGAACACTATTTTGGGGCCCTGTGATTTTTTGAAATACAAAGAAAACAAAGGAAACAAAAATAAAGAGTTTTATTACAGAAACATTTAACTCGTACAGTCAATAATTTCTCACATATACAATGCATCACTTCCCAAAATTATATTGTACATGTGTAACAAGATGAATGTTCGAAAATAAATATTTAAGTCTAAAACAGTGTATGAACACGAGAGCAGGTTATTAAACATCCAGGTATATCGTTAAATGTAGAAAAATATCCAACAAACAATCTGATGAATACCACTAAAAATCAACAATACCTTGTTAAAAATACAAATCCGTTCAAAGTCTACATTTTTTAAATGAGAAAAAAAACATGTTATGGTCACTACTCTCTGTCTCTCTTTTTTACTGCATAATGGAAAAGATTCTCCAATTAAAGAGCATGAAAAAATTAAAAGCACAAGATTTTTAAAGATATTCTAGCCAAAAATTAAAGAGCGTACGGTAGATGAAAAATATTAAAAGCACAAATTAAAACATTTTTTACAAGCGTATCAACATTCACGGCGACAAAATGATACAGTCAATCAAGCTTCATGACGTAACAAATACAAATAGTACCATTGTGAAACCAGTAAGATGGACGCTAATAACAAAACTTATAAGTCGTTGTATATTGTTATACACTAGAATATATGAAAAGAAGTGTAAGATACGGGTCAAAATCTTTCAATATATTTCAGTCAAATTGAAATGATAATAAAATATGAGTTTTTTTTCTCAAGAGAAAAAAGTTTTGAAAACACGTTGAAATTAGTTCATTATTTATACTTCATTGTTGATTTTTTTTTAGAGTATTCAGTTTCAACATTACGCACGTTGTACCTGAAGGTAAACTTGTATTTACTGTTACTCGAGCTGTTTACACTGCTTGAGTTGCTATTTTCTCCGCTCCTTTCTCGTTAGATGCGTTCGTCTCGTCTTTGATCTCCACATTATCTTTCTTGGATTCATCTACTGCTGCTGCAATCTTTTCAGCAGCCATTATTTCTTGTAAATAAGTTTTTATGTCGATCTTCTGCCCTCCGTTGTCGACCATGAAGACGCCATTTTGATCCGCATCCTGAGCACTTTGTGAACTCTTTGCAGTTTCGCTTGGAAGATATACCACTTGCCTATTCTGCTGGTTTGTGACGCCAACAAGTGCTTGTACTAGACTCTGAATCAACTGTGTCGAATTGTTGTCTGGGCCTTGATTGTCTGGGCCTTTTCCGGTTCTGCGCATTTGGATGGCGTTGTCGTGTACGTCACTAATATTACTGATACAGCTAGAGACGTCACTGGCGCCACCTCCCACAGTGTCACTTAGTCCGCTCATGGTTCGGCTTACATTTGTTGCTCTTGATGCTGAGGGTGTTGACTTTCCTGGAGGTTTGCAGCAACTGAAAATTCCTGGGGCTTTGTTGTACAAAGCCTCTCTGAATTTAGGATGGCTCAGAGCATAGACGATAGGATTGTGCATAGCGCTAGCCTTTGCCAACATGACGGGCAGCTCAGAGAGGAAAGGAGTGACCCACTCTGTTGGACCAAATTGACCAATCAAAGCCACAGTAGCATATGGACTCCATGACAACAGGAACAAGGCCACAATCATAATGGCGATCTTGGCAATTTTCACCTCTGCTTTGGTTTTCTCTTGATTTGCTTTAATATCATCAACCTTCATTTTGGCTGCCATTTTCTGCATTTTTTGTTCGTGTTTTCTCAAAGCTCGGAGGATCAAAATATATGACATTGCAATTACAAATACAGGAGCGGCAAAGCCAAAGAGATACAGGAAAAATATGTATGTTCTGTTACTTGGAGTTGTGGTGAGGTAGTCGAAGGTGCAGGACGTTTGAAATCCCTCCGCCACGTAACCACCCCAGCCAAAGAGAGGTGGCAGTGAGGCACATAGAGACCATACCCAGACCAAGCAAATCATGGTGAAAGCTTTTCTCCTTGTCATATTATGGGCAGCTTGGAGGGGATGTGCAATGGCATAGTAACGATCGACGCTGATGGCAGAGAGCGTGGTTATGGACATCAGACCAAAAATACCACCAATAAGTCCATAGAGCTCACAGGCTATAAAATATAAAGTTATCTCGTTCATTTTAAACAAAAAATTTCAGTTTTCAAGAGCACAGAAATCTACAACATACAGAAAGCCAAATTATTTGCTTAATACCTGTATTTCCCCATATCCATTTTTTGTTAAATGAAGAAATGGTTAAAAGAGGAAACCCCATCACCAAGGAAAATATCAGGTCGCTCAGTGCCAAATTTACAATAAACATATTGGATGGCGTCTTCAGATTTTTGGTGCTAAATAAAATGAAATATTTTGTCAGATTTAAAGAGAAGTTCATGGTTATTTTCAGGGGTTTCAAAAAATAAAGAAGTCAGACTGACCGAGTTTGATATAAAAGAATGACACGAAATTTATCCGTTCTTGAATTTCTGAATTAATATGCATTATACGTACGTGCTGAAAATATAAATGACAGTGGCGTTTCCAAATATTCCAACGATGCCGACAATTGAGATGAAAACACCAATGGCATAATGCCACGTGTCAGAGACCAGGGGAAACTGGTACCAGTGGGGATGAACGAAGAAATTATAAGTGTCAAAGATATGCGTAGTCGTCTCGTTCTCAAAAACATCGGTTACTGCTGCAGATGGCGTAAAGGCTGCTGTTGCTAAAAGAAGAAAATGTAAGATTATAAGCACCCATATTGTACTACATTTCGAAGGGTGCGCTTTTTTCAGTTTGATATCAATATCTATTCAAATCTCATTATTTGTAGAACATTCTGGTAGAACTTTCCTGGTAGTACTTTCCTTTAAAAAAATGACTTTCTTTTTTGCGACCTTAAAGCATTTGTCCTGTTAATGTAAACAATAATTTTATTATCAACTTGTTGGAATGTTTGTTATTGATTAGAGTTAACCGGTATTTAATACAAGTCAAGTAAGATTTATAGTTTTCTTGTGAGATTTGCCAGTTGTCGTTTCTAATGAGTTCAGATCAAAGAGCAGCTTAAGAACCATAACTCCATTGTTACGTATTCCGTGCAAAAGTTGATCAGGTGAGATAATGAGTTCTTGAGCTTCTGAAAATGGACAGCTATAGGCGCTATAAGACCCCAGCTTAGTAGTTATAATTACAAAGAATAGATAACAAAAATATCTCACGACATTCCGTTGTTTACTTGACATGAAGTTTACATATCTTTGATGTTAAAAGAATCAGAATCGGTAAAATTTAAATAGTGTTAATTTTTTTTCCAAATTACGTATTGCTCCCTTATCCAAAAAGTGAGTACAATCAAAATTTTGCATTTGACGTTTCCGAAAAAAAAAACCCATCAAAAGCAAATTCCTTAAAATCATTTATATCATAAAAATCTAAGAAAACATAATTCTCAAAAATTTACATTGATCTTGACAAATCAAATATAAATTATTTATATCATAAAAATCAAGAGACAAACAATATAATCATTTTTATAACAATGCAAAATTTACATTGTAAAATCTTGAAATACAAATCACAATGAAATAAAAATATAATTTTTTTAAAATATGAAAGAAAAAAAAAATAATAATAAAATACCAAATTTTTTTAAAAAAATTTTTTTTTTAATGGTGCAAGATGCAAATGAACATTTTTTTGTAAATAAAATTTTGAATAAAATTCCAAAATTTAAACCTGATTTTTTTTTTACTTACTAGCCATGGTTGTTTCCAGTAGAGAGATGATGTTAGTACTCTTTGAAACTACACAGAAGGAGACGGTGTGTACCGTATTTATATATTCTCCAACCTTCCAGCCCTACATCCTATGTAAGTATCTTAGGATCTGGGCGTTAGCACGAAGGGAATTAATTGACAAAGAAAATCTGGTCACGAAATTATTGTTCTAATGTTTTGGTCTTGATTAGGGACAATGCCTCTTAAAAAATATCGTTTGAGCTGGGGCACGGGTATTTTATACACGTTTTAAACTGACTAGAGCTTAAATTTGCCAAATATGTTCCGTGGGTGATCTTGTTTTCTGTCTTTGTAAAATGCACTATTCTTGGATAATTTTATAAAATATTTATATTATTATTGATATTTATATAATTATATATAATTTATAAAATGTCTAATTGGATCAACCAATTTTTTTTTTATTGCTTCCCTGTTCAAGATGATGTTCAAGATGATATCTTGATGTGTGATGTGTAGTTATTAAAAAAAATGAAATTTTAAAACCAATAATATAAGCAAAGCAATTTTTAAAAAACTAAATATACATGTATAAATAGAATTATGGTACTTAATGAAACCCTTCAGTACACGTGTGTGATATTTTGTAATAGATATAGCTTTAAACAATGAAAAAATTGGAAACACTGGAAACATCGGATTGTTTTTTTTTTCATAACTTCCTTTTAATACATTTCACAGCTGCATATATATTATATTTATGTTTTCTATAGTGATTTCTATAGCAAGAACATGATGTACAATCAATTTTGAAACAAAGGCAGATTACTGACAAATGCTTAATGCAGATATTTCTACAAGTAAGCGTTTGACAAGAATCGTGTTTATTGACATTGTTTACAGATACCTTTGGTCAGATTGTATTTTGCCTGACATATTTCACGCCTTTGTTTGGTCGTGTTTTTCATACTTATTTTGACTATTCCGTTTTCTCGATCATGACTAGTCGACAGGGGATGCTTATTCCTCCATGCCACCTGATCTCAGTTCAGTTGTTTCCACAGGTCTGTGTTTTTGCCTTTTCATGCTTTGTATTGTTAACAAGATTTAGAGGATTATATTCATACGAGTTTTTCTACTTTTACTCGAATGACACTTTTTCCATTATTCACAATCACAATGAATAAGATCTAAAATATGGCAAGTCGAACGTTGCATCTTTTCAATTTAAATTTGCATTGTATGATATGTATTTGTATTGTATGATATTTTATTCATAGTGTTTATTTTTCCATTTGTATTGTATGATTTATTTTTATGTTCTGTAGATTTTCATTTATATTCTATAGTTTTTCTAAAAAAATATCTTTATTCTGTAATTTTTTCATTTTTTTTTATTCTATATTTGTATTTTCCATTTGTATTGTAAAACCATTTGTATTGTTAAATATATGTAGATAACAAACATTATTCAAGCTCAAAAGTCCATAAAACAATACAAACTAGGAGAAGAGCAAACGCGGACCTCAAAGGAAGAGATGGGATTAGGTGCCATGGAAGAATGAGCATCCCCTGTTGACCAGTTACACCACCACACATGTGCTCCTTGTCATGATCGGGACGTAACGGGAAAATCCGTCGACAATTCAGTGACCTAACAATTGGTATGAAAAACGCCTGTCGGCATTTGACTTAATAAATGATAAATTGCATTTGCTGACAAGATCATTGCATCGACCATAGAACTTACGAAATAACACTTGATCCCACCTCTGATGTTTAGAGGTCTTGTTTGCTCAGCTCCTATTTTGTAATGTTTAATTGAATTTTTGAGCTCGAATACTATACAGTTATTGACTGGGAATGAGGGCAACATATGATTTGCTGGACCTGAAGGTGAAAATTTTGCCCGAGGCCGCAGGTCAAGGGCAACATTTTCACCCTCAGGTCCAACAAATCATATGTTGCCCAAATCCCAGTCTATAACTGTTTTGTTATACCCTTCAGTGCTCACTTAAGATTTAATCAATACACACTGTATTATCAATTACTTTATATGTAAAATATTGACTTAATCAGTAAATATAAAACAATAGCTGAGAAAGAACAAATATTAATTATATTTTTATTATATCACAAAAACTATTTATCACAAAACATATACTCTTCCCTTCTTCCTTGCTAGAAGCAACAACTCTTACAGCTCTTAACTTCGGCTATTTCCGTGTCGCCGATATTGAACGATGACGTAGCAGTGACGTTGCGGTCTAACAATTCTTATGTTGGACCGGCAGGCCGGTCAACAGTGAAATTGCTAGACTGATGTAATAAACATTTCTTTTGTTGGACTTTTTATTAGTTATAAATATATAGAAAGCTATTTATAAGGGTATAACAATGTTCGTTATCTCCATATATTTTATGATGACTTTAACGAGACTGCTGATATTCTTTTTTCAGCAACTTGCTTGTCAATAACTAACCTCATTTTAAAAATTCTTCATACTGAAAAATGCTGGTCTCCAAAAACCACATAGATATTGTAAATCAGAAACTCACGCATCTTATTAATATCAAATTCAGCGTACTTGTTTGTAGAATCAGAATGTTTTTTAACAAAATAATTTTGGCAAAGGACAAGGTAAAGAAATTTACGAGTTCTATTTTCATTGCAGAAGCAGCTGTCAATGATACCAAAAAGCCTGGACTTTGATTTAACGTAGGGAATGGTGTATACAAAGTTAAAAGTCGTGAGTTTTTATGCTGTTGATTTTTGTAAAATTTTGTTATGTCAAATTTTCCAAAAGTTCCTTGGAAATTTTAAGTATCCACATTTGATTTACACTACTCGAATATATTGTTGCACAGATTCCTGAAAGTTCTCCTTTACTACTATTAATAGTTTAGTGAGGAGTAAAGAAAGAGGATTGGTAGAACATTAACTGAAACCCGATATGTATTAAAAGGATTTTCATGAGGTTTGGAATCCTGTATAATCTGCTTCTTCAAATCCATTCTGGTTGTTAGGAATATTAAACATATTCAAAACTGAACTAAGATTTTGAAGAATTTCCTCCTTAGAAAGGGAACTATGAGTATAAGTTGGATAAACATTTGTCTAGTACAATTCAATCCCAGTTCCTCTAAAATACATTTTATACGTATAATAATGAGCCTTACAAACAAAGAAAATGTTTCTAACTTTGTCAGCAGAGACCAGTACATACTGATTACTGATCGTGTAGTCTATCTAATTCTTTTTTTCTCTTCTGAATAACTAAAACCAGAAGGATAGAAAATTTTTATTTGGTCCCTCAATCATTTTAACATTCATATGATACATTTTATCCATTCAGTCACCTTGCAAGGTCTTGTTTTTCATGTTTTGCCCGTGTAATCTTCATTAGAATCCATTTTTTATATTGTATAATTTTTTAATGGTATTCTATATTTTTCCATTTGCATTGTATAGGTTCTCATTTTCATTGTATTTATACTCAATCATTTTTCATTTGGAATTGTTTCCGAGGGATTGTTTATTTGTTTATTTTTTTAAAATGACCATTTATTTACCAACTCCGCAAAAAAAAAAAAAAAAAAAAAAAAAAAAAAAAAAAAAAAAAAAAAAACATAACATAACATAACATAAAATTGAAAGTCAATTTATCAATAAAAACAGAAACCAAGTCAAGTTCAAATTTTATGTGAAAATTTTGATTTCAACTTAGATTACATATATCACGTATATATCTACACTCAATTTCATATTATAAAGTTTTTGTTCATATACGCTATATATAGCTTTAACATCTACCATGGAATTCCTTGTCTACAATTTCGATAAATAAAAACAAACTGCCCCAATTGTCATTCTCAAGTCTGATTTAATGCCATTGATTACCAAACCTAAATTCTTTTTCTATATATTTTAATAATGCAGTAGTCCGAACTCAAACTAAATTGTTCATGAAAAATAAGAATAAATTTAAATGTATATCGTAGGACATTGCATTGAATTTCATTAATATTTAAAGATAAATAATTGCGGAGAATAGAAAAATAAGGCTGGTTGGATAAGTAAATTTCGCGATAAGCCCTTTTATAAAATTTAGCTTTTTGTGTCTTAGTGTCTTTTACAAAAATTTAGAATTATGCATTATATGACAATAAAAAATTTCAATTGAAAAATTCTTAAAGTGACAATATCACGCATCTCTTCAAAAACAGACTTGTTAAAATTTTCCTATAGCATTTGGAATTTTTTTCATACTCATAAATGTATACACTTTCCGAAAATTACAAATTTTATAAGTAAATAATTCTGATTATTTCATTAAAATCAATAATTATTTATGGTACATAAATATATACATTGCAACGTGTTCGAGGTTCCACATTCCATGCTATACACGCACATGACGCATGCGTATAGTTTTCATAAACAAAACAGCATGGTAAGAGAGGGAATCCCGGTAGGCCTGCTACATTGACAAAGTCGACCAAAACGAAAAACAAAACCAAAATTAGCCAGAGATTGAAATTAAAAAACAACTTTCCTGACAAAAAATTAGTAGGGCGATTAATATAATCATTGGATGAAGAAGAAACGGGACCTTGGCGACATTCACGTGGGGCTCGCAAAGGTTTTATCCTTCAGGTTTGTTGATACATGCTATCATTTCTCGTATCTCCATAGCTTTCAAAGAAAAAAAAATCAGTGTAAACTCAACATAAAAATGCACTTATGACATATAAAAATTATTGCCATTAGAAGTGCAAATTGTATTGGAACTGCAGAAAGATATTTTGTTTGACATTTTGCCGCGATGAAGTATGATTTGGTGGATTTTCCTTTCCTGCACCCCAAGACACAAAGCGTCAACATTTGTACTTAATCATGTTAATGCAGACTAATATGTTAACTATTATTAATTTACCGGAGAGTTAAGATATTTTGATTCTGAGAATTGCTTTTAACTAATATTCCATTATATTTGCATATCCACTTCTCTCTCCCACTATGAACACGTAGTCATCAACTGCATTCATAGTACTATAGACGCACCTGCTTCTACTATGAGTACAATTGCTCTATCACACTCGTGTAGAACAATCTCTACCACACTTACATGTGGTGTTGAGAAGTATATATATGAAATGTTTCATAAGAGGAATGAAAATAAGTTTTTAATAATATTCTTTGAAAAAAAGGAAATTCAGAATACTTAAAATTGCTGATTCATATCTTTAAAAATTCAATTTTGGTCAATGTATTTAATTGTATAATAAAACTTTTTAAAATTGTAGAGAACTGCCATATTTTTATTTTTTCGTATCATGCATATACAAAGAATGATAACTCTTCACACTTGGGTAATAACATTCAGAAAGAGAAAATTTCTTTAACTAGTATATCTATATCAAGAATTATTTCAGCTATTTAAAATAAATAGAAAAACTAAAAAAAAAATATAGAAAAGCATTCTGGAGTAATAATTATTATAAAAGCATTCTCATTTTTCATCATAGTGTTAAATTATTGATTTTTGTCAGAGGGTTAAAATAACGTTGATCGATGACGTCACAACTGCATCAAAACAAAAATGTGATGACAGCGCAGCTTGTATCCAGATAACTGTGTTTGAGAGGGAAATACTTTATAAATTGTTTGTGATTTATTAGAGAAAAGAAGCATTAATCAGGTTTACTGATTTTAAAGCCGTATGCTTTTCTTTACTGAAGACAAGAAGCTGCGTCCTTATGTAAATCAGGATTTCCTCTGATACTCTTGAAAAAAAATCAAAGAATGCAAATATAAGTAATAAACAACGATTATTCAGTGAACATGGCATTATGAATAGCAATAGCTCTGCTGGCATATTTTCCATGATGCGCTAGCGCGCATCATGGAATATGCCAGCAGAGCAGTTGCTATTCATAACGCCATGTTCACTGAATAACGTTGTTTATTTCTTAAATAATTGTAAACCCTACATTGTATGCACGTGCCATTTTACATTTCTCGTGGTACAAGTAAACAGGTCTAAGTTGTACGACCCTTGATTTTCCGGCAGATTTTAATTACGTTAATTTTGTATGAGGAGAGAAAATTTATTTTTCTCAAAATGCTTACTTCAACTTTTTACCTTATTCCTGAATGATATATTGTGTAAATTTGAATGAAAAAGCACACGATTTGCAGCCGTATTGCCGCTTTAAATAAGTATATGGCATTATGTAAGGTAGAGATCACTAAACCACGTGATAAATTTTGTCCTTTCAAGGATCAAACACGTGGCTTTTTAGGACATTCACACACGTCTAGGAGGAAATCGCGTGTAGATAATCATGTCAATGTATGGTATTTGGATCCTCCCATCTCAGATCTAAGTCTAGCTGTGATGGGGTCTATGTTCTCTGGACACGATAAATACCATTACGTATTAGGGATGCCACCTTAAGATACGCATCACGGTGTTGTATTCTTGAGTGTCTATTTCAGATGCATACTGCATCCTTCACTTAATTGGTTTATGCAACATGTGTTTATTCCAATTACAATGTGATAACATGCAGTATCATTTCTCACCATTATTATCCTATGCTGTATTGTGGAACATTTTTTTCTGTTTAAGTAGATGGATTCATTTTCCAGAACGAAAAGTGAGGAGACATACTAAGTATTCTCTCAGATTTGTTAGATACCGAGTGGTCCATTGAAAAATGTAATCGATTATTTTAAAATGGTGACTCAATTTCATAAATTCTAACCGATCCCGCCTGTACGGATCTACGTCAAAAACCTGGCCTTGTCAATGAATCAAGGTAGCCAAACAACCGGCTTTATTCACAGATCCAGAGCACGAATTATCAACTGCGCCTCCTCAGAGTAAATTACAAGATAGAATAACACATCCTCTAATACCCACTTGTTTCCTAAAGGTCAGCTGAGAGGGGGGCAATCGGTTCAAGAATTCTGCCCTACAAACAGACCCAACAAAGATAAAACCAAGTGTTGGTGCTTAGAGATGGTCATTTTGTATTAAATTTTTGTCAAAAGATGTTAGTGCAGAAAGTTATCATTTTTCAAGTTCTTGTATATTTGACAGAATGTGTTTCCCGCCGTCAAGGTAGTAAAATATTCAAGAAAAATTGTATAAGAAAATTTCTTCAAATGTAAGAATCTTTGATGTAAAAAGCAACAAACAAATTTCACTAGAGGAAATTATTAGCAAGAGCAGTTTATTTTGATAGTTTGGGATGATATCCGACTTGTTGGTCGAGCATTTGCTGGAGTTGTAGAACTGAAGCAGCCTGATGGATCGTGGAACAAGGTATGTGCTGACCATTTCTGGACCCCACAAGTAGCGGCAGTAGCGTGCCATCACTTAGGATTTGATGGAACTGCAAGAACCAGAGCAAGGGTTAGTAGCTAAAAGTGAAATTTTGAAGATAATTGCAAGATTAATAAATTCAATTCAATATAATAGTTTACATATTTCTTTATTAGGGAATTCAAACTCACGAGAAACATTTTTCGAAGTTGCAATGCAAAGGTTCCGAGGAAAGTCTGGAACAGTGCCAATCTGTGATTGGTAAGGTAAACATTTCCAAATGGTCCACTCCGTTACATAACAAGTTTCTTATATGATAATCTTATATCATGCCTATATTCCAGCGAACAGTTGCAGCACAAACAGAGAAGCATATTTATTTTGTGGTAGACCAAGAGCAGTTAAAGACCGTACGTATTCATTTAGGATACCATCTAATTCATAAACAAGTTTTCTTATTATACACTCGAAACAAATGAAGGAGCAAATATGTATATGAAATAAAGAAAATGCCCTGATGCTTAAGAATTGAAATATTTATAAAGTATTTCTCTCTGTAGATCCAGCAAATTGCACAGATAGACAGTTCCTGTGTAGGAGTGAAAATAAATGTATCCCCTCACGCTGGCGGTGTGACTATGTGTCCGATTGTAGCGATGGCGCAGATGAAGTCAACTGTACACGTAAGTAACAGAAGATTCCCGATAATACATTAAAAGTTTTATGATAGGCTGGATTGTTTGATGAAATATATGGAGATAACGAACAGTATTCGAGCTCAAAAGTCCATAAAACAATACAAAATAGGAGCAGAGCAAACACGGACATCCAGAACATCAGAGGTGGGATCAGGTGCCACGGAGGAGTGAGCATCCCCTGCCGACAGGTTACATCCGCCGTCTGCTCCTTGTCATGATAAAAAAAATAGTTTAGATCTACCTAACAATTTAAAATATTTAGTTTTAAATTATGCCAATAGCAAATTTTTGAAATAACTTTCTATAATGAACATGCAAATTTCTACCTTTAGGTCATCACCTCTGTAAATCTGTATAACTTTTTATTACTTTAAAGGACAGTATTTTGAAACTTTTAATGAAATGTACTTATTGAGTATAAATTATTATTTTAAAAAAAACCTCTTTTGAATTTACCATGAAATCACTTAACACAAGTCGTCAACTCGTACCTTTGGTTATCCACTCAAGAAAAAAATTCCCTTTTTAGTTAAAAAAGTTAATTTCCATGGACATTATGGCCAGTTTGATACTGTCGTCGGGAGATTTTGAACACTTAATGACTGTTTATTTTCATTCTCTACAGCGATGTCTTACGTGTTTTGATTAAACTGTAAATCTTACAGCATCGACCGACATTCCTTTGAGTTCCCACTATCTGCGCCTCTTGAGAGTCACTGGACGACGGAATGAGGGAATATTAGAGTTTAACCTGGCTAACCAGTGGGGTACCGTCTGTGACGACGGCTTCGATATAGTGGCGGCCAATGTTGCTTGTAAACAGCTGGGTTTTCAGTAAGTATATCTACATAACGGACAGGTAATTGTTCTGATCTGTAGAAGATAATGAATTATACATGTAATTAGACACATAGAACCTTTTGTGAGAGGATTTCTAATTAAGAAGATTACGTTTACATAACATAATCATCTTTCAGCAAAGAAGAGCTCTGTTCTTTTGCTGGACTATATAACAAATTAGCAAATTCAAAGAACTAAAACAGGGCATCGGAAATAAATCTCTTTAATTATTGTGGCTGCAGAAATGGACAAAAATTACAAAATTGTGAAAGCAAAACACTTCAATTATTAAAAGAGCCAAACAACTCTCTTTTTTCGTGTGTGTAGCACTTTAAATATTGTGGCTGCTGGAATAGACAAAGTTTTTAAAAAAAATTGTAAAAGCAAAACACTAAAAGCAAAAAAAGTAAACGACTGTTTTTTTTGTGTGTGTGTAGCTATGGTGCTGAAAAAGTGAAAAGCTTTGGAGGAGGCTCTGGACAAATATGGATAGACGAAATCAATTGTCTTGGAAACGAGACGTCAATTTTAGAGTGCAGAAGGAATAAGTAAGTTCCGTATAAAGATATTCTTATTCACAGATTTCTTGATTACGGCGTAATTGTGTTGTAAAGTTGAAATGCTAATTTTGTTAGGCTTGGAAAAAGGAAATGTTAAAATAACATCTGTGATTTAAATTTGCAAGTTAACAGGAACTTTTTGATGGTCACTTTGATTTCACCTTGTCAGAATGCTAGTAGGCTGGACATTCTTTTAAATCAATTATAATCCGTAACTTTGAAAGTGTTATTTGATCATTTAGAGACATTTATAATACGAACATGTTATAGCAATTCATGGTGCCACTTGAAGTATAAAATATAATATATATGAAAGTAAGTGTTTTGGTTATTGGTAAAACGTCGATATATCTAAATGTCGAGTTGAAAGCTACAGCAAACTTTTTCCTCTTCTCGTGTACACCAAGCTTTGTTTCATGTATATAAAACATAACTAGTTCCCATCAAAATTCCAGCGACCTTTATTAAAGTTGCAGGTATTTGTAGATGACCAGTCACAAGACATAAGATCTTAGGAATTGCGTTTTAATCAAAGAAGCAATTGTCTGTGCTGTCAAAAAGTCTGGTCTGTAATTTATCAGAGGCAATTGTTATATAAAGCATAGAAAATCACATATTTTGATGGTGGTGATGTTTATTTTCAAATCTGATGTACACCGTGACCATGCACCTCTTCAATACGCAGTTGCACAATGCGTTTGTATTTTCTCCTTCACTGTAGTTAATATTTTGTTGAGAAGTAAGGGAAGGAACTTGGTTGAATATTGGACTCTGCAATATATCTTTGTAAAGTCTTTAAAGAAGTTTCGGAAACCAGTATATATACGGTAAATCAATCTCAATTTTATTGCATGTGGAATATTAAATATAAAACTGACAAGTGATTTTGAAGAATTTCATCTTTGAAAGGGAACTCTCAGTAAAGGCTTAATAACCAGATGTAGAATAAAAATAAAATTGTGTTCTTCTAAAATTATATTTGTAATAATTAATTAGCCTTGCTAACAAGGTCTGTATTATATATAAAGCTTTATCAGCTGGAAACAAACATCTTTTAATAGTCCTTCTAATTATTTTATCGTGTTCTCTATATACATGTACATTATTAAAACGCTTTGTCCATTCTGACAGATTATCTGAGGTATAACGTTAACCCGTCTTTTATCATACTTCTGGAATAAATAATATAAATGATGTTCTGTCATCATTTGAACTATACTTACATTTCCAGTAATGAAATGGGATAGGAGGATTTTGTTTTCACTCAAATATTATTATGACAATATCATATGTCAATTTTTAAAATATTTTAAATTTTCCAAAGAACCAAAATGAATTTGAATTATTATTTCTATATTGGATTCCAAAATTTCATAAAAGTCACAGAGAAAGAGACGAAGTGGGTTCTAGTAAATGGTTAACCATACATCTTTCTTAGTTCTCTCTAAGATATTAACAGTAGTGAAGGAGAAACTTCATGATTACTGTACAAAAGTACAGAAGTGGTGTAAATCAGATGTGGATTCTTAAATACTCCAAGGAACTTTCAGAAATTTTGAAATCACATGATTTTACCAAAATATTTAAAAACCTGTGACTTTCAACTTAATTCATAACCATTCCCCACGATAAATTAAAGTCCAGGCTTTATGATATCATTGACGGCTGCTTTTTCAATAAAACTGGAGCTCGTAAATTTATTTACCTTTTCATTGGTCTTTGTAAAATTATTTTGTTAACAAAATATTCTGATTATACACTCAAGTACTCTACGTTAACATTAAAAAGATGCTTGAGTTTCTGATTGACTATATCTATGTGGTTTTTGAAGACAACAATCTATTGGAATTCTCATTGATACCAATTGCGCCCAGTTATTAGCATACTTCATTTTGTATTCATATGAAGCAGAAATTGTCCAAAATGTTAAAAGTGAAAAAAAGAAAACACTTGCTGTGGCTTTCAACTCGACATGTATATATATTAAAGACGTATTCTCAATTTGCAATGGTTATTTCTATTCTTAAGCCGAAACGATATATCCCCGTGAGCTTGCGATACCACAGAGTCTGACACATCTGTTTCATATTTGGATATTTTACCTGAAAAAGATGTTAATGGTAATCTTACAACAAAGCTTTATCATATACTTGATGACTTTAAATTTTCAATTCTCAACTTCCCTTACTTATGCAGCAATATATCTTCATCATCTGCATACTTGGTTTATATCTCTCAATTGATTCGATACGCAAGAGCATCCTCTACATATTTACAAATTCTAAAACGAGGTTAATTATTGACAAACAAGTTCATGAAACAAGAATATCAGCAGTCTCGTTTAAAGTTTCATTTTGTAATTTCTATGATCGATACAATGACCTTGTTAGCAAATACAATTTATCATGGAGTCAAATACTGGCCGACGTTTTTCATACTAATTGTTACTCCATTATTTACACACTGCATTGTCGACAGATTATTTTCGTTATTGACGAGGAGCACAGGGGGTGGTTCGGTGGGTGGGCGGGAGGGTTTGGGGGAGGGGATGGGTTAGGCGACCGATCGGCAGGGGATGCTCACTCCTCCATGATTCCTGATTTCACTGCTGATGTGTAAGAGGTCCTTGTTTTCTATACTCCTATTTTGTATTGTTAAATTGAGTTTTGAGCTTGAAAACTGTCGTTATCTCCATATATTTCCTTCCATTTTCCAGCTTTGCTGCACATGATTGTACGCACGCTGAGGATGTTGGGCTGGTCTGTAAAACTTCACCAAATCCAGAGGGTATGTCTCAAGTATCTAGGTGAAATTTTCTCTCATATATATCCAATGGTTGTGTGTGTTAGTTTGTAATTTAATGATGTTTAGATTTTTCATTTTATGATTGCAGGTTGTGGTGTGCCAAAGGCGGATCCAAAAAGTCGACGAATTGTTGGAGGACACACGTCCACGCGCGGAAGTTGGCCTTGGATAGCCAGTATATTCCTCCACATTCCGCCAATGAGTCAGGAACAGTTCTGCGCCGGGAGTCTGGTCAACGACGAGTGGATTCTAACTGCTGCCCACTGTTTTGATAGGTATGATGCAGACTGAACACGACATTCTCTATGGAATCGAAAGCTAAAATTGATATAACCAGTAATTAGTGATCATTTTTCAGCTATCTATGTGCATTTTCTGTCATTATTTTTTTGAAATACATGTAGATGTAAAACAAGGTTTTCTACAGATATACACATACAATTTATAAACTATTATAAACAAAATATTAATTAAAAAATGTTTTATGTAATTTTAAAGAAATGTAGCCTTTAAGAGCACATTAAAACTCTCTTTTTCAATCAAAGGTTGCTTTGCACTTTTGAAATTGAAATCTCACGCACAGTAGAAGATTAAGTAGAAATTAATGATTGATTTCAGAACAACAGATAAGAGAGATATCCGAATTCGATTGGGAGAGTACAACCTTCACCATCGTGATTCCTCTGAACAAACTTTCAATGTAACCGAGCTGTTTCTCCACCCATTGTATACCAAGGCCTCTCACGACTTCGATATTGCATTGATAAAACTGAACAGGCCCGCAGATACCAGCACTGGATACGTCAACAATATCTGTTTGCCCCTGGCTTCTGAAGACAATTTCCAAAGTGATTACTGTTTTGTAGCTGGTTGGGGGAATACAGGTAAAACAAACAGATTTTTTAACTCCAGTAACTTGTTTTTGTTTTACAACAAAAAATGTAAATTTTAAGTCTTGTTGATTTTTGAATAGTTGTCTATTTTTGAAAAGCTATGATTGTTTTTCTCTAGGATTCAAAGCATTTGAAAATATTTGTTAAAAGGCTTATTTTATTAATTATAATAGGTTCATCAGCTTCATCAAAGACCAATGTGTTACAAGAAGCAAAAATACCATTACTTGGAAATGATGTATGTAAGAGTATATACGGGCAACTAACAAGCAATATGATGTGTGGGGGATACGTGTTCGGCGGAATAGATACCTGTCAGGTATGCCAAATTGTGATCACTATAATTATGATTGACATATTGACAGTTTTTTCTCCAATTTTAATTTTCAAAGCTTCTGGGGAATATCGATAAGATGAGAAGAAAAAACCACATGCGTCTCAAAGAAAATTTAGCTTAAGACGTATCCTAAAAAGTTAACAAGTTACCAAGTTTACATAACATTGGATAATCCTAAAGCTTCGATTGAAAATATCATAGTTCTGGGGGTTTCGGATGACCAAACTCTAGAAAGGGGGCATAAAACCGTACAAGAGAACCAACTATGACAGTGTGAAAACGTATTCAAATCAACAACAAGCTAGTATATATATATTTTAATAATGGATGTAACAATAAACGTCAATATTGTTCATCACACCCACGATTTTCCAAACAATGCTATATAAGTATAATTTTTCGTTTAGATAAGGATTTTGGGTATTTACACACTGCTACCTAGATAGAGTATATCGCATAGGTTTCTCAGAATTTAAAGCTATTCAGATGTACATAAATGTATATTTAATTGCAAAATTAAGTATTGCACTGTAGTTTAAACATGTTAAATACGGAATGCATAACAAGCCCTATCTCCCTATGGCTAAACACTGAGTTGCTTTATAAATTACAAGCACGGTATTGAATGTTGCGTTATACGGGAAGTTGATGTCAAGATTATTTTTAGGGCGATTCGGGAGGTCCATTAAGCTGTAGACGAAATGGTCGCTGGGAATTGGGCGGAGTGATCTCATGGGGTAATGGGTGTGCCCAGGTGATGAAGCCGGGTGTGTACACGAGGGCTAAGCCTTACTTACAATGGATAACAGATACATTATTAGGGAAAACGGCACCATCGACAGCTGCTCCAGCTAGACTTCACATTAACTCACTGTTTGGTCGATGAAATTTTATAAAATGTACTCACATTTATATAAGTGTATTGTATAATTTTATATGCACATTCCTTAACAAAAGAATCTCAATAGCTGACATTTTTTCTTCATTTTAATTATTTTATTTATTGATTTTGTATTTATTGTTTTATTAAATGTATTTTGTTTCCGAAGACTTGTAATGTATACAGAGGAATTCTATATTAATTTTACCCCCAAAACCAAAAAAAGTGAAATATTCAAGAAAAAAACATCACTGGGTTGGTAGAGTGCTTGATTGAATTTACTCGTGTTAAGTTCATGTGCTCAGAGAAGGATTGTAGTATAACGGTGCTGATCAGTACGCGGAAATTCCACAGTCAAATTTAAAATAAATAAAAAAACCGAACGATTGGTATGAAATATGCAGTAAAATGCAACCAAATGCAGTTATGTTAGTTTACGAAACGCTGACTTTAACAAGTGTGTTAAAATCCCTGAAACATTAATATATCTGTCAGTTGCCTCCCTCGGTTTAAAAATTGATCATCATCAGATCATGCTCCCGAGTATCAGATAAGTTGAAATACGTGAACACCATACGCAGATGTTAGCGGTATATTAATACATGTTTATAAATACGGAGAGTTCACGATGTGGGGGGGGGGGGGGTTGTGGATGTGGTTGTAATTCTGTTTGTCATATGTACCATTAAGTTGCTGGTTATCCCATATCGTTTGTGGTCAGTAAAACATGGTGGTATCTTTCATTTCGATTTCACGGGATCCATTGAGTCGACATAAAATCGTAAGAACTATTGTTGATAGATAAAACATCGTCGAATATATGAACAGTGTGGAAAAACCACCACAAATGTTTTCTTCCTCTGCTGAGGAATAAATTCTGCTTCAAAGGAAGATGTGAAAATTTTCGAATCTCACTTTTACTGCCTAAGCAGTTAATTATGATATCTAGAAACCTTGTTTTAGTTTATCCAGAGGAATGGTTGTTTTATGTGTAGGAATTCGTACGGTTTTTTTTAACTCAATTTTGAAAAAAATTGGTAATTTTAAATTTTCTAAGTATTATTTCCTAATTTATATAGCTTCTAGAATATGCTATAGGACAATACGTCTGAATTCGAAGTTTTTCCATAAGAACATTTATTATTTTAAGGAGTATAAAGAAAGAGGCTTGTTGGAGCATTAAGCTGGACCCATTAAAAATATTAAACTGAATTACAACGTTGAAGAATTCTGCAAGTTGGTAATCCAACTTATACCTATAGCTTTATTTGTAAGAAAGGCATTCCAAAAAAAAACACGTCAGTTTTAAATATTTTCAATATTCCCAATGTAAATTAATTTGAGTTACCAATACTCCATAAAATCCTTACAAACAAATCCATTAAATGTTGCTATAAAGCTTCTTTCTTGACTCCTCACAAAAATATTTAGAGAGTCGTCGGAGAAATTTGAGCGGTACATGTATTGTGCAATAGTACATTATTAGCAGACTTATTTTTGTATTCATATGAAGCAAAATTTGTTCCAACCCTTATGCGTGAAAAGAAGAAAAGACTTGCTTGGCCTTCAACTCAACATTTAGATATATCGACGACGTATTGTCAATTAACAAAGGTTATTTCCATTCTTATGTCGATACGATAAATCCTGGTGAGCTTGAGATAAAGGATACCACAGAGTCTGACAGATCTGTTTCATATTTGGATAAATTACTTAAAAAAGACGTTAATCTAACAACCAAGCTTTGTAAAAAACGTGATGACTTTAACTTTTATATCTTCAACTTCCCTTACTTATGCAGCAATATACTTTCATCACCTGCATACGAAGTTTATATATCTCAGTTGATCCGATACGCAAGAGCACGCTCTATGTATGAACAATTTTTAAAACGAGGTAAATTATTGACAGAGATGATGAAACAAGAATATCAGCAGTCTCTTTAAAAGTCATCATTTCGTAAGTTCTATGATTCTTTGATACATTGACCTTGTCAGCAAATACAATTTTTCATTGAGCCAAATGCAGACTAACGTTTTTCATACTAATTGTAAGGCCGTTGTTTATACTGAATTGACGAGGAATTTTCCGTTATTTCCCGAACAGGACAAGGAGCACATGGCGGGTGTGACCTGTCGGCAGGGGATGCTCACTCCACCATGGCACCTGATCTCACCTCTGATGTTTTGTAGGTCCGTGTTTGCTCTGCTCCTATATTGCATTGTTTTATGGACTCTTGATCTTGAATACTGTTCGTTATCTACATATGTTTCATGTACTAATTGTACAATACATTGTTCAAAAGTTCATTTAGTTAGTGGTAAAAATCAGATGTGGATACTTAAAAAGTTGAAATAACGTTTATTATACATCAAACCGTATATTGGTATATTTTCAACACTTTATCATCTAGCCTTGAAAACGTCGGATATTTCGGACTTCATTTCCCCACGATAAATTTAAGTCCAGGCATTTCTACGTCATAAACAGAAGCTTTTTCAATAAAAATGTGACATAATTGTCACTGGTCATTTGCAAAATTCTCCGTTTAAAACACTTTGAATGTACTCTGAAGTTGATATTAAAAGGTGCTTGACTTTCTCATTGACAAGATCTCTGTTGTTTTTTCGGAGGTCAGTTCTTCCAACAATATGTTGGATTTCCCTGGGTTCCAACTGGCCCCGTTATCAGGTCTATTTTTGTTTTCATACGAAACAGAATGTATTCAGAAACTTCAACATAAGAAGAAAAATTTCGCTGTGGCCTTCATCTCGACATTTCGATATATCTACGATGTATTATCAATAAACAAAAGTTACTTTCATTCACATGTCGACTCGATATACCCCTGTGAGCTTGAAATAAAAGATACCAAAGAGTCTGACACATCTATTTCATATTTGATTATTTTACTAGAAAACAACGATAAACAATGTAGTATTTTTCATACTTATTTTTCCATTATTTACACACTGAATAGTCTACGATTTTTTTTTGTTTGACTGATTATGACAAGGTACACACGGTGGGTGGATGTGACAGATCGATAGGGGATGTTTACTCCTCAATGGCACATGTACAGATCTCTGATGATTTTGTACATTTTCATATTTGAATATTTTACGAGTAATAGACGTTGATGTTTATGATAATCGAGATGACTTCCAAGTTTTTAATCGTAAAATTCCCTTACTTTTGTAGCATTGTGCCCTTATCACCTGCTTATAGGGTTTATGTCTCTCAGTTGCTTCAAAACGCAAAAGCATGCTCTATGTATGAACACATTCTAAAACGAGGTAAATTATTGACAATCAAATTAATTGTAAAAAAAGGAATATCATCTGTCTCATCACCATTCCGCAAGTTTTATAGTCGTTACATTGATCTTGTCAGTAAATACTTTCTATCATTAAGGTATGTCACTCGTCACCTTTTAGAAAAGTTCACGCATAATCTCTTGCTTCAAAATTATTTATTAAAATTCAATTCTTATAACATATTTAAATTCAACAATGTTAATGTTTTAACATTGTCAAAAAAAAAAGCAGCAAGATTTATCTATTTCTGTCGGAAGGATATTTAGCAGATAATTCTACAAATCTGCACATTTATTTAATTTAATATCTTGTAACTTTAGCCTCAGATACTTTTACTTGGAGAATATTTTCCGTTATGATATCACTATGAATATTTAAATAGGTCTTAATTTATATTTTTAGAACAAGTTTTACACTTTCCTTCAGCGAACTTTGCGAAAAAATGAAGATATATCAAATAAGTCTATCTAGATAAAATTTATACCATTTTTGACCAATATTTCAAAATTAACATCACTGGCACAAACTTTTCTTTCATTATTTTAAAGTACTCGATACATGTGACTGATACGCACTAAAGTCGTAAAAAGCTTGATCTATGAAAATGTTTTATTGCCTATTTAGTTTTTTAATACCCCAAATATGCTATTTTTTAGTGCAAAAAGGTCACACAATAATTTACGCGCATTAATTTGCAAGATTTGTTCAGCGATAAATATTACACAAACTATTTTGAGTAAAATAAAATTATATTTATTGCCATGGTTACATCTGATAAAATATAATAAAGGTTAAAGTAATTTACCCAAGAGATAAAGTTTAAGTTCAAAAAGGTCAACTTAATTGCACTGTAGATCAATAAGATGCACACTGACTATGATTTTGAGTCACACTACTTATCCAAAAATATATATTTAACAAATTTCAGTGACATACCTTAAGTCAAATGTGTGTGTAGGCATGACCAGTCGGCATTCATATCTTCACATTCATGCAATACTGATATAATCAATAAAATTAAGCAACATGTTTACTTTATAAATATATTTATTTCAGTGTGTGAGGAATAAAAATCGTATATGACAAACACCCTAATTGTAAATAAATATACCATCGTACACTTGTTCAATTTCAATTTTGAACAATGGTTTTTTGTATCCAGTTTAAGTAATCATACACTTTAGTGTACACCCCAGGTGACATGGGATCTGGAAAAAAGTGATGATCTTAAATCCTTTACATTAATACAAAAATGAATTATTTCCGTGAATTCATGATATCAAATATGGTAATAGACATAAAAATACGGGAAAAGTAATACTATTGTGTACCTGCACAGCCTACTCCCCATGACGTAATACCCTCTATCTGCCACTTGCCATCTATGTTACAAACCAAAGGACCACCACTATCACCCTTTAAGAAATTTGTAGGAGATCTTCATTTTTTAAAAATAATTGACTAACAGTTCATTCGGAGTATGATTAAATAGGGCTTAATATAAATCAATTCATTTTCTTAAATTTATAAATTATTCAAAATTCAAGCACAGAAATCTTTGGAATTTTTCAAATCTGAAATTCGACAGATTATAAAATGAAGACAGATTTGTAACTTGTGACAGATGTATCTCCAGATCAATGATCGATTAATAAAAATGACGACTTCAATGTTTTCATCGTCAACTTCCCTGGAACACGTGAAGCGATATCCCTGTTCCCTAATTACATGTTTTATGTCTCCCAGTTGATTCGATGTATACACAAGAGCATGCTCTTCATACAACTGTAAAACATTTTCTATAAGCGATACAGTAACCTAGACAGCAATCATTAAGTCATGTGCTGAGTGACGTTTTTCATAGCCATTGTAAAGCAATCATTTACACACTGAATTCTCTGTGAATTGTTTTCCGTTTGTCGAACAAGGATCACCTAGTTGTTTTGGCGGGTGGTCAGGGGATACTCACTCCTCCATGACACCTGATCCTACACCTGTGGTCTGTGTTTGCTCTGTTTCATATTATTTCAAAGGACTTCTGAGATTGAATTATGATTATTATCTTCATGATTCTTATACAGGAAACAGCTATTTACCTGACAAGTATCTATTCCTCCTTTGTCATACCCAGCACAGATATTGGTACTGAACACCTGACCGTCCGTGTATCTAGTAGTATTGCATTTTAACACATCAATGATAGGGATTTCTGCCTGCTTTAACACATTCCGACAGCAAGTTCCTGTTTAATATATTACATGCACTCTGTTCATTTGAATTCAATTCCTTTCAATTATGCAGATAAAATGAATTTTTCATCATTAAGTTTCTACTTTCTGTGGAAAAAAAATATGGTAGCCAACGTCCGTACAACTGCGTATAGATAAAAGTAATTTTCGTTCAATATTTTTTTTTAAACAATCTACCCATAGTATCTCCAAATCCTGTAATGTAACAGTGTTGCCCGTTGGACACAGTTCGCTTAGGTAAGCAGACGACATTGACGTAATTGTTTAACGTCACCGGAGTTTCCAATTTCAATAGAGTGATGTCATTTTCTGTGGTATCTTCATCGTAATTTTCATGGACAATAATCTTTGAAACACCCACTTCCACCTGATGCGCATCCTGTTTATTCATGTGATGATTTCCCAGCAACACGTGCCATTTCGATGGATTTCTGTCACTAGAATTCAAATCATTCTTGAAGTTATTAATAACTACTCTTGCAAAACAATGATACATTATTGATTCTTAAAATAACGAAATGCCATTTTAATCGATTATGGTATCTAATTTGTAAACTTGAAAATAATGATAAGTCTAAACGAGAGATCGTGTTTCTAATGCATTAAAGATCTGCTTTAATCTCTCACGTACTCTTCAAAACAGTGCCCTGCTGTCATGACCCACTGTGGGGAGATCAGGGTACCTCCACACATGTGGTCTTTAAACCTGCCGTACTGCAGGGAGGCCTGCCAAGGCCAGCTGCCAGGGACAGCTTCTTTACCTCCAACAATTCGAGAGTTACCCAAAGTTGGCGTTATTGCTGGCACGCCACAGCTTGAAGCTGAAAGAAAGAAGGAGCTACATAAATTGACGATTTATAAAACCTGTTGAAATTTTAGTTTAAATTGAAGATGTCTGCTTACTGCACAATACTTCGTCGTTGCCACTTGCACAGTCATTTCTTCCATCGCAGACTGAGCTTCTGTCTATACACATTCCGTCACTACATGTGAAATCATTGGGTGAGCATGTAGCTACAATTATAAGAAAACTGTTTTTATTTTGACTCTTTTCCGAAGAATACTAGTATGTTTATCGTAAATACTTTTAGTCACAAAAAGTGATATGCAACAGAAAAACATAGAAGGAACCGATATTTTAGAAACAAGGGTATGCATCTGAACAACTTACGAATTGGATCATGGATGCTGTATGTTATGTTGAAGCCTATCTCGGTTTCGCTTTCGTCGGAGTGAAATCGAATATAAAGATCTGAGGCTGTAGAAGTCAGCTTTTGTGGATAATTAATTCCACAATACTTTCCAATGAGCGGGGATCTAGCCAAAGGTCCATCAAGCACCTGCAGGTTGTCGTATTGGCAAGCACGATCTTTCTCCAGGTAAAAGGTCTGAAGAAAAAGCAAGACCTGCGATATACTTTTGTGATTTAAAACAATGGTAAATCTAAGAAATGTTGAAGAAGCAAAAAGTAATTACATTAAACTGGAGAGTGATGACTTTATCTGCAGGTGCCTTTATGTGCCATCTGCAGTTAAGATTATCCGGGTAATTCATTCCCAAAGTAAACTTCTCCGAATAGATGAATCCGGAAGTCCTGTTGAGGACGAGTGCTGTACTTCCATGACAAGCTTGATCCGTATTGACAGATTGTGTTGATACTGCAAAAGACATAAAGTCCAATCATATACATGTATCTTAAGTAATTTCTCTGGACAGGTATTCACTGTGACATATTTAGCCTACCATTCAATTTCACAGCTGAATAAGTGGCTGTAAATCCAATGTCTTGTGTGCTTCCATCACTAACAAAACTGACATACATAGAATTAGTTTTTGACACAACAGGGGCAGGAAGTGTGTTGCCACAATTTTTGGCTATCATTCTTCCGGTTGAACTTTGTCCATCAAATGCGGTGACAGAATCAAATGGGCATTGTCGACCGCCCTCGACACCGAACTGCGTGTATGTCAGGCGTACAGCGTAACCAAAGGGTGCAAAAAATCTCCATATACATCCTGAATGGGGAGGATATTGTAGGCCAACACCAAAATTAGGAGAGGAGATCGTGCCCGGTGTACTTCCATTGATGTAAATATCTCGGGTACAGTTCAGTCCGGCTGGTGATGGAGTAGTGTGGGAATCCACAGGAACCACGACAGACGCTACAGAAGTTAATGGATAGCTAAGATCTTATTGTAACTATATGGGTTGTGTTGGTAATATGACTAAATATAACAAATGTATAACATCCTAAATATGTATAGATCAATGTATTTTACTTGTGGTTTTAAGGTCTCTCGTGACCATTACCGTTTGTCGCTGACCAGTGCAATAGAAATCCCATTTCCTCATTACTTCCATCGCTGATGAATTGAACAATCACGTGATTACTGGAAAGGACCATGGTGGTTGGATGTTGTGAACCGCAGTATCTTCCTTAAAATCGGAAATTGAACCAAGACGTTTGATTTTATTGAACAGACAATGCAACAGTAAAATTTTCTCAGGAATAAAGAAAGCTTACCAACAAGATTGTTTTGATTTCCGTTATAAATTGTAACTCGGTCATAATTGCAATTTTGGCCGTCTTCTATTCCAAATTTATCGGCGAAAATCAATTTAATGTGCTAAACAGAAATAAATGATAAGCATAATTGTATTATTAGAATTTTTACCATAAATTTTTTTGTGGACTACATAAACATGCAATTTAGAAATGAATATACATGCGTTGATGCTCCCCCATTTTGTGCGAAAAAAAATTACAATACAATTCATTATAAATCAGAACTTTTTTTCTGGAATTGAGCATTGTTCTAGCTAGAGCATCTTCGATATAATATCTTTTAATGTGGCATGTTTTGAGTAATATTGGGTCTTTATTTGACACTAATTGTTTTATCAAGCTTTGAATCAGGGACTGTTCCAAAACAAATGAAGTATATAGAAAAAAATTTCGTCTTAAAAAACCCAACATTTTGAGATATGACACTGCTTCTACAAAATATATTAATATATTATTGAATTAGTTTTCTAGGAAATTAAACAAGCATACATGATAGTAACACCTTTCAGTATCCCCTGACGAGCTTGGTATTTTCTAAACTGAGGTTATCGTGAAAAATACAATCAAGGTTGAAACTCAGTTAATTTTTTTAAAACGTTGAATTGCAAATTTCCAAGTTTTGTCTGTGCCTTATTTCCTAAAAACATAATGTACTTCCAAAATGTGCAGTTAATTAGATTCAAAGTTTTTGAGCTGTGCATATACTTTAAAGATTATTGGTTACCTTCTGGCCTGGGGGCATAAAACTTAGACGAGCTCACTTTTGATCTCAGTCTCACTTTTCCCAAAGGAATTTACAGTGATAAAGTGAGACTGAAATCAAAAATAAGCTTGTCTACGTTTTATGGCCCCCAGGCCAGATAATGTAAAAACTCACCATGCCTGTAGGAACATTGATTTCCCACCGACAGTTCATGTTACTATCGTAATTTGAAGGATAATTCAAACTATGAAAACTTCCCAGCATGCCTGTCTGTGTTTCTGGACTTCCGCATCCGGAGGAGAGAGCTGGGGAGATGGTGGTACCAGACAAACTCCCACAATTCCGTTCGTCGCTGTTATCACCACAGTCATTGTCGCCGTCACATCGCCAGATCTGTGGGATGCACGTGTGGTCAGGGCAGGACACCTCGTCAGTCTGGCAAGCCCCTAACATTAATTTAATAACAGTATACATTAATTGTCCTAATTATCAAACCCTTATCAAAAACAAAATGCAGGTATATCTTGAAGACATTTAAAAATTAAATTTATTCTTTTTTACCTGAGGAAATAGGATGGGCTGTACCGGATCCGGATATTGGAGTAGTGGTTGTCGTACACGTTATTTCGTCACTTCCGTCTCCGCAGTCATTATCGCCATCACAAACCCACGAGTAGTCTACACACTTGTGGTTTTGACATTGGAAATCTTGACCACCACAACTGTCTATGAGAAGTAAATGTAAGTATATAAATTTTATTATTGAAACTCTTCAAGAAACAGCAATACACTCAATTCTGTATTAAAATTTAGGATGAAACCCTATTTATGTGTTAAGTGTAAATTTTATGCTTTTTGGAGAGATTGAAGACTTCATTATCCATTTTTTGCCGTTCAAAATAATACAAGATGTATATATGTGAGCACTGAGTTCACAAAATGATACCCCTGCGCTCTCACATAAAAGTACTACAGTAAAGTCTATACTTGCTATTAGAACCCCTCAAATATCTGTCAGTACAGGACATAAAAAAGAAGTTGCACAATGGCACATATGATGAAGATTTTGTGAACGTTTGTTAAATTTTACTCAGTGGAAAATGTGTAGAATTTGCAGATATAGATAACTGCATGTGTCTAAATATGCTTATGTAAACCCCAAACATTTCTCTCCTATCGAAATGAAAAATTGGAAATGCATAATGGCACAATGTTAAAAATATTGTTTTAAAGTCATATGAAATTTTTCAGTAATAAAGGAAAAGTTGCTGATAAGAAATGGGTACCTCCAAATGGCCCAAATTCTATAGAGAGATTAGCAGTGTGTATGTTTTGCTAGGGAAACCCACATTGTACGATAGACACCAAGAGAAATGGAGATTTTGTGAAAGAAGGATATGGAGATAACGAACAGTATTCAATATAAAAGTCCATAAACAATACAAAATAGGAGCAGAGCAAACACGGACCTCCGAAACATCAGAGGTGGAATCAGGTGCCATGGAGGAGTGAGCATCCCCTGCTGACCGGTCACACCTGCTCCTTGTCATGATCGGGAAATAACGGGAAAATCTGTCGTCAATTCAGTGTATATAATTGCCTACCAATTAGTATGAAAAACGTCAGTCAGCATTTGACTCATTGATATATTGTATTTTGCAGACAAGGTCATTGTATTGACCATAGAACATACGAAATGATTACTTTAAACGATACTTCTGATATTCTTGTTTCATCAACTTGTTTGTCAGTAATTTACCTCGTTTTAGAAATTGTTCATACATAGAGCATGCTCTTGCGTATCGAATCAACTGAGATATATACACTCCGTATGCAGGTGATCAAGGTATATTGCAGCATAAGTATGGGAAGTTGACGATAGAAAAGTTAAAGTCATCACGTTTATCATAAAGCTTGGTTGTTAGATTACCATTAACGTCTTTTTCAAGTAAAATATCCAAATATGAAACAGATGACTCAGACTCTGTGGTTACAGACAGGTATCCCCATCATTGTATTACCCTGTTTTTCAAGAGGTTTGCCTGATAAATCCTTAAATGCCTTTCATTGTTCCGTCGCTATATAGCTTGCGACCTACCTGTTCTTTGAATGAATCTGTATGATATCTCAAATCCTCGAAATACGTCGCTGTCATCTGTTATGAATTCTAAGAATAAGTTTTGTCCAGAAGACACAAGGTCTATTGAAGTATGGCCACAAAAGTCTCCCAGTAGTTTGGCATTTGTATTTGACCCATCGTACACATTGAGGTAGTCATAGCTGCATCTTTTTATTAAAAAAATAATAAAATTCAACGCTTCGTTACCCATAATCATAAAAGTAAAAAAAAATGAAAGAGATGACCTCTGCTTACAGAATAAGGTTTCATATGTTATGATGATATATATTTATAAAAGAAATAAAATTCAAACGAATTTAGTGTCAGCAGCCGAGACATAATAAGAAATAAACACTTTGTTGAAAATTAAGATAATGTTTAAGAATGTTTTTTTTTAAATCTCCAATATAAGAAATGGGAACACAGTCAAATATAGGTAGAACTTACGAATTATCTTGCTCCAGATTGAAGTACGTGGACGTTAATCTGATAACCTTTCCTACAGGAGCGTGGATCCGCCACGTACAATCCGCGTTATTGTGGTACCTAGAGCCCTGGGTCTGGCTATTTATCAGACCATTGTTAGTTGTCAGGTAACCATGGCCACCACAACCGTGGGAACTTCCAGAATCTGGAAGTATAATCTTACAGTATAGCACTCTGATGGACAACAAATAAATGACGGAAAACTTGGAAAACCAAACATCAATTTCTAAATTCTGATAAAATTGGTCAAATGACACTTATGGCACGCCAAATTCACAAAAATGATCTTAACATAGTTTCACAGTTGATAAACTAGGTTTATCGACTGTAAGCTATAGTTTACAAACCGTGAAATGTAGTTAACAATTCATTAACTATAGTTTTCATCTGTTAAACTATATTTAACGGTTGTTAACTATAGTTTACGAATGCTAATCTAAGTTCATCTGTCTGTAATAAAACGCTAACAATAGATTGTGTTGAAAAACATAGATTCACGTCTGTAAACTATAATTAACAATCGTTAACTATAGTTAAGAGTTGTTAATCATAGTTTACAAATCGTGAAACTGTATTTATCAGATAATCTAAGTTTTGAAATTGCAAATGATTGTTTTCAGTGTTAAGAACTTTGTTAACTATAGTTTACAGTCCGTAAACTATAGTTTACAACCAATAAACCTAGTTTATCGACTGTGAAACTATGTTTAGCTCATTTTCGTGAATTTGGCGTGACATAGATACTTGAAGTGTGATACGGAATCGTTATATAGATTTTAAAGAAAAAATTAGACCATGAACAGTATAGAAGCTCAAAGTCTATAGTACAAATCAGGAACAGAGCAAACAGGGACCTTAAAAAAACATCAGGGCTGGGATCAGGTGCCATGGAGGAGTAAGCATCCCCTGCCGGCCACACCCACTGTGTGCTAGTTGTCATGATCGGGAAAACGAAAAAAAAAATCCCTAGACAATTCAGTCTGAAGAGAGTGGCCCAAAAAATTGGTATGAAAAAATATTAGTCAGCATTTGATAGGTTGTATTTCCTTGGATACCATTTGGTATATTATATTTAATTATTACAGCTTTAAAAATGTTAATATTTAAGATGTACTAATATTTAAGACCAGTGAAAGGTCAATCAGGTATGATGTAATATTTATCTATCTGACCCACTAATGGTTTTACTTCCTACTTTTTATGATAAAGTTACAGTGTACTATAAAAGTCTGGCAATTAAAGCATGCTTGTGAAAACAATTGTTTAAAAATTAAATTTATTTAATTTATAAATTTAAACATGTTATCTTAGGATACATTTACCATAGAATTTGTTTTAAAATAAATTGAGCAGATCAGTAAACCTTGAAAAGATAGTTAATCAAAGAAATGGGGCCTTGTTTTTTTTTCCTTTAAAATACAAATGTTGACAGCAGTAACAGTCGGTAGTAAGGCGAATTTATAAATTTGAAACAAAAGGGAATAAGCTACTTTGGAACCAAAGCAGCCAAATTCCCGAAGATACAAATACACACTACATACTGGTATGTCTTTTTTTCTTAATGTGTTTCCTGTTGTATGAATTTTGGAAATAAAAGAGCTGCTATGTTGCCTTTGATTATCAGTAAGGTTTTAACATAATATAAGTACTACGGAGGAAATCAGCGTTGTTCCTACCAGAATGTATTACAGCGGGGAGAATCAGAAAGTACACAATCCTCAGAAAGTCCGCCATTTCTGCCATATTGTCTACAGGAAAGGGTAATGCACTGTTCTTATCACAATGACAAGGAGCTTATGATAAGGTTGGATTGACCACAATAATATATATACCCAAGACGTGACCATTTCAACATAATAAAATTATAAGAATGTTTCCATCCCATTTAGATTGACGCATTTGTATAGTATCTATCACCAAATTGTTTATAATCATCAATATTCGATTGATATGCAAAATTTCCAAAAGTCCCATGAAGTTATCCAGTGCAGCCATTATATGTAATTGACGAATTTCTAAATATAAGATGATATTGTACCATGTTGTACGGAACACTTATAATTATACACATGTACCTGTGGGTAGTCATTAATGATACAAGTCCGCTTTTGAGCAATTCAAAATGTGCCAGACTCCGCTGAAAGTTAGCACATTTTGAATTGCACGGGTCGGATAATGAAAATCAGAAATACACCAGATATTTAAAGTATATTTTAATTTTATTTCATGTAAAAAGCACAAACAAAATGAGTATATTGTCCTCTTTATATATGTCGTACTGGTCACCACGTTAGAATTTTTCCGGCGGAATTCAATATAACTGCTCCGTTTGTTTTTTGTACTCATAGCTTGGATCCCGGCTCTATAAAAGAATTGAATGAAATAGAAGTGAAAACATTTAATTTATTATTGTTAAACATCAAGTTTCCTGAAATTATTGAAGTGATTAATAATACAGTGTAGTCAAGACGATTTTCTCCTCACCCATAATGAGTTTGGTGTGATTTCCCTGCGCCAACAAGTCGCCATTTTTGGAGCGTATTTCCGCGGATAAGAAGGCCACTCGTCGACCACATTTCACTGTTTTTGCATCAATCTCAATTATCTCTCCGACTCTAGCGGGCTTTATAAACCTTAATAGAAAATGGTATATTGAATGCAATTTTAACTTATAATATCTTTTTTTATTCATCAATCAACTACAAAGTGGAAAAAAATTAAGAACAAAAATTATGCTCAAGAGAAATAAAAAAAAAAATTTCATCTCAAAATTGCATTTTAAGTATTTTAGTTGTTTAACTGAAAAAACTGCTAATAATAATAAATAGAAACGATTTTTTTTACAAGCCTAGGACTGTTACCGTAGTGACAAGTCAATGCTGGCGCTATTTCTGTCCCTGAGTTTGGTGTGGAGAGCCCAGGAAGTGACGGCATCAACTAACAGTGACATCATACCCCCGTGTAAAGTCCCGTGACTATTTCTGTGTTCCTCTGTCACCTCAAACTCACATGTTATATTTCCTCCGCCTCCTGCCACAACAGAGATCTGAAGTAAACATGAATATCTGATATCACTATGACACATAAGAGGCTGTCTTATTCAGACAACTCTATAATAATGATATATTGAGGCAAAAAAATATATTAGTTTATCTTGATTATATCATTAATCGATATGGGGTTTTCCCCTCGAATTTCAATAAGATAGGGGTTTCAAGGCAGACATAGGATAAAATGTCTTGACACCAGTTGTTAGAAGAAAATTAAAAGACACGAACCCATTCGTCCTCTGGATACTTTTGCTCTCAGCAAACGAGCATTAATATTAATTATAAAACTATTTCTTGATATTGTCGTGTCGTTTTTTACACGCACAGCGGGTGCCCGGTCTACAGGGGATGCCCTCTCCTCCTAGGCACCTGAGTCCACCTCTGATTTTAGTTAATTTTTTGGGTCAGTTTTTTGCTCTGATCCCAATTTCATTTAAATGTATTGTTTGGACGTTCGAGTTTGATTACCTATCGTTGTCTGCATATTACCTACGAAGTGCACCCCGTTATTAGCAGACCTCTTTTTGTACTCATATGAAGCAGAATTTGTTCAAAATCGTATGAGTGAAAAGAAGAAAACGCTTGATGTGGCCTTCAACTCCACATTTAGATATATCGGCGACTTATTGTCAATTAGCAATGGTGATTTCCATTCTTATTTCGATACGATATATCCTGGCGAGCTTGATGTAAAAGATAGCACAGAGTCTGACACATTCTGTTTCATATTTAGATGTTTTACTTGAAAAAGACATTAATGGTAGTCTAACAATCCAGCGCTATGATAAAAGGGATGATTTTAACTTTTCTATCGTCAACTTCCCTTACTTATGCAGCAATATATCTTCATCACCTGCATACGGAGTTTATTTATCGTAGTTGATTCGATACGCAAGTTCTACGTATGAACAATTTCTTAAACGAGATAAGTTATTGACAAACACGTTAATGAAACAAGAATATCAGCAGTCTCGTTTAAAGTAATAATTTCGTAAGTTCTATGATCGATACAATGACCTTGTCAGCAAATACAATTTATAATTGAGTCAAATGCTGGCTGACATTTTTATACTAATTTAGTCCATTATTTCTACATTGACTTGACGACGGATTTTTCCCCCCGATCATGACAAGGAGCACAACGGCGGATGCGACCGGTCGGCGGGGGATGCTGACTCCTCCATGGCACCTGATCCCACCTCTGGTGTTTCGGAGGTCCATGTTTACTCTGCTCCTATTTTACATTGTTTTATGGACTTTTGATCGTGAATATACTGTTCATTATCACCATATTTTTCATACATTTCTACTGTACAACTATATCTATAAAACAAAAGTAGAAATATTGGAGACCTCATCGTATTCGTATACTTCGTATTTATAGGCAAACTTAACTGAACTTTAAAAGGGTGAAGATAGCGAACTGAGCTCTGTTACAGAAATTATCATATAATATGTGTCATTAAATTTGTTGCATGCATTGATGCAATTCATATTTATTCGTTAGAACGGATGCAATTTAAACCCCTGAGTTATCCTAGTCATTGTGTGAAAACGGTCTGTCAAAAATCAGAACGAGGTAAGTCAGACACTCACCGATTGAATTATATTTTCAAATCTCTTATGTCCAAAGACTCTTCCTCGAACAACTTCTTTAGCGATTGCTAACCCCTCATCTTCCACATCCTTCATCCTCTCATTATTTCATTTCGTTTGCTATTTTGTATTAATTGTATTCTACAGAGTTGTCTCTCTTGCTAGATTATACAAGTTGGATAGGTCGTGCACAACGCTCGCTTTATGTTTATATGGTTCTTTCGGCGACCAGACTTATCAGGTACGTGTAAGAGATTTTTATGTGAAATCTAAATAAGTTATCAGTGCTTCAGAGTATAAATGCATCGATTTTTAAAACTATTTAAAGTTTATATGTAATATTACTCGTACATCATCACGATGTTTGTTTATCTACGGAGGGTGATTAGTGCCATAACGAATATATAAAAGACTACAATAAAAAATAGGGAGATAATAAACGTTAATCAAATTCAAAGTCCATGTAAGGACAGATTCAGATACAAACAATTTTTTTTCTTTGGAGAAGACATCTTTGGTAATGACACTGCATGTTCAAGGCTTATAATACATGCAGATCCTTTTGGGTCCGTTCTTTTTCTTCACCTATACTTTTGCAGATAAACAGGCACTCTTGAAAAAAGCTTTTTAGTATACCTCTTTTAATCTTTTAAGTTAACCATGGACTTCTCCTGCCTAGTGGATAGATGGATAAGTACATGTACATGCATCTATCCTGTGATTAAAATTGGAATATGATAAATAAGAAAAGATATTTATTGCACAAACAGCATGGAGAAAAAAATTCATGTTCTGAAATGTCAGAAACATGAGTTTTGAGATTGCAACTTTTAGTTGGAATTTCCTAACGTCTGTCAACATGGTCAATACCCAATATTCGAAATTAAAAAGTGAATATATAAAGTATAAGATCAATTCTAAAAAGTATAAAAGAAATCTTGCAAACAATAAAAAAAATTTAAACACGCGAACACCCGGAAATGGTGAATATTTTCGACACTATTGTTGGTCAGACGTAAGCAATATTCCTATCGCGGTACATTGTTTATGTTCACACGACGGATAGACCTATGAACGGAATATTTTTTTTTTATTTTGATATTTACACAAGTTTAATTAAAAATACTCTGTAGTTTTACTCTGTGTTCTTATCTTTAATTTTACTTTTTTTTTAATATTAAAACGATATTTCTTTATGATTTTATTTTCTTCATTAGATATCGCTGAAAGTATAAATAAATAAATTTTATATTGAAATATTTCAATTATTTCAAGTAGTTTCATTCAAATTAAGACACTAAACACGGAATGCTGACCATGATCACCAGACACAGACTTCCTGTGTAATGCTACGTGTATATAGATTTTTGACATCTTGAGTATTGGAGGTCTCCAGGTAAATAACATTAGTACTACTAAGACTACTAAGACTCCCCCTTCTCAGGTTACCGTACGGTAAAAAAATTGGGTCTTGAACTATAGAGTTTCGGTAGCATCTTTCACTCACAATCCATCGCAATTTCTATGGGAACCAATTGCGTCCCTTTATAAAGAGACATATTTTTGTATTCATATAAAGCAGAATCTATTCAAAAACTTCTTCATGAGAAGAAGAAAAAGTTGTGGCCTTCAAATCGACATTTTGATGTTATCAATATTAACAACAGTGATTTCGAATATATGTCAACTCGAAATATCCCAATGAAGTTGAAACAAAATAAACCACGGAGTATGAAACATTTGTTTTATATTTGGATATTTTTCTGGAAAATGATGTTAATGGTAACCAAACAACAAATATTAATGATAATTGCGATAACTTTAACCTCTCTATCACCATGGCAGCTTCCTTCATTCATGTATCAATATAGGAGTATCCTTATCATCTTCATATAGAGTTTATATGTAAACATGCTTCGATTTGACAACATGACTTACATATTAACTATGATTTATACAGAACATTTCTCCGCCTTGTCATGAGTGAGCCTGAATTTACTAAGGTATCACAGGATTTCTGGAAGGAAAAATGGGATACAGGAAAAATCGGATTTCATAGGTCACACGTCGACTCGTAAGTAGGATTCTTTCAGCAACACAACTTTTGGCATTTAACATTAACTATTAGCATTTTCTCTTTACAATAACCGCGAAAAACATTGCAAAAAAAGTTTATCCACCCATGAAGCATTAACGAAGCACATGCCTTTTAATCGTTTCATGTCAGAACTTACGGGATTAGGACAAAAATGGAGAAATACATAGGAAATTTTGAAAAATATGTCGTTTAATTATGTTTTTCAAGTTTTTTTTTTAGGTCACCTGAGTCACTCAGGTGACCTATTGCTATCCGTTTTCGTCCGTCGTCGTGCGTCGCGTGTTGTGTGTTGTGTGTCGTGCGTCGTGTGTTAACATTTGAACATTTTCAGCTTCTTCGTGGAAACCGCTGAACCAATTTCAACCAAATTTGGTATACAGCATCAATGGGTGAAGGAAAACATAAATTGTGAATTTTATGGTCCCCGCCCCCCTGAGGCCTGAGGGGTGGGGCCAAAACCACAAAAAAATAATGAATCTTCAAAAATCTTCTTCTCTACTTGTGGACATCAAGCAGTCAAACTGTTGGTATGAATGTAATGAGCATTGAGTCCTCTACCAAAATTGTGAAAATTATGGCCCCAGGGTCAGGGGTTCTAGTGCTAGGGCGGGGCTATATAGATTATATAGTGAAAATGCATTATTTCTTTGAAAATCTTCTTCTCTGCTCCTGGATATTAAATGAACTAACTAAGTACATAGTTATGATAAGCAAGAGTGGCTCTACCAAAATTGTGAATTTTATGGCCCCAGGGTCAGGGTTTCTGGTGTTAGGGCAGGGCTATATAGATTATATAGTGAAAATGCATTATTTCTTTGAAAATCTTCTTCTCTGCTCCTGGGTATTAAATAAACTAACTAAGTACATAGTTATGATGAGCAAGAGTGGCTCTACTAAAATTGTGAATTTTATGGCCCCAGGGTCAGGGGTTCTGGTGTTAGGGCGGGGCTATATAGATTATATAGTGAAAATGCATTATTTCTTTGAAAATCTTCTTCTCTGCTCCTGGGTATCAAATAAACTAAGTAAGTACATAGTTATGATGAGCAAGAGTGGCTCTGCCAAAATTATGAATTTTATGGACCCAGGGTCAGGGGTTCTGGTGTTAGGGCGGGGCTATATAGATTATATAGTGAAAATGCATTATTTCTTTGAAAATCTTCTTTCTGCTCCTGGGTATTAAATGAACTAAGTAAGTACATAGTTATGATGAGCAAGTGTGGCTCTACTAAAATTGTGAATTTTATGGCCCCAGGGGCAGGGGTTCTGGTGCTAGGGCGGGGCTATATAGATTATATAGTGAAAATGCATTATTTCTTTGAAAATCTTCTTCTCTGCTCCTGGGTATTAAATAAACTAACTAAGTACATAGTTATAATGAGCAAGAGTGGCTCTACTAAAATTTTGAATTTGATGGTCTCAGGGTCAGGGGTTCTGGTGTTAGGGCTGGGCTCTATTGATTATATAGTGAAAAAAACAGTTCTTTGAAAATCTTCCTCTCTGCTCCTGGGTATTAATAAAAATAAACTAAATTAGTATATAGTTATAATGAGCAAGAGTGCCTCAACCTCATTTGTAAATTTCATGGCCCCTAGCTGTGTCAGGGGTTTACCCATTTTGCGTATGTGGAGTCTTTTGATTCATGATAGTGAAAATACTTTAATTCTTTGAAAATCTTTTTGTTTGCACCTGGATATTATGCCAATGATCTAAGTATATATATCTATGATGAAAAAAGGTGCCTCTATCAAATGGTTAATTCCATGCCCCATGGGTCAGGGGTAGGGGGGGGGGTGTTACATGTAGATAGTCTGAAAATAAATTAATGCTTTGAAATCTGCTCTTGAGTATTAATCAACCATTTATGATGAAATAAAATTTATGATAAAATTTCGAAAATTTTGAAATAAGTGGCCTCAGGGTCAGTGGTTCCTTTGGGATGGGGTGCACAACTGGTTATAAGTTGGAAGAGCATTTTTTCTTTGTTACTCTGATCTACCTCTGGGTATTAAGTAACTAGAGTAAGTAAGCTAAGTGTATAGTTATGATAAGCAATGGTGCCTCTTTCAAAAGTGTGAATTTTATGGCCTCTGGTTTAAAACATGAACCAAATTCAATTGTGTGAAAGTTGTTGCATGATACTCAGGTGACCTATAAGGCCCGTGGGCCTCTTGTTTTTTTAACAATTGGATGACAAATTTATTTATATTTGTGCTTCTTGTATAAACGCATTTCTTAAACTGTTTGTTTGAACTATACATTCATTCATTATCATCGTTGCGAACATTTCATAAACCGTATACAGAAACAGGAATTCGAAAAAAAAATCAAAGTACTCAGAAGTACAGAGAGCCTGGCTCATTTACAGAGTAGAATGGATTTCTTACATGAATCACGTTTATATTCTGACGAAAAAATTATTTTAAAACTATCAATATAAATGATAAGACACTGACAGTGAGTCTTTCAATCCTAATACCACGGTCCGATTTTGTCAGAATCAGAATTAATCTGGTACCGCAGCTGAATGTAAACAAACAGGCCAGTCTGGTTCCCCCTCCTGCTTTACCTCGTATGTGTAGAGAACTACGGTAACACTGATTATCAAAAATCCTTACGCTAATAAACTTTGACTTATGAAGTTTTCAAAGTCATTACTACTAATGTTTATTTTATATAGATAAAACTTCGTTTTATTTTTGTTGCTTTATTTAGCGTTTGTATTATCTCAAATGCGGTTGAGAGTAAGAACTATATTTTTGCACGTAACTTTGAAATGGCGACTTTGGGGTTAACATCCTGCTTTGAACAGGATCACATAAGCCGGCAATTGCTCTTTGAGCAATAAGCCCGGCTAATGATGAATGAAAGAATTGTATGAACATAGAAAACGCGTTCTTTCATTTCTGTTCAGCGTTTTTTTTTTTAATACATTTATACATTTAAACTCACAGGTTATTGGAAAAGCATATAGACAAACTCATCAATGGCAGAGAGAACATACAGATTTTCTTTCCGTTATGTGGAAAGGCTCTAGACATGAGACGGTAACGATTATTCTTATTTATTAAGCACTGAATATAATATCCTTATAGAACCGATGTATTAATTTAGTTTAAGAAGTATTTTATTCATAATATACAAAGAGGTTTACAATATGAATATGGATTGAACAGCAGGCCAAGGGCCTATATTAGTTCTCTCCATTTGAGATCAAGGTACATTTAAAGTACTATACATATTTTAAGTTCCACAAAGCATGTATTATAAATTAATATTGAGAGAATTATAGAGAGTACATAACTGAAGAAAAATTGAGGGGAAAAATGCGTAAAGAAAACAATAAAATAAATTTAAAACAAACAAAAAATGATGGAAAAAACAAACAAAAAATTAAGTAATAAGAATGGAGGGGAAGGCTCAGACCCATACTTGTATGTTTATGTGTACTTTCAACTTAAAGGTCAAGATTGAAAGACATGCTGCATATTATTTAATAAATTTTCTAATTCTAAAATCTTTACGTGTTTTTTTTAAAAATAAAATTATGAACTTGTTCAAATAACAACATATTTTCTCTAAGAGGTAGACAATAATAACCTGATAAAACAATATTGACATCTCTTGGTATGTCATGTATTACCGATGTATTATCAACATCAAAATAAATCCAACTATATTTTTATTGCTCTTGATTTGCATAACATATATTTCTGAAATATTTTTTACGCAGTAATGTACATAATTGTAATTGCTATAGAATAATATTTCTTTTTGTATTTAAAAAAAATCATTTAAAAAAAAAAGAACAGCAGAACAGTGTTATAGGTTTAAAATAGAGCTTTAAAAATTATTTAGCAATTAGGCTTGTTTTTATTATTTTTCTTAAATATTTAATTTTTGCAAGCTTATGGGACCTGGGACACACCGTTATAGGCGTAGAAACGGTCAGAAGTGCTCTGGAGGACTTTTTTGAGGAACAGTCTATCAAGTACACAGTTACTGATCTGACTGACGGGGAAGGGGAGCTTTTTATCGTAAGTCAGCAAGAATGAAATAATAAAATGTCACAACTTATTATTCAACAATAAAACTAGCTATGCATCAGTCCTAAATTCGCACATTGGCATATACTAGTACTCCTTCATTACAGAGTGAAGATAAAAGAATAAAATTATATTGCTGCGATTTGTTTAAATTCAACAGGTACGAGTATATATTATTTTGTTCATTTTTTTTCATTTTGGAAACAAATATGAAATACTACAGTATCTATTTAATTACAAAATTGGCCACGTTAGCTAGTAAATCTGGCACTGTTCAAAACTTTTTAATGGAAAATGAGTATATTATATTTTTTGGATTTCAAGAGGAAAATTTACATATTTTTTAAAATGTGCTTATTTCAGGGAACGTGAGGGTTTAATGAACGCTGTCTGGGATAGGGGGTCCATGGTGGCCATCAACAGAGAGGACAGATCACGGTAATCATATTTTATGAGTTAAACAAAAAAATGTTATTTAATATTTTCTGTCAAATAAATAGTACTAAAATCAAAACCTATTTTATTAAGTTATTTTTTTTACTCTTAATAACTCTATGATATTAAAACAATCAGTTTGGAACTGCAAGAAAAGCACCGATTGTACTTCCTTGTGATTTTTCAGAGCAATAAATGTTACTTTCTCTTTCTCCTCTCTAGAGATAGATAATGGTAGATAAAGTTTTCGGGTTAAGAGAATTTCTTGGCTAGCATATCTCCTTTCTCAGTGAAAAAATATCATTATCAACACATGATAACATCATATACGAGCGAAGTAACGTTTGCAATTATCAATATCTTCGTCAATTATGACATTTTGAATTTTGAAGTAGTTTTTAAGCGTAGGGAAAAGTCTTTAAAAATGAAAGATCGATCATAATTTTTAAACCATATTTCAAAAAACGAAAAGATATTTTGTTTCATGTATATGAAAGTATATCATTTAGGGCTTTGCCTTGGGAAATATTATCAGTAGAGGGGGGCTGGATTATTGCTTTCTTTCATCCATGTTAAACTTTTAACTGTTTTCTTATTGCAAAACAAGTAAAATTCACAGAAATACAAATATTTATAACAATGAATTAGATTTTAAAGCTCCAGGATTAGCTAAATTGACTAACACACATAAAAACAGTGATATATATTTTTAATTTTTTCTTAAAAAATTAATTTCAAATAAAAGTTCTTTTTAAATATTGAAAACGGCAAGAAAAGAATGCTTACTTGATTTTCCACTTCTCTTATTTCACTGATGTGTATGACAGGTACGCAGAAGTCCTCGTAAGTCTCCTGTCCCCCGATTGTCGTTATTTGTTAGAAACACTGGAATATGACGAGACTAAATATCCAGGTAGGTCTAGTACTAAGTCTAGTCATTTTTCTTGTTGTCTATGTTCCTTTGATACTGTAGGAAAATTTGTATTCTATCGAGAAAAATTATTGTGTTGATGTCTGATACACTCTGGCTGTGTGATTTTTAATAATGACATAATTGCAGTTTACCTCAGGATAAATTTTAGAAATACTTCAATGGTAAATTTTTATATCCAAAAATTATAACACCAGAAAACAATTCCTTTTTGAATTTCATTTATTTTAGGACCGCCATTTTATGTATCGGATCAACAAATTTACGACCTGTTTGGTGAGTAATCTAACGATAAATTGAAATCATACAAATTAATTTCTTTCATTTTTTTGTGTCATTTTGAATAAAGTTAGAGGCTGGTGCGTTCGAATTAATTTTTATTAAGAAAACAATCTTTTTTCAGCAAGTAATGTTTTTCTATGTACTGTCCTCTGCCAAAAAAAAAAAATATTTTTCAATTAAAATTTGTAAATTATTTGTACATTTTAATTGAAAAAATCATATTTTTGTATAGGACAGTGCTATACTCATATTCAATTTGTATTTTAAATGTTTTGGAGAAATGAAGTTAATTAGAAAGACAGTTGCTTATCTCATCTTAAAATTTCCAGTATATAAAGAATTGAAAAATAAAAGTCGTATATTAAAGGTGAAAAGATGAACATAACCAAGCTAGAAAGAGTGGACGCCTTTGAAGAAAGACACAAAGCATGGGGAATAGACAGTTTGCACGAAAACTTGTTTTTGTTGACTTTGAAGTGAAATGATTAACCACTCAGTGGACGCTTTACAAAAGAAAGACCAATTTGGTGCTAAAATTATACTCAGTGAAACTATATGTTATCTCTGTAATTGGAAATTATGTAGAAAATGGTGTCTGCCTTTAGTTTCTACTTTTGAGTACAATATGGAAGCTTAAGATATTTTGTAAGCAGTTATTTATATTCTTTTTTTTTCCAGTTGCATAAATCACTGATTTTCTGATATCATATGTATAAAGACAACCACTTTTTTAATAAAAAGAAATCTTTTCTCTTTTCTTGTCAAATGTCATTTAAAAATTATTTGTTAAAAGACATTTTGATTGTACACACAGCTAATCCATAAGTGATAGTTTCTGATTGACAATATCTGTTTAGATCAAATCTTCAAACAATTATACGCACAAATATTATAAAAATGTTATAGAAAGGATGCTTGAGTTTCTTATTGACAATATATGTAGTCTTTGGAGATCAAAACTTCCAACAATCTGTCAGAATTTCAATTAGCAGACGTAGTATTCACATGAAGCAGAAATTATTCAAAAACCTCTACATGAAAAGAAGAATCTCTCGGTATGGCCTTTAATTCAACATCAGACAAATCGATTACTTCGATTCCTTCAATTATGCAATAATATTCTCTTATCATCTACATATGGGTTTTTTTTATCTCTCAGTTGATTCCAATACGCAAGGGCATTCCCACATATGAGCAAATTCTAAAATGAGGTTATGGTATTTACAAACAAGTTGATAAAGTAATGATATCAATTAACAGTCTTGTTTTAAGTCATTTCGTAAGTCTAAATGGTCGAAACAGTCACGTCAGAAAATACTATCTTTCATTAAGTCAAATAATGATTGATATTTTCATATAAGTTTGTTCCAAAAATGAAAAACGTTTGCTGATCACAATTAATACACGATGGGTGTGAGCGGTCGGAAGGGGAGGAATGTACACTCCTTCATGGCACCTTATCCCATCTTTGATTTAAGCGGTTCATGTTTGCTCTGTACCTGATTTGTAATGTATGAATGGACTTTTCAGATTGAATACTATTCATTGTCTCCATATATTTCATTGCTTTTGAAAGGACGGTTGTGAATCTGATAATTTCGAGGCTATTAAGCTATAAATAAAGAAAGAGATGTTGTATTTTAAAGGTGAAGTGATGAATATATCCAAGTTAGAAAGAATGGACTTTTTGCCAGAATGACACGGAACTTTGAAAAAAGATATTTTACACGAAAACCTGTTCTCGTTGACTTTGATGTGAAATATAAAACTATGACATTAGAACCTTTACAAGGGAATGACAGTTTGATGCGTTTCGAAGGCTCAAGTGAGCTTTTCTGATCACATTTTGTCCGGCGTCCGTCTAGCTGTCTGTCTGACCGTCTGTCTGTAAACTTTTCACATTTGCAACTTCTTCTCAAGAACCACTGGGCCACTTCAACTTTACTTGCCACAAAGCATCCTTGGGTAAAGGGGATTCAAGTTTGTTCAAATGAAGGTTCAGACCATCTTTCACGGGGAGATAATTGGGAATTAGTGAAAAAGGAATGGCATTTTTTAAAAAATCTTCTTCTCAAGAATCACTAGGCCAGGAAAGATAAAACGTATATGGAAGCATCCTCAGGTACATGTAGTATAGATTCAAGTTTGTTAAAATCATGACCCCCGGGGTAGGGTGGGTCACAATGGACGATCAAAGTTTTACATAGGAATACAGTTTATATAGGGAAAATCTTTAAAAATCTTCTTCGCAAGAACCACTGCGGCAGGAAAGATGACACTCATGTAGAAGCATCCGTAGGTAATGTATATTCAAGTTTGTTCAAACATGACCCCTTGGGGTGGGGTGGGGCCACAATGGAGGCCCAAAGTTTCACATTAAAATAAATAGGAAAATATTGTTAAAATCATCTTCTCAAGAACAGCAAAGCCATGATTGATCATATGTACATGTATATAGAAGCATTCTCAGTTTGTGTAGATTCAATTTGTCTACTTCATGACCCACAGGGGTAGGGTGGGGCCACAATGAGGGATCAAAGTTTTACATTGACATATAAATGAAAATAGCGTTGAAATCTTCTCAAGAGCATTAAAACCATAAGTGTTCATATTTATATGGAAGCATCCTCATTTATGTAGATTCAAATTTGTTTGATTTTGACCCCTGGTGTAGGATGAGGCCACAATGGGTGATCAAAGTTTATCATTGGAATACATGGGAAAATTTTTTTTTAATACTTCTTTCTAAGAACTGCAAAGCTTATGATTGATCATATCAGAATGGAAGCATCCTTATGTATTGATTCAAGTTCATTCAGTTTATGACCCGAGGTGTTGGGTGGGCTACAATGGTGATCAATGATTTATCTTTTTTCTCAAGAACATAAAAACCATGATTAGTCATATTGATATGAGGCATCCTCAGGTAGTAAAATATGAAATTGTTCAAATGAGTCCCCCGGTGGTAGTGCTGGGCTACAATAGGGGTCAAATTTGTGCAAATAAATACCCTGTTATAGAAAAAATTTACTGCTCTAGAACAGCAAAGCCATTTGTTATATTGATATGGAAGTATAATCAGGTAATTTAAATTTCATCCCCTCCTCTCCCCCAATTCATGTAAACTCTTCAATACTGAACTGATTTTGCTCTATTTCTAGCCAATGTGCTCAGGAGAGCGATGTGACCCATTGGCCTCTTGTGCTAAAATTACTTTCAGTGAAGTAACATGTTGTCCCAGTAATCAGAAATTATGTAAACAAATTGTGTCTGTTATTAATACATTGTGTATCCACATTTGGGTACCATCTGAATGGTTCGTTAATTTTTGTAAGCATTTTTTTTGAATTTTTTTTTTAAAATCGTTTAAGTCATTGATTTTTAACTTCAGAGACAATCACTATTTCAATATAAAAAGAACTCATAATTTGCTACCCTTGTCATTGGTCATTTGGAAACTTATTCTGCTATTTTTTAAATAGTATATTGGTTCTTTTTATAGATCAACTCTTCAAACAATTATACACACAAGTATTCCAAAGTTGTTATTGAAATATGCTAGACTTTCTGAATGACAATATGCACATATATTATAGTCTTTAGAATCAAGTCTTTCAAAAATTGGTCAGAATTGCAATGTTTACCAATTGGCAGACATATTTTTATATTCATTTATTCAAAAACAACATGAAAGAAAAATTAAAAAATTAAATTGAACAGTTTTTTTTAAAGTCTTATAATTATGTAAAGTTACAAAACAAAGAGAAATATCTCTTAACTGATCAAAAAGAAGCCATACATGCCTTTAATGATCCATCGTGTTTTTTTTAAAATTATTATATCGTAGGAATCAGGTAAATATGTGATAGTTGTAGGAATTTTATGGAACTAAATTCAAATAATGACTATATATATGCGTCAATTCATGTACAGGGATTCCTTGTTGAAGGGACGGTGAAACTTGACCATGCATGTTTTTTAATTTTTTGTTCCTGATTGGTTTCCATAAAAATATTGTCAGTCGAGTATCTGGTCATAAAGTAATAAATTACAAAAAGGAACAGCAAACATAAAGTTATCTAGTATCTGGACGTCAGAGGTCAACTTTATTTCATTGGTAAGTCTTGCGTTAACTTACAAATAAATGCGCATTTTTAGTTGTTTAATTATTTACTTTTATGTAAACAGTGATTGTTTTGTCCTAAATTGTGACTTATAAATATTAAAGTCGCTTTGTTGAAACGTTGATTGCAACTAGAAGTTGATATTTGGTTTAGAATTGAACATTATTTTATCTGAATAGCCTGAAAAATATTATGAAAGGGACCATGATGTACCCAACATAAGAATGGAAGGAAACCCATTCGGCTTTCCTTGTTATGGAGGATTAAATGTATCATAAATAAACTGAACTACATGTATATGTACATGCTCCACTCTTGTAAAAATGCCGTCGTTGTTATGCGTCATTGATTTTTTTAAAATTTATCCAAATAATGTATATATATTACAATATGCTAATTACCTGTATGTTTACTTTTCACTAATAAATCATTTTTGTAATTTGTATTTTCTTGCAAGCAATCAAAGACATGGCAGAGCAGGCTTACGATTGGTTAAAGGCATGGGATGAAAATGATATTGGTTTTCACAGAGAAAACATCGATGCGTACGTTGCTTTTATTTAGAGTTAGCATTCCATATTTTGTCATTAACTGTTTATAGATCACCTGAGAACAAAAACAGCAAAGGTATGATTGTTTTTTTTTTCTATATGGAAGCATTCTCAGATTGTGTAAATTGAGATTTAAATCATGAACCCTGGGATTTAGCCTCAATGGGCGATCAACTTTTTGAAAACTTAAGGTATAAATATTTTTTTTCTTCAAAATCTTCCTTTTAAGAACGACAAAGACACGTTTGTTCATATTTATAATATATGTATTATAAAGTGTCTTAAAAGTTTGAAAATTTCATTTTAATTAGTTCATAATTTTTAGCTCTACTGGTCAGAGACCAGAAGAGCTTATGCGATAGTAAGTAAACAATTTTTCAAAATGCTACTCCTCCTACAGTTTTAGTCTGATTTCAGTATAACTTGGCACACAAGTAGACTACACTAAGATACATAATTCTGTGTATCGGTTTTTGATTTCGATGAACGGTGTTGCCGTGGTTACTAAAAATAGAAATTTCTGTGAAATTCTTTCAAAATGCTACTCCTCCTACAGTTTTGGTCTGATTTCATTATAACTTGGCACACAAGTAGACTACACTAAGATACATAATTCTGTGTATCGGTTTTTGATTTCGATGAACGGTGTTGCCGTGGTTACTAAAAATAGAAATTTCTGTGAAATTCTTTCAAAATGCTACTCCTCCTACAGTTTTGGTCTGATTTCATTATAACTTTAGAATACACTAAGATACATAATTCTGTGTATCGGTTTTTGATTTCAATGAACGGTGTTTTGGTTACTAAAAATAGAAATTTCTGTGAAATTCTTTCAAAATGCTACTCCTCCTATGGTCTGATTTCAGTATAATTTGGCACACAAGTAGAATACACTAAGATACATAAATCTGTATATCGGTTTTTGATTTAGATAAACGGTGTTGCCGTGGTTACTAAAAATAGAAATATCTGTAAAATTGTTTCAAAATGCTACTCCTCCTACAGTTTTGGTCTGATTTCAATATAACTTGGCTTACAAGTAGAATACACTAAGATACATAATTCTTTATATCAAATTTTAATTTTGATGAACTGTGTTGCTGTGGTTACTAAAAATTGAAATGTCTAAAAAAATTTTCAAAATGCTACTCCTCCTACAGTTTTGGTCTGATTTCAAAAAGTTTAAGAACATAAAAATTTCATTATTTATATATTAGTTCATAACTCTTCTCTTTTTTTTTTCTGTTTTACAGATTCCTCTCCAAATATATTGACCGACTGATAAATGGAAGGAAGAATATCAAAATCTTTATTCCTCTTTGTGGCAAAACTGTAGACATTAAATGGTAAAATGTGAAGTAAAAGCATATCAATTTAAATTGTAATAGATAACATTAATATTGTATGTTGTTGGTAAAAATTTCGCCATTACGGCATTAGAAAATCACTGTTAACTGAGACCAACCGATAGTTTCAAAGAAATACATAGATTCATGAAACGAACAGTATACAAACTCAAAAGTCCGTTAAAACAATAAAATTACGGATCAGAGAAAACTCGGACCTTTAAAATGATCAGATATGGGATCAGTTGCCATGAAGGAGTATGCATCCCCTGCCGACCGGTCACACCTGTCATTTGTTCCTTGTCATAATCAGGCAAACGGAAAAAAATCTTCAGACGGCTAGTTCACTATGAAAATAATGCTATAACAAATGGTATAAAAACGTAAGTCGATATATATTCGACTCATCAACTTATGCATGATAAAATAAAGTCCAGACTTTTTGACATAATTAACAGCTGCTTTAAAAATGACTTTGTATTACCTTGTCATTGATCCATTTCAAAATATTTTATTAAAAACGTTCAGAATGTACACACAAGTATACTGTACTTTGGAGTTGATATACTAGACCGATGCTCAAGTTTCTGATTAACAATATCTATGTGGTTTTGGGAGACCAGGTCTTCCTACAAACCATTAGAATTCCTAAAACAAGGTAAGTTACAAACAAATTTTGAAACCAAGCTCGTTCAAAGCTATAATTTCCTAAGTTGTATATGGTAGAAATAATGACCTTTTCAGTAAATACCCTGTTATAAGCAGACCAATTTTTTTTTTATTTACATGAAGCAAAATTCTTTAAAATCTAACAAGGGAAAAGAAAAGAAAAAACACTTGTTGTGGCATTCAACTCGATATATAGATATATCGATGACGTAATGTTAACTGAAAATGTTTTATTTCCATTCTTCTCTCTATACGATATATCCTGGTGAGCTTGGGAGAAAAAATTCCGCTTAGTCCGACACATCAATTTCATATTTTTATAATCACCAACTTCCCTTACTTATGCAGCTATATATCTTCATCTCCTGCAAGCGGGGTTTATCTCTCTCATTTGATTAGATACGCGAGAGCATGCCTCTACGAATGTATGATTCCTAAAACAAGGTAAGTTATTGGCAAACAAATTGATGAAACGAAGATATCAACAGTCTCGTTCAAAGCTATAATTTCCTAAGTTGTATATGGTCGAAATAATGACCTTTTCAGTAAATACAATATATCAAGAAGTCAAATGCTGTCTGAAGTTTTTCATACTAATTGTTAGGCCATTATTTACACAATGTAGAGGGATTATTTTTTCGTGATTTGCCGATCATGACAAGGAGCACACGGCGGATGTGACTGGTCGGCAAGGCATCCTCACTCCTTCATGATATCTTCTCCCACCCTTAATGTTTTAGAGTTCTTGTTTTTTTTTATATGAATGTTTGTTAGCGAATGAAATCGACTTATTAACATAAATGTGTTATAAAAATTATATGAGGACATTCAAAACTTGTCTTCAATAAAAATATCTTGAATATTGAGTTGTAAGCAATTTTCTATTTTATTGACCAGGCTGTGGGAGATGGGTCACACTGTCATAGGTGTAGATCTAGCCAAAAAGGCATTGGAAGAGTTCTTTAAGGAGCAGAACATCAGCTACACTGTATCAAACCTAGCAGAAGGCAAGGGAGAAGTGTTCACGGTCAGTTTAACTTTATATATAACATAATTTACAAAATGTATAAAATGCATAAAAGGTAGAATTTAAAAAATAAATCAAAATTACAGATATATACTTTTTCATGGAGACTTTTTTGTTGCAATGACGAGAAAATAACCGTCAATGAAGAGCAATTATTATATGCTTCTTTTTCAGAGTGAGGACAAGCGAATAAAGTTATATTGCTGTGACCTTTTTAAGTTCAATAGGTAAATATATTTTTATTGCCATTATCGATATCAAATTTATTTCTCAGCATATGAAGCACAGTCAGTATATTTCTTAATTTAAGAAATCAGAGACGAAAAACGTCCAATTTTAAAATATACAGATAACAACTCGAAATGTACATGCATGTAAAAGTAGGTGCTATTTGGAAAAGGAAGCTAAAGATGCATTAACAACACTTCCTTTGTTTTTAGTTCATGCGAGGGGCTGATGGATGCAATATGGGACAGGGGTTCTCTGGTTGCAATCGAAAAAGAGGATAGACGGAGGTATGTTGTATTTAATTCAAAGAAATATACCCGTCATCTGCTGCTGTGTTCAATTCATAATAAAGCAAAAGAATGCCATTATCATTTGTTCATTATTATTGTACAAATAAGTTTTATTCCAATATGCATCTATGGGCAAATATGGATCTTAATGAGAGGTAAAACCAAAGGTTTCATGTAATTTGAATTCTGTGAAAAATGAACTAGCCTTTCCCATGTTTGTACAGGTATGCAGAGCTCATGAAGAGTCTGATGGCAGAGGGATGTCAGTATCTGGCGGAAACTCTGGAATATGATGAAACCAAATTTGGAGGTAAATTCTCATAAAATATGATAAGGACAATTATTTTCTTATTATGCGAACAGATATAAAGAATGCTTGAAACGCCATTATACAATGATATCTATAGAATGTAATTAAAATAGACTGAGCAGTTTTGAGAACTCGCAACAATTTGCTCAGACTTGTGTAATGTTGCGCAATTTAGGTCTAAGGTAATATTTTTTCATATGTTTCAGGACCTCCTCGTATTGTATCGGAGCAAACTATCACAGATCTGTTCGGTAATTATAAAATGTATAACAATAAATTATTATAGTGTGTTCTTTTTGAGGTTATATTGTTTCAGTATGATTAATTTTTATTTTATAGGTGACAAACTAGAAATTACTCATTTAGAGAGGAAGGATATATTTACGCCAGCATTTAAAGAGGCTTGGGGTATTGACAGTTTATTTGAACATCTTTATTTATTTTGTCTTAAGTAATAAATATTTTTTCAAAAATAATTGTTACATTTTATTAAGAGGAGTTTTATGTCCACAAGGGAATCCACAACTGTCTCTACTTCTGTCCGTGAAGATTAGTTTTGTAGAAAATACCCTTTAAGTTTCAAATTTTGACAGTTTACCTGAAAAAGAGACGATCAAGGTAATATTACAACCAAACTTCATTATGAACGTGATGACCTTAACATTTTAATTTTCACATTCCTTACTCATGGAACAATATAACTTCATCACCTGCACATATCAGGATTTATATCTCTCAGTTGATTCAATACGCAATAGCATACTCTACGTAAGATAATTTCTAAAACGAGGTAACTTATTGACAAACAAGTTCATGAAACAAGAATATCGGTAGTCTCATTTAATTTAATCATTTCATAAGTTCTATGGTCAATACAGTGACCTTATCAACAAATACGATTTATCTTTTAGTCAAATACTGACTGGCGTTTAACATATTAATTGTAAGGCCTTATTTAAACAATAAATTGTTGACAAGATTTTCCCGTTATTTCCAAATCATTACAAGGTACACGCGGCGGATGAAACCGGTCGATAATGGATGCTTTCCACGGTATATGATCTCATCTATGGTGTTTTGGAGGTCTGGGTTTGCTCTGTACCTAATTTTTATTGTTTTATGAACTTATGAGCTTGGGTACTGTTCGTTGTCTCCATACATTTTACTCAAGAGGCAAGCTACTGATAGATAGGTTGATGTTACAAGAATTTCAATATCCTTGCTTGATGGTCGTTAGAATGACATTGTTAGCCAATATTATAACCTGTTATTGGGTCATATTTTGGCAGACTTGTGACCGATTGACAGTGCCTACAGCTCGTAGGCACCTGTCCTGTGGGCCATAAAACTTAGATGAGCTCACTTTTGATCTCAGTCTCACTTTTTACACTGTTTATTCCTGTGGAAAAAGTGAGGATGAGATCAAAAGTGAGTTCGTCTAAGTTTTGTGTCCCGCAGGTCAAATCCCATATCTAAAATTTCCGGAGGTCCGTATATATGCCCTATATATATAAACATTTGATAAATTATTTCAACAGATATATATAAGTATTAGGTATACAGGTTTACATTTCCTTGTTGGTTGTATTATTCATTCCAACTCTTCCTGCCTGAAAAGCTGTTAAATTACAATTATTGAGGAATTGATCAAAGATTAATGTTCAATGCAGTTTTCATCGACCTCATATAAGTATGAAAACAAAATATACTACAACGCACTTACTTCAATGATAATACTGTAATGCTTTATTTCATAAATTTTGTTTTAATTTTTAAAATGTAGAGACAATTAATCTATGAAACTAATTTTGTAAAAATAATGTCATATTGTAAATTGGAATTTACTTTCATACGAAATTAAAAAAAAAAATTACAACATTGTTTCAATAAAAAAAATTAAATATGTATTTTTGAAATTCAATTTAAAATAAATTTTAATTGATAATTTTTTTTACTTTAACAGTTTAAATGAACAGTTCTAAAGCAGTAAATTCTTTTGACAGATTTTAAAAAGTTTGTCGTTCAACATACTAGTAATGACAATAAAAAATTTGTACACAGAGGAAATTGTAATAAACGTTGCATTTAATCAAAAGATGCACTTTAAACTCTGACTCTACACACAAGTAGTCTGAGGTTGATATTGAACTATGGCTGAATTTGGTAAACCCCGTTTAAGCAGGATTTTTATGCCCCGTTAATTGAAGATTCGGGGGTATATAGTTTTTCTCTTGTCCGTCCATCTGTCTATCTGTATGTTTGTTTTTCTGTATATCATATCCGCAAGAACATTAACCTTGTCCATAACTTTTGACAAGTCAGAGACATGGCTTTCATATTTTACATGTGCATTCCTTGTCACAAGGCCTTCTTTTGCAAACCGACATATCTGAGCATGACCTTGGGGTTTGTATCATGATGAGGCACAATTTTTCGATCAGTCACCCCACCGCGTGTCCTTGCCATGATCGGGCACAGGGGAAAATCTGTACACATTTCAATGTAAAAATGATGGCCAAACAACTTTTCAAAAAAACATACGCAACAATGTCGTAGTATCAATCAAAGAATATGAGAAAATTTTTAAAATATCCTGTATATCCTTGTATCATCAAAATATTTCTCCATAGCTGGTCTTGTTTAAGAAATTGGTTGTACATAGAATATACTCTTGTTTTGTTTTTTTTAACTGAAAAACAAACATGTAAACCCAATATGCATTTGATAATGGAAAAAAAATAACGATTGAAACGTTTAAGGTCTTAACGTTTATAAAATTTTTGCAGTTAGTATACCATTCATGTCATTCTCTGGTACTCTGTGGTGACTCGAGTTCACACGGATACTATCAATTTAAGTTCAGTTTTTGCATGACGATCTTTTTCGACAGATGCATCCAGCGTAAACAATTCACGTGACTGGTCAACTCATATTATCAACATTGACACAGAAATAGTCTGTTGTTCGAGCAACCAATCAGCGATTAGAAGAAAGTTCCAGCTGTAAAGCTTGTTGTTAGGAGGCGTGTACTATTTACAATGAGCACAGCTGTCAAACTAGATCGTGACGTAACGTAAAACTTCACACTTAACTGCAATCTATAGTAAATATACATGTAATCGTCGTTGAAATGAACTAAATATTGTAAATTTATCAAACGTTGTCGATTTATCTAAATTTGGAAAGGAATTTGAATAGATTCTTGAATGAAAATAAGTCTCTTTATGACGGAGCACAGTGTTTACCCAGTGCTGTTCAAACAGATTGTTACAGGATCTACTCTCCAAAAACTACTTAGATATTGCCAAACAGACATTTAAGCATCGTTCAAATATCAACTTGGTTGTAATTTTGTCTAGAATAAGAATTTTAAACAAAATAATTTTGAAAATAATTAATGACAAGGTTCAAATGTATGTAGATTTATGAGTTCCATTGAAAAAACAGTTATCTATAATGACAGAAAGACTGGTCATTTTGGGTCATTTTGGAATGGTATTATAAAGTTTTGGAAAGTCAAATGTTTTGAAGCATTTTATTGTTGTTGACTTGTCACAACCGCCATTTGCCCTTTGTCATGATTGGATAAACGTAAAAATATACTCACCGTCAATGAAAACGCAACACTCTAATTTTAGGGTGAAAAGTATATTAAACGGGTTATAACTATATACCAAAAAAGTTAGGATATCTTTTACTTTGCCAAATCAGTTATTTAACGGTTGAATGAATTTCTTTCCTCTACCGGAAGTTGCTTTTTCGCCCTCTTAACAGAAATCAATTTTTTGCATTTTTAATAAAATTTTTAACAATATTTTGGGTTTTCAAGGTTTTGTAGCTGTTAATCATAAGTATTGTACTAAAATCCCGGGAAAAAAATCCTTCTTTCTTTACCGGATGTGATGCCTATATTTCCTCAAAATGTCTGATTTATTGCTAATGCTGGAGTATCCCAAAATAAAGAAAAAAGAGCTGCAGATGCAAATATACACTATTTAACGACTCATCAGGCTCATGTGTTTCAACAGCATAAATAACAGTTTCTTGACCGGAAGTCCAAGAGTTATTACACTACTGCCAAGTTAGAGAAAATTCGACCGCAGTATCGGAACAACAGGCAATTAAAAATGCCCAAGAATATTTATTTCGCTCAGATAAAGACATTGATAAACCTAATGCATGGTAGAAATCGGACTGCGTTCATGTATGTTGTACATGGCGGACTGGCATGTTTTGATTAAATGGTGGGAAGGGGGGGGTGTTTTATTTAAATGTTATCTGTTAAGAGGGCTAAAAAATCAACTTTCGGTAATGGAATGAAAACCATTCAACCATTCAATAACTGATTTGGCAAAGTAAAAGATGTCCTAACTTGTTTGGTACATAGTTATATCCCGTTTATAATTTTTCACCCTAAAATTAGAGTGTTGCGTTTTCATTGACGGTGAGTATATATTCTGAATGAGAATAATGACATAACATATATATTAAAGACCTCAAGACCTATAGGTTGATTGTATTTGTAATAAGGCCATTGTTTCGACCAAATGATTTTCGAGATCTTATGATTTTTGATAGCTTTCCTTGTATCATCAACTTATTTGTGAGCAGCTTGTAGATGTTGTTCAAATGTACAGCAGCATAGTTGTTCGTTTGCCATTTATCCAAAGAAAAAACATGATAATGGTGAAATTTATTTTTTAGAACTTTTGGTGTATTAATTTTAATTTTGAGTTTAAACAGATAACGTATGAATATAAATTTTTATTGAAAATGTGCCTTTGATATATCTTAATATCGAATTGAAAGCTACAGTAAAAGACTTCTTTTCATGTTGATGTTTAAACTGTTTCATGTTCAACAATTAAATTACCGGTAAGTATTTTTGTTGTTGTTGATTTTTTTTTTCAAATTCCAGTTTTGCAATTTTTATTCATCTCTTCCATTTGGGAACTAATCATCAGTTGTGGCATGATTCTGTTATTTTAGTTTTTAATAGTTATGATTAATGAATACATAACGAATAAATATTAATTCGTTACAATTTTTTTCAAAAGTACTTTAACTTCACTGCATGGATAATTTAATAAATCAAGGTGAATGAATACTGGTATATTCTCCTCATCATTTACTTAGTTTGGTTTTCAAAATTTAAAACTCAAAGGCTTAGATAATACAGGAACAGGAAATTTAATGTAAAAATATTTAATACAAGCTCTGTCTTTCACCATCACTTCGCAAAAATGCCGCCGGAGATGACTGAATCGCCTGCTCATAATTCAACTTTCGAGGCAAAGATATGGGAATCAGTGGTCCCTCCAGTCTTTCAGTTTGTTTTAGGGGTAACTGGGAACGCAATAGCATTAGTTGTTCTAATATTATCTAGAAAGAGGCATCAATGGAAACCATTTTACAGACTTGTCTTAGGATTAGCTTTGACAGATGGAGTAGGAATTCTTCTGATTAGCCTACCAGTCATGATGAGATATTCCTCGAAATTTACGTATGATTTTCCTAAGCCTCTATGTAACTACAGTTCCTTTATTATCACATTTCTGATGAGTTCTTCAGCTATGATTGTATGTGCCATGTCTTTGGATCGTTTCATGGCCATTTTGTATCCATTCAAATACAACATACCTGGAAGGGAACGTCGGACGAACATTATACTAACTTTTGTTTGGATTCTTGGAATGATCATTTCTAGTCTGCCTATGGTGGGAATAGGTTCCAATGTAATTCATTATCCCGGTTCCTGGTGCTTTATGAATTTTGTGGGGACTTCTACTTCAGACAGAGTAAATTCCTACATCTATTCAATATTCGGACTCTCTGTTTTGACTACGACTATTTTCCTCAATTGTTTTGTAATGGTAAAACTTTGCAAAAGTATCAATGAAAAAAGAAAATATCAGCGTAAAAGACAAAGCACCACATATAACATGATATTACTGCTAGTGTTTGTAACTGTTTTCACAATGTGTTGGAGTCCACAAATTGTAAGTATTAAAAAATAAATCTCATATTTCATCGAAATGTTAGATTAAAAAAAAACTATAGCTAACCTGGTCTTCTATTCAGACAGACTTTTTTTTCTTTTTATTGAAACAAGAAACAAATAAAACTATAATTTTCCAAATATTTTCTATTTCAGTTCCTCATCCTTGGATATGCTGCACTGCTGAATAATGGAAATCCTTCAAGAGATTTATTAATAGCCAGGATTGCAATTACAAATTCTGTGATTGATCCCTGGATCTATATTTTATTTCGGAAGGAAAATCTCCAAGCACTCCATAGTCGATGTCGCGGATCAAGCAGCAAAGTGTAGTCCTCAACAGACAACGACAGGCAGAGGGATGCTTTTTATTTAAATCAATCAGAGTCTATATGACATGCTTCAAATAATTCGATTTCATAAAACCTACAGCATATAGGGAATCACAAAATATATCGATTAACTCTTATATAGTGTAATTTTACTCTTATATTAGGTTAGACAGGAACAGGAAATTTAAGGTAAAAATATTTAATATAAGCTCTGTCTTTAACCATCACTTCGCAGAAATGCAGCCGGAATTGACTGAATCGCCTGCAATTAATTCAACTTTCGAAGCAAAGGTATGGGAATCAATGGTCCCTCCAGCCTTTCAATTTGTTTTAGGGGTAGCTGGGAACGCAATAGCATTAGTTGTTCTAATATTATCTAGGAAGAGGCATCAATGGAAACCATTTTACAGACTTGTCTTAGGATTAGCTTTGACAGATGGAGTAGGAATTCTTCTGATTGGCCTAGCAGTCATGATGAGATATTTCTCGAACTTTACGTACGATTTTCCCAAGCCTCTATGTGATACAGTTCGTTTATTATAACATTTATGATGAGTTCTTCAGCTATGATTGTTTGTGCCATATATTGTTTTCATACTCATTCATTTTTTTGCGATAAAGTAAAAAGTCTCTGATTGTACTGATTCTATGCATTTAAATCAATTCATTTATATTGGGTAAACTATCAGTGGAAAAGGTATATTGTAAAGTATATGTTCATGTGCATTGCCTATATGTTTTTTAAAAAAAATATATTTACATGTACTTTTTGTTTGCCTGACCACTGTCACCGTGGCCGTATGATCGATCCCGATGTTCATTCTGTAGCACATAAACAAACATATTCTTGATGTAGAAATTTCTTAATTTAAATTCAAACTCCTTCTTCAACAGTAAATTATATTAATTATACTTTCCAAAACTACATGTATACATTCTAAACATACTCGAAGTATTTAAACTTTAAATTTTATTTTGAAAATACATTAGATATGCCAAAGAACAATGAAAATTACATAAAGATTCACTAGAATTGAAATGTATAAAATCCAAATATCCCAGTTTTATCAGAAGGGGAGAGTTGCAGATAAAATATCTCACTAGTAAAGAACTGTTAGAAATAAAAAATATAGAAAAAAATATGATTCAAAAAATCATATATTCAATTAAAAAAAAAGATGCACGACAAGATACCCGATTGGGGGTGGGGCTGTCTTTTATCATTTAGGTAGGATTCTTCTCACACAAAACTGTATTTATTGTATTTAAAAATTAATGAAATTTTCACAGAATCCAGAAGATATCACTAAGTGAATGTATGAGTTAGATTAGTTTTGACAGGTTTATATTAGCGTCAAGGTCAGGTCAAGGTCATTACCTTTTCCCTTGACAGTAAAATAAAAAAAAAGTATTGCATCCAATCATGCTATACAATTTTCTATTTCAAATGATTAAATGTTTTTCTTTTTGCATAAAAACATATTACCATATAGGGTCTATAAGATGATATAACCAAATTGACACAAATTGTTTAACAAATATGGATTCTTGCTAATCCGAATTTTCTCCATTTTTCTTAAATTTTTAGGATATCTTTGTTATTTTTGTATGTGTCCTATCTATATTTAACTTTTTCTTACTTTCACATATGATAAAGAAGTTATATAGAAATACAAAATGATACAAAAACAAAATAGTTTTGACCGTTTACTTATAGAGAAAAAACACTTTTTACGGATTTTTGGCTCAAATCTCTACTTAGATTGAAAGATTTTAAAAGCTGACATAATTTTAGTTTGTTTGGAAAATCATATTTATTTCAAATATTTTAAAAATTTAGTCCCCTTTTATTAATTTAACTAACATTTAAAAATTCTTCAAGTCTTTGATTGTGTAAAAATAATAACTAAATTCATTGTTCAACAAAAATTTTGAGAATCAGAAAAGAAATGTTTTCAACGCCACCATTCCGCCAAAAATATAGTTCCCGCTAGATTTAAAACATAAGCCCTAACTTGACCCAACATTTTAGATGAGTATTACTAGAAACTAAATTTAAACATGTCGAAAATATGAAAATAACAAATTGATCAACGTAGAAGGTGAAGCTAAGGAATAGTTCACGATCTAAAAAAAATTACAAACAATACAAGTCTGTTAACAGGGTACAACTCAGGTAGTCAACCGGTATTGAGTGGGTAGACGGAATATTCCGTCGCCAAATTTAGTTTTAAAAAACATAGGCTTAATATTTGGCATGAAATATGTCAGTCAAAATTGGAAGCAACCATACATGTATGTTATACTTGCTTGCATGATCAAACGACAATAGAATTTTTAAAATTTTTAAAAATGTTGACTTTAAACGAGGATTAACAGCTTGCATCGGATTTAAAATTGACATACCCAATGTTTGCCCTTTGCCCTTTACCATGCCTGTGTAAATTGAAAAATCTGTAGCCAATGCTGGATGAAAATAGTGGCATAACAATATTGACATAAAACGTCAGTCAACATTCGATATAACGGTAAACTGTATTTACAAACACCGTCATTGTATCGACCACAGAATTTAAGGAATATTGATTTTAAACGTGATTTTTGATATCCTTTCTTGAATCATCAACTCATTTGTAAGAAATTTACAGAAATTGATCCTTAGTCAGTTAAGTTGTTAATTTGCCATTAAGGGACTCCGACCCTCAGCCAGGAAGGACAACTCTTTAATTTATAATTTAATTCAGAAAGTCTTTAAATGAAGCTTGAAAATTAAATCTTTTCATGCAACAATTTTCATTATATGCTTCTCAATGTGCTTCAAGGTTCTTTGAACTTCTCAGAAAGGTCTAATTAAAAGTAGAAATTTTTATCCCAGAAAAGCATTTTTAGATACCAATGTTTAGAAGTGATTTATGGAGCTTTGCAAAGAACCTAGTTACTGTTAGACCAATCAGAAATCTTTATCTCCATCTTTTAAAGCCAAGATAATTAAATAATCAGCTCTAAGGTTTTTCTTGAACACTGAAGATTTCTTTTTATATATAGCATTGATTTATCAAGAAATATTAACAATCGCAGTATCTTAGGAATCTTTCATTAGAAAACACATGGATTTTTCGACGTCAATTCAATTAAATTCAAAACTGTTCACTTCCTTAAAGATATGTCTGTTGTTGGTATAAGGAATTTAGAAAGACACACGACTTGTTTTCCCCTAATTTTCCTCGATGAATCATAGAAGATGTGAATTTTATTCATAGTTTATCACCATTTCTATTCAGAGTACTCAGTTTGAGGTCGAGTATTACCGAGAGATACATTTCTTTTCCTTTTATAAAAAACATCATAAGTTTTAGAATCATTTTGTCCTGATATATTTCTAATGCAATGATGAAAACATTTGGAATACATGTTTATAGCAGTTCATGAGAATGTTTAGTTACATTACTTCAAAGGAAATTTTAGGTCATTGAATTGAGTAAATACTGTCAAATCTCCTTAGTAAATGCGTCATTTGGCTTTCAACTTTTAAAACTCGCAGGAATATTAGATTATGCAGGAAAAGGAAATTGTCTGTAAACAAAGCATTATTAAATACATCCCCTCAATTAAACCATCACTTTGCAAAATGCTGACGGAATTGCCGGAATCATCCACAACTAACTTAACATTTGGTGCAGAGGTATGGGAATCAATGGTACCCCCAGCCTTTCAGTTTATATTAGGGGTAGCTGAAAACGCCATAGCATTAGTTGTTCTAATAATATCTAGGAAGAGGCATCAATGGAAACCATTTTACAGACTTGTCTTAGGATTGGCTTTGACTGATGGAGGAGGAATTCTTCTGATTGGCCTACCAGTCATGATGAGATATTTCTCGAACTTTAAGTACGATTTTCCCAAGCCTCTATGTGACTACAGTTCATTTATTATAACATTTATGGCGACCTCTTCAGCTATGATTGTTTGTGCCATGTCTTTGGATCGTTTCATGGCTATTTTGTATCCATTTAAATACAATGTGTCTGGGAAGGAGCGTCGAGCAAACCTCATGCTACTTTTTGTCTGGGTACTTGGAACATTAATTTCAAGTCTGCCTATGGTGGGAATCGGTTCCAATGTAATTTATTATCCTGGCTCTTGGTGTTTCATAAATTTTGTGGGTACCTCTACTTCAGACAGAGTCAATTCCTACATCTATTCAATATTTGGACTTTTTGTTCTGTCTACAACTATTTTCCTGAATTGTTTTGTAATAATTAAACTATGCAAAAATGTCAACGAAAATAGAAAAGATCTACGCAGAAGACAAAGCACCATATTCAACATGATATTACTGTTAGTTTTTGTCACCGTTTTCACCTTATGTTGGGGTCCACAAATTGTAAGTATCAAGATATCGCTCTAAATTATCGAATTTTTCATTGAAACGTTTCAAATGCCTTTTTAGAGAGAAAAAACTTTAAATTTTAAAAGACTTTTTCCTTTTCTTGCGACTCAATAGCTTCACCAATAGATTGGTTTTCAATATTAGATCGGATAGTAATAAATTTGCCTCAGTAGAAACAGTGTATTGCTTAGGTTTCTTTAGAGGAGATACGAAAAACAAACAATATTAATCCTTCAAATATTTTCTTTGAAGTTCACAATACTTGGATATGCTGCACTGCTGAATAAGGAAAATCCTTCAAGAGATTTATTATTGGCAAGGATTGCGATGACAAATTCTGTGATTGATCCCTGGATCTATATTCTTCTTCGGAAGGAAAATCTCCGATCACTCCACAGACGATTTGGGGGATTTTGCTGCAAAGTTCAGTCCTCAACGGTCGACGATAGACAGAACGATGCTAATTTCTATTTAGAGCAGTCAGAATCTACATAAAATACTTCCAATTATGCAATTTCAGGCGATCACATTATTATGATACATAGAATATCTGCAAACTCAGGTTCAAATGAAACGATTCTTGTATGTGTTATCTGTATAACGAAGAACAAAGAATTAATCAACAGCAAATATGAATTCAAAGAACAAATACTGTATACAGGGTTATTTTCGCCCCGTTTAATTTTCGCCCATTCACACTTGCAAACAATTTTGCCCCGATTTAAATTCGCCCAATCATAGTTTTTATTTAAAAAATTATACTGTATTATTTCATCTCGCCCAGTTTTAAAATCGCCCAAAAGAGGGTAGGGCGAAAGGGGCGAAAATAAAACTGGGGCGAAAATTTCCCTGTATACAGTATATATTGTCTGGATTCGCTGATTTAAATGTAATTTAGGTGTTCTTTATTTTTATTTATCTTAATTTTATGTGTCCTTCCTTTTCTGAATTTTCTTTGTGATATGTTTTGCTTTTATTTTTTCTTTGTGTCATTCTGATTTCTCTATGTTTAATTGGTGATTGATTTGTATTAAAATTCATTTGTTTCAAGCGGACGGTCTCTATTTTGATTTATTTGCGTTTTATATGACATTCATTCTGATTTACTGGACACATCATTATTCCTAAAGGAATACAGGGGCCTGTTTTCCAAAGGAGTTAAGACTAAATTTAATTCTTCATAAAACTTTTTAATTAACATTATATCGAAAATTACTTTAAGCGTTTTAAAAGGAATGTGATGTGGTAAGATATTTTTACACAAATAATTTCAAAGAGAATTATTAATTTTGCAAAAATTTTACAAAAATCTGAAGTTTTTTGTCATAGTCGAAAGTTCTTTTGTATTAAAAAAAAAACAAAAAAAAAACAAAAAACAAAAAACAAAAAAACAAAAACAAAGCAAAAAAAAAAAAAAAAAAAAAACATGCCACAGAAAAGGAAATTTGACTTCAGACTCTTTTGCAAAACATTACTCATTACTATTCTTCTTTTGTACTTATTCTATGTCTCGTCATTCATTGTATTGCAGGTTATAATTATAAGAATGGAAAGGTAAGCAATGGAATTAAGGAAGCAAGCGATATTAAATTGTAGAGACGTAATCGTTGTATAAACCTTGGCGAACCGGATGCTTTACATTTATTTCCTTGCCCCGCTTTCACACTTGTTCCTTAATTACCTCATGAAGGACATTTAAAATTTACTAATTACAAATGCTTTTCGAATTTATAAGGGAAAGGAACTAATTTCAAAACGTCCTCCCTGTATAAACATGATAAAGTATTAGACATGTGTAATTTCACAATATCCAACAAAAACGTTCACTAGATGATGCAGTTTTTTTACTTGTTTTAGAAATTTCAGGATAATATATAGGCAATATACACTATAGATATTACATAGAAAACCAGTCTCTGACTAATCATTATCGCCGTTAAAATCAATGTATTCAATTCAATGAAACCAAATTTCGACTAGTCCAAATCCTCTAACCTCTCTATACTTGAAAAGAAGAAAACACTTGCTGTGGTCTTCAATTCGACATTAAGATGCATGTATATCGATAACGTATTTTCAATAAACAATGATTAATTCCATTCTTACGTCGATACGATATATTCCGGTGAGCTTGAGATAAAAGAGATAAAACTCCATAAAACTTTACAAAATGGGAGCAGAGCAAACACGGACCTCCAAAACGAGACTGGTGATATTCTTGTTTCATCAACTGGTTTGTCATTAATTTATCTCGCTATGGAAATTGTTCATACGTAGAGCATGCTCTTGCGTATCGAACAAGAATATCAGCAGTCTCGTTCAAACTCGTCAGTTCTTTGGTCGATACAATGGCCTTGTCAGCAAATACAATTTATCATGAAGTCAAATGCTTACTGGAATTTTTCATTCTAATTGTATGGCCATTATTTACACACTGAATTGACGACTGATTTTTCCGTAATTTCCCGATCATGACAAGGAGCACAAGGCGGGTATGACCGGTCGGCAGGGGATGCTCACTCCTCCCTGGCACCTGAGCCCACCTCGGTTGTTTCGAAGGTCCGTGTTTGCTCTGCTCCTATTTTGTATTGTTTAATGGACTTTTGAGCTTGAATGCTGCTTGTTATATACATATATTTCATGCACATATGGAACTGCTGGAATCGAGGTAAAAAGAAATAGGGAGTAATGCAAATATGATACTAATTATCAATACTTGATCAATTGATCTAATTTATCTACTTGATCAATACATAGGGTTCATGGCGGAGGTGGCCGGTCAATAGGGGAATCCTCTCCTACATATTGGCACCTGCTTCCATGCAAAAAATTTCTGAAAGTCGGTGTTTATGTTTAGTAAATCTCGGTTGATTGATTACTGTTCGATATCTTCATCTTTTCACTGATCTTGTGGAGAAATTCATTTTGAAGTATTGGCACAATAAATAATATAAGGGATGTCGAGCATCATTCAAGGTCACAAAGAAACATAGTTTTAAACACGCTTGATTGCATACATGTAATATACACGTTTGACTTCCTCCAGTCTATCATTCTAAAGGTATATCTTTGAAAAAAACTAAGTTCAACTGTGTGAGAAGTCCAAAATCTGAAGCTTTACTAGGGCATCGAATCTTGCAGAATTAAGAATGTTCAATGTTTTTTATGATATTGGGTACTGAAGCGCATCATGTACTCCAAAGCCTTTCTGTGTATTGTATAGATTTTATTGAAAGTTAGATTACGTGTTCCTAATGAAATATGTGGACATAACGAAAAGACCAAAATGATAAGTCCATTGAACAAAACAAATCAGGGGCAGAGCAAACAGGTTCCTCTAAATCATCAGAGGTGGGACCAGGTGCCATGGAGGAGTGAGCATCCCCTGCCTACTAATCACATCCGCTATGTGCTCCTTGTCATGATCGGGAAAAACGGAATATCTGTCGTCAATGGAGTGTGTAAATAACGGCCTTACAATTATTTTTTTGATTGAATGAAAAAAGTCAGTCTGTATTTGACTTCATGATAGATTGTATTTCCTGACAAGTTCATTTTGTCGACCATAGAACTAATGAAATGATGACTTCAAATCAGACTGCTGATATTCTTGTTTCATCAACTTGTATGTCAATAAATTACCTCGTTTTTGGAAATTGTTCATACGCAGAGCATGCTCTTGCGCATCTATAATGACCTGATAAATGTAAAACCCATGTGCAGGTGATAGAGGATAGAGAGGGAAGTTAACGATTAAAAAGTTAAAGTCATCGCGTTTATCATAAAGCTTCGTTGTTAGATTACCATCAGTATCTTTTTTTCTTATAAATATCTAGATAGAAACAGATGTGTAAGACTTTGTGGTATCTTTAATTTCAAGCTCACTTGGATATATCATGTCGACATATGAATGGATAAATCTATTTTTAATTGAGGACACGACCTGAAAATATACACATGTATATTAATTGAGTTGAAGGCCATATCAAATATTTTCAGGTTTTTTTTTTTAAAATTTATTCTGCTTTATATGAATACATTTTTTTCTATTTAAAGATTCCGTTTTACCATATTTTGCATCTGTTTTCAATCACACATGTAATTTTAACTTGACAATTTGCGAACAATTGATAGATTTATCTTTTTATATCACTAAAGAAATTTTAAAAAGTAAAAATAAAAATCAAAGAAATTATCGTATAACCAAAATACAGAGATTTACATACTTTAAAACAATTTAAAATGTCCCTAATTATTGGAACTAAAATAGAGTGAAAAAGGGGTACTTTAACTTCTAAATGAAACAGACAATTCAAAATTAGATATCAAAAACAAGAAAAATTTTTTTTCATCTTCTTTACTTGTTATATATCCTTCTATGATTACATTAATATTTTGTTTGTTTTTAAGAAATATCAAAGTTATTATACTAGTAGTCCATTTAGTGATAAGTACCATACTTCTTATTACAAATTTGATACAAGCAATTTCATTTGTTACGTAGTTATAGTATTCCACGAGAGCACTGATAATATAGAAATATATTATTTATTAAAAAGTCCTTGTAAACATCTGCATTTATTGACATCACTAACGACTCTATAGAAATTGACCCTCAAAATAGATTCTTTTGGATGGTTATAGACAGGTAGATTTCCAAATGATCTCTTGAAATATCAAAAGATATCTTGCACAGCACCAGTTTTAAAAGAAAAGAACAATATTCGCAAATGCATTAATTATGCTATAGATAATCGTAATTGTATTCGTTAATCAAAATTTATTTTGTTTCAATTTTCATCTATTGTAAAGTGCAGTCTTCCTGTGTGTTCTTGCAATAATTACTCGATAAAGTACTCAATAAATTATCCATTCAAGTGCAGCTCTCAAAGCGATGTCCTTATGAAGCTCTATCTATTGTCATTATCTAATTATATTGGTTATGATTCAACGGTTAAAATGTTTCACATTGAGCCAGAAAATCCATAAAATATATGGTGGTTGGTCTTATTGAAAAAAAATAAATGATTAACAGAATTTATGGGATATTTTATCAATCATTCAATTTTCCATCTAAATGCAAGGGAGTGAATGATCTTTCCTTAATGTATATCTATTTGCTATAAGGTGTCCCCAAAGTATTTTTCGTGTTTTCGCTTTTTGTTTCAGGCCTACACTTTGATCAATACCGCAAGATAATTTCAAATCAGCTAATATTTATAAAGTTTCCCTGTAGACAAATACGCTTCTACGCGTCACCAGTCCTTTATTGTTAAGTATAGTTTTCACTAATTACAAATAAATAATCAGTGTGTTCATTTTCAATGATGAAAGAAATACACTTATTTTGTTAAGACATTCGTTTAATTTTGATGCTTTTCATTACACATGGGACAATGTCTGTCACTAACTGAACAAAACACTAAATGCTGATTGTTATGCATTTTGTTTGACTGTCAAAGCATATTCTCACGTTATAATTTTACCCAGGCTATATTTTTTCTGTTTTTTTTTTGCGTTACAAATGGGTTTTTTTTCTCAATGTAACTAATGTAACAAAATGCATTCCATTTAATGCTTTGTTTACTTGTATTAAGTTGTCGGTTTTCCTCTGGGAAATATTGTTTTCGTGTAAAT